AACTCCCGTGGTTGTTGTATTTGTTTTTTTTCTATTTTTTCTTCTGTCTCACGGCCCGAGGTATGAAGGGGGGTTACAATATCCTTCATCCGCAAGGGCTTTCCAATCGCGCCAGGACCTTGGGAAAGTAGCACACTTGTATGTTCTACTTGATATGACCATACAATGTATCCCAAGCACATGGTGATAGTTGGCGCACAGGAAGTCAGGGACAGATCACTGATCTTGGATACCCGGAATGAGACCCAATTAAGTCACACCTCGAGGGCCCAAACCGCTTGATATTGACATGCAGTTTCAACCGAGCGGTTAGTGTGGCATCCTTGAAATGACGCCGAAAGGTGCGAAAGGTTGCTGGATGAAGAGAGATAAACTTGACGGGTATTTGAATTCAGTCTCTTCGACTGGATGTAATTCAATGTGCATGCTGTCCAGAACGCTATCCATAATTGCACCTACAGGTTTGCCTCAACACCCCTCAACTTACCTTCTTCCTCATCGACGGCCTCCATTTGGCATATGGATGTTCCTCCTCAACCGTCTCCGGCACAAGGTGATCAACCGCCCTCGTGTTAAGCAACCCCGGATGCACCTGATCCAGACTCGTAACCCCACACATCTTCATCGTCGTCTCCAACTCATCATTTAATATCTGCACATATCTCCTCACCCCTTCCTCCCCATATCCAAGTCCATACAAGATCCCCCTCCCAATCCCCACCCCACTGGCGCCCAAACACAAGGCCTTAAACACATCCGTACCGCGCGTCACCCCTCCATCAACCAACACCTCCATCTTGTCAAAAACCTGCGGACAACACCTCTGCAACTCCAGCAATACCAAAATCGTCGCTGGCGCCGTATCCAAGCTCCTCCCCCCATGATTCGACACCACGATTCCCTCTACGCCCGCCTCCATCGCCCTGACCGCATCCGTAGCCGTTTGCACCCCCTTCAACACAATCTTCGCCTCCTCTGGTAAACAGCTCCTCAACCAAGCAATATCTCCCCATGAGACACTAGCATCCAGAAACTTTCCCGTGATCCTCCCCAGCCCGCCTCCGGACTTGTCATTCTCCGCCTTCTCTCCCGTCATCGGTACCCCCGAAGACAGCCCAACCGCCTCCTCCGCCGAAATCCTCTCATCCGCCTCCCTCTTCCCCGGCACTGGCGCGTCAACAGTCAAGAACACGGCTTTCACCCCCGCCTCCACCGCCTGCTTTAGCAACTTTTCGGATTTGCTCCGGTCTTTGTCCACATAAAGCTGGAACCACAATGGTGGAATTGCTTTTTCTTCTTCTTCTTCTTCTTCTTCTTCTTTTCTCTCAGTGACAGTCTCGCAGTCCTTGACAACCCTCGCAATTTCACCCACGGAAAAACTAGCGCTGGTACTAATCGTCATGCCCACCCCCAGCTTTTCACAAGCCCTTCCGATCGCCTTTTCGCCCTCTGGGTGAACGGTGGTTCCCAAGGAGGTGGCGGCCGCAAAGATGGGAGAGGAGACAGGGTGGCCGAGGATGCGAGTGGAAATGGAGACGCGAGAAACGTCGCGGAGGATGCGGGGCCGCAGGGTGATGAGGGAGTAAGTGTGCGAGTTGGAGCGGTGGGTGTGGCAGTCGGTGGCGGCCGAGGTGACGAAGGCGTGGGTTTTGGGGGGAAAGGATGAAGCGGCGGCGGAGAGGAAGTCGTGGGTTGAGAGGAGGGTGTGGAGGGGGGGTTGGGAGGAGGAGTGGTGAGGGTTCGTCGAGGAGGTGGTGGTTTTCACGGTTGTTGTTGGGGGGATTGTCATTTTCAATGGTGGTTAGTGTGTGTGACGGTTTGTGACGGTGATGATGGTGGTTGTGATAGTGATACTGCAGACAAGATGGGAGAGGAAGGGATGGGTGGTCAGCCAGTTTAAAAGACAATTGGGCATCGGGTCTTACAGCACAACGAGAAAGAGGTTGTTGATCAGCAATCGGTCCAGAGCTGTGACACACACACACACACGAGAATAGCTGTAAATGAACTCGGGGGAATTGGCCCCGAGCTCTGAAGACACCTCAAAACGGTTGAGACTTGGACTAGGCGGGGATCCACCATCAGTCCCCCGCCCCGGAAGGCGGGACGGGAGTGGGGTTGTTCGGACCGGCACTGGGGAAGTGGGTCATTCCCACCGCCAAACGCCTGATCCCCGTATCCACCGCCAAACGCCAGAGCCGCTTTGGCACCCCCATCATCTGAGGCATTTTTTCAGGAGTTGGCGGAAGCCTTCGATTTTTCGACTTTAAACGCGTATAATTCCACAGCGCGGACGGCCGCCTAGGTGCACCATATATGTTCTGGTAGCTCTTTCAACGAGGAATCTGAATTCGAAGTCCGTTTTTGAATACGATAAAAACTCGTAGAATTATGAGCGGAAATATCAAGAAATAGTAAAAATTGCAAAAGTAAAGTAGGAGTTATATAATAGTATTTAAAAAGGCGGATTTAATGGTAAAGTCCGTTTTTGAATATCTTCAATTTTGGTAAAGATATAGTTAAAAGAAATAAAATTTCAATTTTGGTTTTTAGTTCATATTATACTAAGAAAGAAAGATATGAAAAAACGAATTTTATATTCGGACTTAGCGTATTAACTAGTATATAGAAGCCCACATCTTCTACTATTTTATATTCTATATATTATATAATTCCTAGAAGCAAAAAGAATTAAAAATGGTAATTTTGAATAAAATATACTTTCTCTCTATTTTCTTTGAAATCTTAGTATTTTGAATAGTATAAGAAGATATTTAAATACTTTCAAATACGCTAAATCCAAATCTGAAATTTGCTTATTTGTATCTCCACTCTTAATTAAAATATAATTTAATAAATAAAATTTAAATTCTATTTCTTTCAACTATATTTCTACCAAAATTGACGATATTCAAAAACGGATTTTACCATTAAATCCGCCTTTTTAAATACTATTATATAACTCCTACTTTACTTTTGCAATTTTTACTATTTCTTGATATTTCCGCTCATAACTCTACGAGTTTTTGTCGTATTCAAAAACGGACTTCGAATTTAGATTCCTTGTTGAAAGAGCTACCAGAACATATATGGTGCACCTAGGCGGCCGTCCGCGCTGTGGAATTATACGCGTTTGAAGTCGAAAAATCGAAGGCTTCCGCCAACTCCTGAAAAAATGCCTCAGATGATGGGGGTCTGAAACGCCCAATGCCAAGCAATGCCAAGATAGGATCAGGCGTTTGGCGGTGGGAACATCTTTTTACTGTAGGGCTCTGCAGTGGCACTCTCTGCCGTGACGATGATGCCATGCCACCTGAAGCCAATTGCGTGCTGTACGTATCAAGCACTGAATGCATTGAGCACAACATCAGTTACATGGAAAGTATTGTGGTCTTCAGGTTTTCAACTCTTCTTTCGTAACGATGAAATGTTTTAGGAGCCGAGTCGTGAAAGCGGTACTGGGATTCTTACCATACAGGCCATCATCACCCTGTTGAAAAGGGTCCTCCCCCTCCCTACATTACCTGTAGCGCTAAAATGTCAAGACGCCTAGTGGTAATGCATTCAGCCTCTCGGTCCTCTCTGCATTTTGCAGACAACATATGCGATATCAAACGTTTTTTTACACTGTTTGAACGCCGAATTAGACTTGAAGTTATTCCTTCTTCTTTCATTCGACACGTGAAATTCACTTCTCAACACCCAAAGCCTTTTCGATCAGGATCTTGGCCCGTTCGCTCAAGTGCATCTGGAGGGCCAGCGCATGTCCAGACGGACTCATCTTGCCCCATGTCTTCCTCAAAATGCCCACCATCTTCTCCTCGTCAATGTCCGGCCGCTTCTCAAAATCTTCAAACTGCTCGTCCAGAAATACTAGGCAAGCGACGTCCTCAAGGACCTGAGTGTCGCTATCGGTCTTGAGATCCTCTTTCCTTACCAGGGCGGCCACCCGGTCGATCTCCTCCTGGCTCAGCGGAGGCTGGATGGAAGCGTCGGCGAGCAGCTCAGCCACCTGCTTTGCCGCTTGGGACTTGAGCTTGGCGCGCCAGGTGAGATATCCGGGCCGAGTCATGGGATAGCTGCTTCGTGGGATTTCCCATCTGTGTTTGGCATATGTGAGAAAGAGGTTCATTTCAGCAAACAAGGAAAGTCGATGAACGCGAACCTTCGGAAATGCTGAGCCCGGCATGCAAGCTGCAAAACGGGCGACGCTCTAGGTTCTCTAACCGCCAGCCAGCGTGTCATATGTTGGGCATAATCGAGCTCAAATGGCACGGAACCGGACTTCCTCTCGACCGATCTCGGATCCTGGGCATGTGCCTCGTCGATAAGCTTGAGAGCTTGATGGTAGTTGCCGGGAAGGGGGGTGATTTCATCCATGGTGAGTGAAGATCGTTTTCAGATATATGTGTGTACGGTAGTGCGACTGACGCTGGAATATTGACGGGCAAAAGGTTCAAAATGAGTATGAACCGATCAGAGACAAAGACACACGGAACATAAGTCGCAAAGGGCGAGTCCGTTCAGCTGATGGGTTGATTGTTCAGGGTCTCCCTTTTCATATAAGTGGATATCGTTAGAGTGGACAAATGGGGGCCACACCATTCAGATGAGTCAGCAGAGATAAGAGCATGGGAGACCCCCCATCCGGAATCTGGAATGCGGCTACACCTTTCCCAACGTCATCCTACGGTTTGCGTGTGCGGCCCTTTCACAACGACAGCGCTTTACTTGTTCCAACAAACCATATTTCCATGAAATTTGTTGACCATGGACAGTCAGATGCTTGAAAAATGTCTTCTTGTCGTTCCTTTGGCTTCATCTTTCTTGCCTTGTATGTGGGGTCGGATATCTTGACCCGTGGTTTGTCCAGCAAGAAACGGGATGAAAGTCGTTCGCGCCTAGGACGGGACAACTCCTGTTTCCATGGCAACCTGCGAACTTGCAAGCTGGCGACCTTTGAGTATTCCCCCGCCATTCAGCTTATCCTTCACCTTCCAGCATTTGCCACCAAGCGGGCGTACATCAGGACTGCAGGCAGTTCAAAGCCGCGCTTCCCAAGCAAACTGGCACCAATTTCGCGACCTGGAAAGACCTTCTTCACCCACGCAGCATTTTAAGTCGTCTGGAATTTCTGATTTCCCTTCCCTCATTACCCCTCCTCGAAACTGCACTCAAACTGTCAACCCAAAATCGTGCCAAATCACTTGGAATCAAAACACCACAAGTTTGGTACATCAACCGGTTGTTCTCGCGTTTAATCATCGCTGACAAGTACTCAGTTGTTTCTACCCTCGAAATCATCTTCTCTCACCTTGTGATCAAGTCCAGCGACACACACACAAGCTTTCCTCATATTCTCCAAGATGGCTCCATCTGGACGGAAGAAAGGCAAGGAGGTTGACCGGTCACCTACGAGCATCCTGAAGCATGGCGACTATACGGTCTCCCTCACCAGCTGGCTTGCTGGTGGCCCTGTAGTCTTGGGCAAGAAGCCTCGTCGGGTCATCGACCTCAAAGTTGAGCGCGATCGCAAGTCCGAAACATCGGACCAATCCCTGGTCCTGGCCAGGAAGGACCACGATGCAGCTGCCTCCGATATGGAGGTTGGCACTTCGGGATCCGAAGGAGCCCTAACGCACACCTCGAGACAACGCCGAGAACCCAAAGGTTCTTCGCAACCAGCTGTAAGCTCAAAGCCGTTCCTCACGTACGAGGAAAAGAGAGTCGAGAAATTCACTATTCGGCCTCCGCCTGTGGTCTTCAACACGCCTGAAGACGTCCCTACTGGCTGGCTTGAAGCGATGTTGAACCAGAGGAAGAATGGTGAAAGCTCAAAGGCTGTTTCGAAGAAGGCCATCAGTTATGAGCATAACGATTCGGAGGATTACGAAGCTGGCTACGACTCTCCCCCTCACAACAAATCAAAATTACTGCCAAAGAAGTCATCCAGTGCCTCCAGGAAAGCATCAGAAATTCGCATCGAAACCAAGTCGTCATCAAAGAAGGGTACTCGAAAAGTCAAAGTCATAACTGCTGATGCAACAGATGAGTCAGATGAGTCGTTATCGGATGTCGAGTCACGTCGTCCTATGAAGACGAAGAAGCTTGAGCGCCGGAGCATGACCAAAGAGAGAATCAAGAAGAAGATGCACGTCGAGGTTTCTGACGAGGAGACAGCTGATAAAGTCACAACTGATATTGAGTCGTCAGACATTGAGTCAACAGATGTTGAGCCACGTTCCAAGCCGACATCGAAGAAGAAGCCGAGTACTTCGTCGAAGAAAGCAGGAAGTTCCAAAGTCAAGGTCGAGACACGGGGCAGAAAGGGCAAGCGGAAGGTCGTGGTGGAAGCTTCAAGCGAAGAGGAAGATTCCTCGGTTGAGTCGATGACAGAAGCTGAGCCGTCTCCCCTGAAGAAAGTCAAGAACAAGAACCGTGTTACCGTTACCGAGACCACACGAAAGGGCAAAAAGAAGACCATCACAGTTGAATCATCAGATGAAGCTGACATAGCACATGTCAAATCACGTTCATCACAGAAAGGGAAGAAGTCCGAAATCCGTGTCAAGACCAGCGACAAGACAAAGGCGAAGAAGGTTACATTCGAGCCCACCGATGAACCTGAGACTACTGACGACGCCACAACGGATGCGGAGCCTACGCCGGCGAAAGCGCAGAAGGGCAAGGGCAAGTCCAGAACCAAGGCAAAGAAGAAAATCGAAGTCGAATCACCCGACCCCGCAGAGACAACCAATGCCGTTACTACTGACGACGCAACTCAAACCGAAGCCGAAACCACCGATGCAGATACGACTGTTGCCGAGAAGCCCAAGGGAACTCCAGCAGCAGGTAAAGCCGACAACGACTGGACGCCTTCGCAAGATGCAAGCATACTCAGCATGAAGGAAGGCGGCGAACCATGGGCTAACATTGGCAGCGCCATTGGCCGAAACAAGAATGAGGTCAAGAAACGGCACCAGGAACTTGTTCGTCTAGGCGCTGCTCAAGTCAATAAGGGCAATCAGAGCAAGGCACATAAGACACAGAACAAGAAGAACAAGAACAACGAAGCCGGTCCCAGCCATGCCTCTGTTGCGGACGAGACTATGGGATTTCGCGAGCTTCCTGGATTTGGCTTTGATGCAGATCAAGACAACAGCAATAACAACGACAACAACAACAATGGTGATGGCTGGAGTGGTGGTGGTGATCAGAACAACAACACCGATAACAACGGCGGTGGTGGCGAAGGTGCATGGGGAGGTGGAAACCAGACCGACAACAATGGCGGTGGAGATGTTGGCCCTGGATTTGATACCCCTGCTTGGAGTGCAGACTGTACCGGAGGTGGAGATCAAGATACCAATAACAATAACAACAGCAACAACGACACCAATAACAACGGCTTTGGTGATGCGGGTTGGGGCGGCGGAGACCAGGAGAACAACGGAGGTGGTAATGTCGGTCCGGGACCTGGTGATGGTTGGGCCGCAGACTTTACAGGAGGCGACAAGCCGCCAAGCAACTCGGGTTCCAAGAATGGTTCAAACCAAGGTAAACCGCCTAGCAACAAACCGCCTAGCAACAGTGGTAACTGTAGTCAAAATTCGAACCAAGGCAACAACGGCAATAACAAGCCAACCAGCAATAGTGGTGGTGGCGGGAACAATGGAGGCTCTAACCAGGGCAACAAGCCTCCTAGCAACAATGGTCAGGGAGGAAGCTCAAACCAGGGAAATAAGCCGCCTAGCAATAGTGGCAACAATGGTTGGAGCGGAGGTTCAAACCAGGGGAATAAGCCTCCTAGTAACAGCGGCAACAATGGTTGGAGCGGAGGTTCAAACCAGGGGAACAAGCCTCCTAGTAACAGCGGCAACAATGGTTGGAGCGGAGGTTCAAACCAGGGGAACAAGCCTCCTAGTAACAGCGGCAACAATGGCTGGAGCGGAGGTCCAAACCAGGGGAACAAGCCTCCTAGTAATAGCGGCAACAATGGCTGGAGCGGAGGTTCAAACCAAGGGAACAACAAACCACCCAGCAACAAGCCGCCCAGCAACAACGGCGGCTGCGGTTCAGGCTCGAACAACGGCAACAGGCCGCCCAGCAACAAGCCGCCTAGCAACAACGGTGATTGGGGTTCAGGTTCAAATCAGGGGAACAACAACAACACCAAGCCTCCCAGCAACAGCGGCGGTTGGAATACCGGTGGTTCAAATCACGGCGGCAGCAACAACAAGCCTCCGAGCAACAGTGGTAGAGGCGGAGGCCCTAACCAAGGCAACAAGCCGCCCAGCAACAACGGCGACTGGGGTAACACAGGTCCAACTCAAAACAACAATGGGGGTTGGGGTTCAGGCTCGAATCAGGGTAATAAGCCTCCCAGTAACAGCGGCGGTTGGGAAAACGGAGGCTCGAACCAAGGCAACAGGCCGCCCAGCAACAACGGTGATTGGGGTTCAGGTTCAAATCAGGTGAACAACAACAACGTCAAGCCTCCCTCCAATGCAGGCTCTGCCAAAAGTTCAAATTACGGCAAGCCACCCAGCAACAATGGAGGTTGGGGTTCAGGTTCCAACAGTGGCAACAAACCACCCAGTAACAACGGTAATTGGGGCGGAGGTCCTAACCAGGGCAGCAAGCCTCCCAGCGACAGCGGAGGTTGGAATAACGGAGGTTCTAATCAGGGAGGCAGGCCGCCTAGCAACACTGGAGGCTGGGGTTCAAGTTCGAATTATGGGAACAACAACAATACCAAGCCTCCTAGCAACAGTGGCTGGGGCGGAGGTTCGAATCACGACAAGCCTCCCAGCAATGGCGGAGGATGGGATTCTGGTTCAAACAATGGCAACAAGCCGCCTAGCAACAATGGCTCGAACCGTGGGAGCGGCTCTCAACAGGGCGACGAGAAGGCCAAGTCTGTGGAAAAAGAGCTGAGTATGAAGGATCAGGAGATCAAAGATCTTAAAGAACGAGTCAGTGCGGAGAAGATGCAGCGCTTAGAGGCGGAAGTTTTTGCTTTGAGAATACAGAACAGGGCTAACAGGTTGAACCAGAACAAGCAATCAGAGGACGGTATGGGTTGGAACACAGGTGGTAGCGACAACAACTGGAGGCCGCCTTCAGCTGCGGGTTCGACAAGAAGCAACAAACCACCCGACAACAACACAGGTTGGAAATCCGGTCCAGGCTCCGACCAGGGATGGAGTGTTGCTCCGAACCCAGGCTACAAACCGCCCAGCAACTCGGGTTGGGTTCCCAAGAATTTTGTTCCGCCTCAGGGCAGCAAGCCCCCCAGCAACACTGCGCCCCCCGGCAGTCCCGATGGTTGGATTTACGGTTCACCCACAGAAAGCGAACGGGGCCGCATGGCCAAGCGAGTGGAGGCTTGGAAGGGATCGATCAGTTCACCCAAAGAACAAGGACATTGGGGTATGCCCGACGGCGGCTGGCATGCCACTCCGGCCACAGATTCTCGCCCACGTGAGATTGCGCCCGACAACACCAGGGGTCGAAGCCCTGCCGCCAGATCTACTTCTGCCAAAGATTGGAAGCAAGGACTAACTCGTGTCGATGAAGAGCCAGACACCGGTTATGATGTGTGGAAGAAACCTCCCAGCAACAACGGAAAGCCGGGCAGCAATGCGGGCCGTAACTCACCTGGTAACTTCAACAACAAGCCATCCGGAGAGCAATATGGTTGGAACTCTGGTCCTGATGCTGTTGCTGGAACTGGAACTGGCTGGGGTGGAGGCTCGGATCGAGTCTCAACCCCAAGTTTCAAACACCCGGCGAAGGATGAGTGGACTGGAGGCACAAAAGGCAATGATAAGCCTCCTAGTAACAAACCTCCCAGTAACAAGCCGCCCAGCAATAACGGAGATTGGACTCCTGGACTCGGAGCTGCCACTGGCTGGAAGGCAGATTGTACTAAGCCGCCGAGCAACAGTGGCTGGGGCGGAGGTTCAAACCAAGGCAAGGACAACAACAAGCCTCCCAGCAACGCAGGCTCCGCGAGAGGTTCGAACTATGGCAAACCTCCCAGCAACAACGGAGGCTGGAATTACGCCCCGATCGGAGGAACTTCGAAGAACAACAACCGCAACAACAACAAGGCAACCGGCGGTAATGACAGCCTCACTGCCTTTCTTCAGAACCCTCCCCCGTGGGGCGCGGACTGTACCGGTCCCTGGGATAGCAACAAACCGGCCAACAACAAAGCCGACAAGGGAGACGTCCAGAACGCCCTTAACATTCACATGGTCAGAGACCTACCCGGCTACAATAGAGATGTAGCACCCATGGGCCTTTCGGGCTTTCCTCCCGTCGTTGAACATTATGCGCCAGTTCCAGTTCCTCCTGTCACCCCAGGCCCTCCAGGTCGCTACCCTTCAACCCCTTACTCAGCCACCCCTCACCCACCTGGCTACCTCCCCAAGAGTGAAGCACAAACTACCCTTCTCCCACTTTACAACAACTCACCTCCTCAGGCCCAATACCCTTCCCACGACGCGCCCTGGAACTCCACCAGCTGGGACACCAAACCTGCCGTCACCACGAAGCCGCCCGGCGGCCCGTCATCATACCAACCCGGCCAGCGTAGCGCGCAGTGCAAAACCCTTTCCGAGGAAGACCTCCGATCACTGTACAAACAAGTCGTCTTCAGCGCCATGTCCTCTCGCCAGCCCCTTCTCCAACCCAAGCCCGACCGCGATTTTACCTTGAGAGACTGCTGGGTGTTGATCTCTTTGAGCGAGCAGTATGATCATTCTTCGGCCTCGAAGGAGAAGTGGTTCGAGCTGCAAGCTAAATTTGCGAGTGCCACGGGTCGGATGGTTGATGTGAAGCTGTTGAGACAGAAGGTGAAGCAGGGAGAGAAGGAGGCCAAAGTGGTGGAGGGGTGGGAGGATGATGAGGTTGGATGGCGGTATAAGAAGAAGTGGGAGATGGAGACTGCTTGGTGAGAAAAGAGGTGAGAGAGGAGGAGAGAACAGAGGAGAGGAAGAGGTGGAGAGGTGCTTGGTGAGGGAGTATGAGTAAGATGGGAGAGGAGGAAAATTTCAGGTTTTTGTAGAGTAATTTGTAAGTTGGAACATGGTTGGAAGAATCCACGAGGGACCTCATGTACTTGTAGCGCAGAGGTAGTCGTCAGATGACCAAGTCTTGCGAGAGGAAGCTGCATCCGAAATAAAGAAGTCTGATTTCTAAGCAGAGATGGATTATTTCAGCCTACACAGCAGCATGGCCTGCACCGTAGATGTATATGCTGACGTCCGCCTAAAAGGAGGCAACCGGGGACTCGAGGGTTTCGGACTGTGGGCACTCGGAGAGCTTCATGTGGCAAACACCGTGAGGGGACACAGTCATGAAGTTTGGTAGTCAAGCCTCGGCTTCTTGAGCTCAGATCAAGGAGAGGCCCTCAAAATCTTGGATCATGAAGTTCCCTCTTGCATTATCAACGGCTGTCCGGTTTTGGGCGCATCTGTATGCCGCCCCAGCGTATCACACTTCAAAACTGGTACCTACATCAAAGTGAACCGTGCTTGGAAGTAAGGCATGAATTTTATGAGCTTCTTCGGTATTAACCTCTTATTCAGATACACGCCAGGTTGGGGTACATAAAATACAAGCAGAAGGTGAAATGAACACAGAGAACGGTGGACTTCGAGCCTTCTCTTCTCAACGAAGATGAATCACGTTAACATCGACAATTTTACCAATTATCTCATTCAAGAAGCCGTTTTCCCGGTACCACACGAATACGGTTCAGTGAGTGAATAATTGCCCGTGGCTCCATGGAGACGCTGGAATAACTAGCTATACCGTATAGACTCTGCATATTCTGCGTGACCTGGATACCATAGCCAGCCTAGTAATCGGGTGTCGTAGTATTCCGTAAAGTCCCCCGGTCATCAAATACTATCCCTCTTTGACCGCCGGGGAGAGGGCGGATGCTGTCTATTCGAACATATGTACAGGTAACTTAAAGAGATAGGCGATATCATCCCATCTTCACTACCTACCTCTACGCGTGCAAGGAGAAGTGCGGACTGTTGAAATGGAGTTTTGCGGATGTCCTAGATGTCACTTGATCCTGTGCTTTTAACGCTACCTCTAGGTATATATGCGTTCTCTTCCTTTACCCCTCCTCTTTCCACTTTCTTCCTTCTTTTTTCGACGGTTCAACCAGCACAATCATGACCATCGGCGCCAGGCAGCCACAAACAACAACAGATGCTCATTCAAGTGGGATATCATCCCATTTACAGGGCTCATTTGCTACTGGCCCGCGGGGTCGGAGGCATTGAGTTTCTGCCCCCGAACCTCCAGAGGATGGATAAAGTAGCCATTATTTTCAGCCTCTATTCTCGAGACCCGAGCGAAGTACCCGGTTTCCCTTCCGACCTCTCTCCCCAAGATGCTCTTCGACCCGAGACCGTGTTCCGAATCTGCACAGCCGCCAAACGAGAATTCGATCCTTTCATCACCTCCGATCTGGGCGAGTTCTTGGCCCGAATCAGACACGTGTTGAGTTTGGTCCTCGGACATCCTGACTGCAACGACGAAGACAGTAAGAAGGTCGACGACGCGTGGCAGTGCGTTTGTCACGATGTAAGAGACGCTATCTCGTTTATTCGGCAGAACAGGGAGCTTCTGTGTGCAGCTTGGGAAGCCGGCCGGCCTTATCTGGGTCCCGACACAAAGGCTGGTCGGGCGAGGATCACGAAGGCGCAGGCTTCGATGGAACTTAAGCTTGCAGATCATAGTTCTCTCGAGCCCGATAACCCTTCAAGAGAGAGTATCAATGAGGCTTGCTTCTCCTCCCCCGCTACCACTGCTCCTACCCCTGAAGATCATCGCTTACGCCAACATGAACTTGTCATACCAAACCCGACGCCTCCGAGATCGTTTCCGTCGGGAGACAAGAAGGAGTGCGTGAAGGCTACGCGGACAGCTTTGGGAGCTTTGTCGCTCTCTGAACAAAACAGACGCAGGAACAAGACCACAAGTCCCGAAAGAGCACGCCGAGACCAGCACGAAGACGAGGGCTACAACCGTATGTCGGACATGGGTCATGTATCGCCCGAGAACGATGAGGACGACGACGAGGACCTCGATATCCAGAACGACATGGGGTGCTTTCGGCTCCCGGACCGAGACGGACGAAGCAGTGCCCCAACTTCCGAGAGCCGACACCAAAATCAGCACGAGGACAAGGGCCGCATCCGTCTGTCGGACCTGGGCTATGTATCACCCGAGGACGATGACGACGACGGCAGCGGCGGCGACTACTGGCAGGTCCAGTACCACAAACAGCTACAGCAGCTACAGCAGCAACAGCAGCAACACCTCAACCCTTCTGGCCATGGAGAGACTCGGAAGATGAGATGGGGTCACAATGATTCCTCGTCAGAGGGCATGGATGGTCAGATGAAGTCAGTTGAGGCTGGTGAATATCCTTTCTCTAGGAGACGTAAGTCACCATTGTCACCTGTTTCTTGAATCAACCTGTACTGACTTTTCTGGACACCTGAGTAGCGGAAGAAGCTGAATGTTCCACACTATCACCGAGTGAACCCAACCTTGACCAAAACATCACCGATCCCGATAGCCATAGCTCCAATGGTAATCCTATAATTGATGAGCACATATGATGTCCCCACCAAGAGCCTGGGGACGATATGTGGTTACCACCGTGTGATCACCCCAACCAGCAACAACAGGCGGCCACAGGGTCAAAAGCTGCTTTGACAGAAGACGTACACGATGTCCTATGCCCCCATAGCTACCACTCCGGCTGCCACATCAGATTCTGAAGCGATGCAAAGACGCTACTTCTCCTCCACTTTCTGCAAACATGTATCAGGATCCGAGGAAGTTGAACTTGAATAATCCGAGGACGAGTCCGACATGTAGTACAAAGTAGACGAGAATTGCTGCTTGGGCTGAGGAACACGATGTTAGCCCTGGTCAGCCAGAAAAGCATGCCCATGATCCCGATGATATTCTTTCCTCTTCTTTCTTTTGTTTGGTTGATGCTTTCAAATACTCTAGTGGATTAGCTGTTCTGTTGGTTTCAAGGCTGTAACGAATCTCTTGTAAGCAACCTGACAACGAAATAGGAAACAGATAATGACAAACTCCAAAACTCCCGAAAATGGACAGTCTATAACCTAGTAATCCACGGTAAAACACCCCCAATCAGAGAAGAATGAAACAGAAATTCTATTGGTTATCCAACGTTTTGTTCGGCAGAGTTGCGGAAACTGACAGAAAACCTCTTCGCCCCTCCCCAACGGGAAACGATCAATCCAAGCCTACTATCACGTTTTGCAGACACTCGCCTCAAAAACATGTATATGCCCCAATAGACCTTGATTTTGAATCCTCCCCGGAACTCCGACTGTATATATGCATCTCCATGACGCTTGCATCGCTCCCATGCTTCATGACATGGAGCAACATGTCCCGGAATAACAAGAAACAGCAGGTCCTCAAATGAAAAAGAAATAACAGGTCCCAACCTGCGGGACCAAACTCGCCCCCTTCGGTCACTCGGAGTCATCGTAAATACCAATCACCAGCAGCACCAGCAGCAGCAGCAGCAGCAGCAGTAGCAGCGACACCGCACTTTCGACTTCCCCCCTTCTCTCCCTTTCTCTCTGTACCTCTCTCTTTCTTTCTTTCTTTGAGACACAACCTCAGAACGTCGACATCCACTTCACTTCACTTCATTTCCTACACCCCGTCGTCGTGTCAGCCGCATGACCGACACTCCTCCCACTGCCGTCTTCAATCCAACCACCATTATCACCACCACCACCACTACCACCACCACCACCATCTTTACACTCCTCACAAGACTCGGCCATTCGGATCGTCTGCCAGATCTGTCGCTCGCCGCACCGGGTCTGGATCATGCTGGCGGAGGGACAGAAGCGGGCAAAGGTGAGGGAGACGTGTTTGCAGGTGAAGACGTGGGCGTAGTATTGGCACATTGCCCTTCTTTTCTCTTTTTTTCTTCTCTTCTCTTCTCTGGCCTTATGATGGTTGCTTTGATACTGAGGGCAAGTGTATAGAACCTTAGGGCCTCGTGAGAGATATGATGAATTATTTTGATCTTGCTAGGCTTCGAGAGGGTCGGGATTTGGAGATTGTAAGTGACAGGATAAGCAGGAGTGGTGTGGACGTTTGAAATGGGTAGCTTGACACTGAGTTGGATTTTGAGAGATATGATGACTGGTGACTGATTTCTCGATTTGGAAATGCTGGAGACGGTAGGTTGTATAATGATATCGTGAGTAAGTGGTGTTGTTGACTGTTGACGGTCAAGTGGTTGTGGCTTGTCTAATCGAGGTAGAATGTTTTGTCTAGGGTCGTTGGTCTAGTATAAGTCCGTGAGAGATGAAGTTAGGATGACGATATCGATGGAGACTAGACCGCCCAAGAACAGTGCGGCTAGACTAGTTTAAATATAAGGAGTTTCGGTACTGCCGTGATTCGGCAACTCCGCTCTCGTAGTGTTTCATGAACAGTGATATAGAATATACGTTGCCCTCGCCTCCAATACAATGAGAGATGTTTTCTAAATTGTGGAAGCTGAAAAGAGTGACAATAATCTGACACGTCTGTACACGGCTGAGATATTGGGCAGGCCGTTGTTAGTCGCGTAAGGCCAAGTATCTGGCCGGTCGTGCGATTATATATATTGGAGAGTTAGGATTGTTTCCAGGAGGCTAAGCGATCCCGGTATCGCCAGTCTAAGCTGAGCCGCACTCGTGCAGACATCTACTACCAGCTTCTCGCCCGTACACAACTCGGCAAGTCTTCCGACATCGTGTAGATCTGACTCATTGACCGCGAAAAAGAAGGTCAGAATGGACAGACATACTTTTGGTCTAATTAATTCGGCTTGAATTGCGACCACCACCCCAAGTCAAGCACTCTTTTCCTCTCTTCAGAGCCATTCCTGAAACCGACAAACAGCATCCAAATTTCTCCGAGTGTTGAATGTTTGAAGGACTTCGGACAGGTGGAAACAGCTTCCAAAAATGGGAAATATAGGTATATGGTGAAATCTGCATATTGATGATCAACGGTTTCGAAGTCTTCATACCATAGATAGAGCTGCATTTGTATCTAGGCATAGGTTCTTGGCAGATGTGCACATTTGGTGCAGTGTAGGCATGCAACTAGGCAGCCACATAGGCAGACTCGCAGACAAAACCTAACGCCCTGGCATGGACCAGGCCGTTGGACGTTGGTAGCCAGATTGACATGTCAAATTGATAGCAGTATGTTGTCAATTTGGAGATGCTTGGCGGAGTTGGACTTGGACGCCCCAGACTTGGGGATAGAGCCTCAACCATGGCCCCTGATCGTCCATATAGGGGAAGGGAGCCGAGGTGTTGACTTGGTTTGATGACTCCCACCGATGATGGATACCATACTTATCGAGCGTCGTTTGATCTGGTTAACATTCAGCATGGTGTACAAAGTCAATGCACGGAAGGTAATGTGATGCAGGAGAAATCAAACTTGGCTGAAACTACCGGCAGCTAGCCTCGAGATGCTTCCCGTTGTCGGCTTTCCCGCAGCCGCAGCGGATGATGGCAGATAGGTATTAATATTTGGAACATTCCCGTGTGCTGGCACCAATTGCAACTGCCGAAGTCTCGCACCGTTGACTTTCGGGAATTAGAGAAGGTAGAGGGAGTAGCACGGACTCGGAGCACAGAGTGAGACTTGACTGCGTCTCCTCACAGGTTGTACACTAAGAACCAACATCACGTAACGAATGGGTCCGAAGGATAGACAGAACACAGAGCGTGCGGGTGCGACATGGCGACAAGTTCCATTGCAGCTTCGTGGTGCTCGTGGCATCCAAGCAGCAGCCACGAGGATGGCGGAATACAAAGAGTCCCCCTTTTCTGCGGTTTGTGCGTTCTCGGTCCGATGGGGCATCGAATGATGGATCAGGTCGTCCGGCAGTTGTGATGTGAATGAGAAAAAAGGGTTTTCGAAGGGACAAGATGCTCTTTGTGGTTTGTACCCCGGTATGCTGGCGCTTGTTGTATCCTGATATTTCGCTTGCCGGCTTTCGGCGCCCCAGCTGTTTTGGAATTTCAGCTTCGACCCAACCCAAGTTCCCGTCGGGTGCACCATCCTCAAAATAGGTGTTCTGGTATGTAATTACCTTGGAGAGTATTCCGACAGCGGGCATTTTCAGGACCGTACTGTCCAGAAGTAAGCACGGGCAAGGCGTAAGAAGGCATTCGGTTGTTACGCAAGTCGCGTAAGTTGCCGTAACGTACGACGGCAAGGCATGTCGTACGGGATGTTTTAGCGCCCCGTGCGCACTTGGAGGTGCCTGCAGTGAGTGGTCTTCCACACTTCAGTTCGGTGCCAGGCCGGGCAGGGCAGTTCCCACTCGGTTCTCGGTGTTGTTACTATCTTTCCGTTAGGTTTGTTTCCCTGTGCTTGGGTTCAATCGTCGATCAGATCTCAACTTCAATCTCACACATCACATCCACTTCGGCTTCCACGCACGCCTATCTCAAACACGGCTTTCCGCACCATCTGCTTCCATCAACACAACGGGCACCCATCAATCTGGCATTTCCTGACTCCCTCTTGACGCAATCGATGTCGCTGCCCTGCATTGGACTTCGATGGTGTGTGTCTTGCCCTGACGGAATGTATGTGAACTGGGGCTAAACTCCGCCGAGTAAGGTAACCCAAGTGGGCTGCCCAACCGGGACCCGACCGCACTGGGGCATCTCAAGACGCACGCAGGGCATCATGCGCCGACCCAGATGATTGCGGTGGACAACTCATCCTGCAGACCCCATTCATCTGCGGGCAACTTCCGCTGCCTTCGACGACTTCGTTCCATACACTCCAACGCCGACCTATCGTCGCTCGCCAACTGCTTCTGCATGACATAGACCTCCGTCACTCTCGCATTCCGACTTTGCCTTCTGGAAGTCACTTGGCTCATCGAGAGCTGCCTTGCTTTTTCGAGCCAGCCGCCTTCAATCTCCGTGGAGGAGGAGACTAGTTTGACGGCCTTCCTTGCGTATCGGTCTTCGAGGTCTCACTTCTTTCCCCCCCCCCTGGATCCTGGATTCCCGTGGCTTGAAAGCTTTGATTGTGCCGCTAAACAGCGGGGGTCCCAGTAGTTAACTTGCATGCCGCAACGCGCTCGTTCATGCACAGAATCTTCGTCCAGTGTTGTTCATCAAAGTGTCGCTGCAGGCTGCAACATTGTTCGGTTGGCCTGGTTGGCTCACACCGGCATCGCAGTCGTAGCGGCATCGCAGCATCCCGTACGGTACCTCTCTGTACGCCGCAACAGGACAACAGCTCCGATCAAGCCTGAATCTCCATGTTGGTTACCGGCTCGCCCGTCTTGTTAGCTCAATTCGAGCTTCAAAAAAGTCGCCCTTGTCTCGAGCTTCGCAATTGTCCGTGTGTACATCGTCTGGCAAAGCGCTGTCCCCCCCCTCCAGGGCAGTGCGGCTATCTGCTTTTCATCTCATGTTATATCACAGTAGCATTGGGTACCGCGCCCGCGGCTGTTGCTTCATCCTAGGTCGACTGCTGTCCACTGACGTTAGCCTTACCGCCGCCCAACCGAACCCCCCAACCCAGGTCGGCTTTCTCTGCCTGTGGACGTCGACGGAGCCAAAACCCAAAATGGCACAGGGCGTCTGACGTCGCAGGGTCTTGTGGGGGCCCACCTTCAAGGCTACCTACACTACAGGCTGGCCAGGACTGCCAGGAACAGCTGGAGAGGCATGTACTGGGTACCTTGCAAAAGCACTGCATCAACCAGGACCTGCTTTACCTAGCTCGTGGTTAGCCTGTTTTCGGCGCTGCTTTGCTGCGTCTGCTGGGGCTTCAACCTGTTCGCTTCCTCTCTGCTGGAGACTTTGCAAGTTTTGCGCTGCGCATTATCAAAATCCAACAGGTGGTCCGTTCACACCGCCTTGTGCGTCTCTTAGAAGAAAGCAAAGGGGTCCCGGTCGACCTCTGGCTTCCCCTGCAGCAACCCGGGGCTAACAGGTACCAGTGACTACTGGCCCTCCGGCTTATTCGCGACGGCGTTTGCGACCTGATTGCGACGACGACTGCGCGCGCCACATCAATTGGTAAACATCTCCTTGAAAAAGACCCAATACCGTCGCCATGCCCTGCCCCAGACTCGCAAAGCCCTCCTCCGTCTCCATTCTTGAGCCTCAACCTTTTTTTTTACCCTCACACCGACGCCTCACTCCTTTACTAACACCATTGCCGCCCTCAAGTTCCTGATTGGCCCGTTTTGGTGGGCAGATTGCTATCTTGGTGGCCTCCCTCCGACCTAGTACAATTTGCTCTTCTGTGTGATATTGGTGAGTTTTCGTCCAGTCAACTCGTGAAGCATGCCAAGGTTGGATGAGTTCTAAACAAAGCTACAGTGCCCAGTTTCAGCTTCACGAATACTATACATATCTGATTGACAGTCTTCCGCCGAAACTCTTGAGCCAAGTGCTTCCTTCACCTCAGCGCTCATCCACCAACTTTCCCCATGCAAGATTTTGTGCCGGGGCCAACAAAGGATTCACCACTGACGCAACACACGAATCGAATTTATCTCGGCAGTCTCTCGTTTAACTTATCATCTTCATTGGACCAATTTGCCTCCCCGAGGTAGCGAACGGACAACTCGTCGACAAACAGCAGGAGTTCACCACCATTTTCATTTTTGGACACGATTCGACTCCTGTCAGTTTGACTGCTGGATTCATTACTTTTGGTGCCTAGATTCATTATAGGGAAAGGATCAGTTGAATCGATTGCGAACGCTTGACTTCATGGCTTCCTCGGAGATCGACCAAAAGTTTCTTGGCAAGCTCGCCCGGCTAGTCGAGAGTGAAAACCCCCTGCTTTCCTCTGTCCTGTTCAAGATTCTAGGACTTTCGATAAACCTCTCGAGTCAGCTCATCACCGCACGAAAACAGCGCCGACAAGACGGAAGCTCAGGAAATCCTCCATTAGACCTTCATCTTCACATCGTCTGGTTGTCACGGGAGGGGTTACTACTGCTCGATCAATATGTACTGCCATCGGCAACGCTAAAGAAGAATGTCGAACTCAAAATCCTAGCATACAAGCTGCTAGCTTCATTCTATCACATTATCGTCTTGTTTCACAACACTCCACCTGTTACGACGATAGGAACCAACACCCCGGAAGGCCAGTCAACAAGCAGTGTAGCGAATGCCAGCGACAAGGGGAAAAGGGTAGCAAAAGGCAATGACACATACGATCACGGTGCTTCAAGGTCGATATCTGAGGGGGGGCCCGTTGGCCCACCCCCAGGTTTTGGTCCGCAATCACCAACAGCCTTCCTCATGAAGCCCGGGGACTACCTACCACTGGCCCAGCAATGCTTCAAGGAAGCTATCCAGCTCGCGGAACAGCACCTTTGGGGATCACATTCGCTACGGCTTTCGGTCAAGACAGAATACGCAGCCTTCCTATACGAATGCGTTCACGATGCCGAGGCTAGCCGAAGACTCGCAAAGGAAACCATCTCGGAGGTGTATGAGGCGACGGAAGGCATCGACAACGACATGTTTAACGACGCGTGTGAGCTCGTCACAGTCCTCGGAAAAATGATGAAGCGCGGTTTGGGGTCGAATAATACTCTTCGAAGCAAGGGTCACGGAACATCGAATTCTGGCTCGCAGGGGACACCCAGGATCGAACAAATAGAAGCCCAGGCACCAGTCACAGCTCCGCCAGGGATGATATGAACGAGAGAACTCGGCATTGGTTACTTTCCACCCTGTCGGCAGCGCTCTGGAAGGAGGACCCAAGTCCAGATGTCAGAGAGAAAGCCGTTGAGGATGCTCATCACCACGGGAGCCAGGCGCGACCAAGCACCGTCCCATCGCAGGGATATGCCAACAGACTGAACCTTCCAGAAACCTGGCTCAATGCGTCAGTCACCGAGCAGCACGAACAACTTCGAATCCCAGATGCCGATCTTGCATTATGACATCATCGCCTATATACTACGTATATCAGCCTTTTGTTGTTATCCATACCGATTAATACGCTTTATTGGACCCACGGCATTCTATATCACACGGGACATATAACTATCGTCCGAGAATCAGAAACCATGCCGTTTTCGACATGAGAGTTTGAGTGCAACTTTTCTTCTATCTGGCGGTTTTTTGGAGTTACAGAGCGATCGCCTTTGGTCTTTATACAACGACATTAATATGTCATTTCACTCACAGTTCAATCATGTTCTGGTTTTTCTTGTATATACTCATTGCGTTCTTTTGTTTTTGACAATTTGATACCCAAACGCGTCCGTTTCGACCGATGGTGTCTTTTTTTTGTGGCTTTTTGCGTTTGATGTCTTATTGCTTTTGGGTGGATGCGGGAAATCTCGGTTTGATGGGTGGCTGTTTTTTGGATACTCATGTCAGCTGTAGTTCGCTGTCAACACAACTGTAACTGTGTAAATACTGCTGAAAGATCGTCGACAGATGATGGATCCGTTACAAGAAATGAAGAAGCATGGTCGTAAGAAGGTGCGAATGTGCGAGGAAACTCAGTCATTGTAACCGTGAGAGTGAACGATTAGCATAATACCAATTGATAACCAGAAATACCTGTTGCATAAAGGTGAAAGTGGGGATTGCGATCCTGGTCAACCGGAGTGTCCGAGGGGAAAACCAAAAAAAAAAGGCGTTATCGAAGAGTACAGAGGAGCATGAACCTTGAGCAAGCCAGGCATGTACTCTTATCACAGCGCAGACCAAGTCCGTTGTATGGCAGACCTCTCCGTAAGCGGCCGAAACACAATTTCCGAGGCACAGTGTCATCCGTAGCATCAAAAATACCCCGTTGGGAATCAGATTCCTTTGTGTAAACAAAGCGAAAAGGGGTGATCCTCGACCAAACGGGAAGCATGTCTGGGTTAGGGTTGTTGGCTGATCGCTCCAAATGCTTGGCATTCGGCATGTAACATTTGTGTGGCGGCTGGCAATCGGGGCCTGCACTCGAACCTTCACCCGTTCCAGAACATCAACTCTCCATCAACAACAACAACAACAACGCAAGGTCGAAGAGCGAGACACAACGATTTCTGCTTCGAGTCGGCAACCAACACAACTCACCATCTCCGTCGCATAACCAACCTTGACCCAACTCAACTTCCAAACCGTCATTCGCCGCATCGTCCTGTACTGTACCGAGCGACACCCTCCGAAAACAAAACAAAACACATACACCAATCACCTCCCACCCGCCCGACTCGCGCGCAGCGAGTCCGTAATACCCATTCACGATGCCCAAAGCAGAAGTCGGCTCCGCCAAATATCTGGCCAACAAGATGAAATCCCGCGGCCTCAACCGGCTCCGCTGGTACTGCCAACTGTGCGAGAAATCCTGCCGCGACGAGAACGGGTACAAGATGCACTGCCAGTCGCCCTCGCACACGGCCAAGGCGCTCGAGGCGGGCGCCAACTTCAAGGGCGTGCAAGACACCTTTTCCGAGCAGTTTCTCAAGGATTTCATCTCGCAGCTGAAAACCAGCCATGGCGAGAAGGAGATCCACATCAACAAGTTCTACCAGGAGGTCATTGCGCGCAAGAACCATGTGCATCTCAACGCGACGAAATGGCATTCCCTCACGGAGTTTGCAAAGTTTTTGGGCAGGGAAGGGGTGTGTAGGGTGGAGGAGAAGGAAGGGGAGGGGTTGTTTGTGGCGTGGATTGATGATTCTCCGGAGGCGATGGAGAGGAGGGAGAAGGTCAGGAGGAAGGAGATGATGGATAAGGGGGATGAGGAGAGGGAGCAGAGGGCTTTGAGGGAGCAAATCAAGAGGGCGCAAAAGGATGCCGAGGCAAGGGGGGTTAGCTTTGATGCGGAGGAGGAGGAGAGGAAGGAGTTGAAGAGGAGGGAGGGGGAGAAGATTAAATTGAGTTTTGGAAAATCGGCCACAACAAAGAAAGAGGAACCCGGGTCGGGGTCGGGTGAGGGTGAGAAGGGTTCGACATTGGCGACGGCGATGTCAACACCGGGTGCTGGAGACGGATCGATTCCTGCTGCTGCGGAGGAGAAGAAGGATACCGTGACGCCACCTTCGACGACGACGACGACGACGGACGGTGTAAGCTCTGAGCAGGTCAAGGTGGAAGCAAGTTCAAAGGGCGAGGAGGCCGCCGCCAAGACGACGGCAGAAGAAAGCAAACCCGCGGTTGACTCGACTGCTGGTCCTGCTGGTCCTGCTGCTGCCGCTGCTCCCGCTACGAAGCCGGTATCAATGAAGTTCGGTATGAAGCCCCAACCGAAGAACGTCTTCAAGAATGCGTTTGCTGGGGCCCCCAAGAAGGTTATGGCTGCTCCGCCCAAGAAGATGAGCGAGGCCGAGAGGATAATGAAGGAGGAGTTGGAGCGCAAGAGGGCTCGCGAGGAGAAGGGTGGGAACTTTCCCAACAAGAAGCCACGCTTTCAGTTTTAACTTACTGTGGAGTCTCACGTGGGTAACTGGTCAAAGGTTATGCTATCTCCGGGTTTGGCAATATTTTGGCACATGTTATAGGGGCGTTTTCGGTGTTAAGGGAAGTGTTTAAAAAAAGATACCATATTGCATTGGGGTTTTCGTAAAAGGGATCCGTAGCTGATGAATAACTCTTCCATATAGGTTAGGTAGTGATAAACTCATTCGTATGCTTGTCGTAATTCGCTGCAGTGTGTAATTATAGCCCTGGGTTGATCATGCAAAACCCAAAATGGCCGCTCTCCTGCTGTCTAGACCACGCCCTTTAAACCAGCCTTAACGCCTTGAACTCCTGTTGCCTTCTCTTTAACAGGCATTCCACATTCCGCTCCTGGGTTGTCTGTGGACGATCAATTATCGATCCTTCTTCTTACTTGTCGATTCTCTTTCCTGCTTTTTTATCCGCCCTATTCCTTATCGGCTTCTTGCATCACAGCTTCGAGTTTCTAGTCCGCTTCCGTCGCACTGCCATCGCGCCTGCTCAAAGTTAGTTGCTGGCTGTGCCCCGAAAACCCAACGATCATAGCCTGCTTCGCCAGACCACATAGGTGTAAGCAGGAAACTTACGGGATATACTGGATGCCGTCATCCTCCAACGTGGTGCGCACATCATCCGGCAACTGGCCCGACACCTTGGTCGCGTATACACCCTTCACATAACCGTCCAGCCTCTGCCACTTCGCCACCCACGACTTCTGCGGGTTGGCAATGGTGATGATTCCTTCAAAGACTTGCGACGTGCAGCTGTCGATCTGATCCGGCGAGCCCTGGAGATGGAGGAAGTCTTCGCAGTTGGGGCATCCTTCGTCACGGAAGCGCTATGACAAAAACACAGAAGGTCAGAAACTTGTCGGCTATAGAGTGGCTAGAAACGAGGAAGGGCAGCTCGACTTACAGCATAGGTCATGACGATAGAGCAGACCATGCAGGCACGAAGGTAGCGCTGCTGGCCGGGGGCGACGTAGTTCTCCGACATTTTTGGTAGAGTTGTAGGGATGGCGATGTTACTGGTAACTTTGCAGGCGGAAACCGGTAACTCACTCGTTTATGAATAGCTGAGCGAGTGAATTATTACTGGAAAAGGACACTTGACGGAGGAGGGTAATGTTACTTGGAGGAATGCATGTGAACATCGATAAGCTGTTCTTTGGAAAGAAGATCGGCCGCCTCTCTTGCCTGCCGCGTCGCGCCAGCGCAAGCTCCAGGTCTTACAGCGGGCCAGGAGTTGACATGCAAGGGGGGCACGGTCCAGGAGCTAGAGAAGCAGGAGAGAATGTGGGAAAGGTGGGGGCCGAAGCTGGGGCCGATGCCTGGAGGTGGACAGTGGAGACACTGCCGTGCAGTTGGGCTGGGCGCCGTCTCACACTCATCCACAGTTCAACTCTGTTCGCCGAGTCCGGGGCGTTGCATCCGAGTTCCATTCAGTTGCCAGTGGTCGCCCGCTTCTTATCGAGCAACCAGGTGGATGGCAGCTGTCTTTTTGGCCCAAGGGAGGACAGTCAACTGCTGCAGTGATACTCTGATAACTGAACTGAGCTCTCTACCCGTCATTCTCTCGACTTCCACTTCTTCCACTTGTTTCGCGCATCCTCGATTCGACACGACTCGAATCATCACATCTTCCAGTTTGCTGCGATATTGCCTGCTCCAAATCTATTACGACACGACACCTGACAAACGTCGTTCGAATTCCCGAAAACCACAACCACAGCCACGACCAGCGCTGGCGTAGCATGCAAAGCCCCTCGACTGTCAAACCACCTTCTATCCGAACTCGGCCAATTACCCCGGAGAGTGGAAGATGAATTGATTGCACCCGGTGGACGCATTGTTGAACAGGTGTAGCAGTAACAGCAGCAGACCGCGGTAGCAGCGAACCACCTGCGACCCCGTTCGACCGAACCGACCACCACGGCGACCCCATCCCGTCATCAGCGCCAGCGATCGAGCTAGGGAAAATGGGGAACAACCCCTCCACCTCCAGAGACTCCAAGACCCCGAATCCGCAATCCTCCTCCTCCTCCTCTCAATCGCAGTCTCAGCACCAGTCGCTGGCTTCCATCCAAAATGACTCTGCCAGAGCAGTGAAGCGCGATACCAAGCACCCTATACCGGTCCCAAATCAGCGAGTCGCTGCCCCTCCTGAGCCCTCCTTGACCCAGGCCCAGGGCACCGCCGTCCAGCCGCCCTCAACCACCGCTCGTCCCAAGTCGCTGCACTCGCGAATGCCACCTTCTCAGAGCGGCTCGCCGGGCTCGTCGGTGCCTACCAGCTCTGCCACCCCTACCAAACCTGTCGAAGTAAGACAGCCGAGACCCGAAGACAGCCATGAGCCCGCGAAACCTGTAGCCGTGCCCGCACCCTGCCACGCCTCGTCGTGCTCACCTAGGTCGCCGGTGCGATCACCGCTATCAGAGAGATCGGATGCCTTTGAGACTGCGGCTATGCAGCTGAGCAGTCTGCAAGATGTCTCGTACCTGACCAGGCCGCCGCGACTACCTCTGCCGATCGAGGAAGAGGTCCACACACCCGGATCACCTATCATTGCCCCGACCGACATTGGGGTCCCACTCGAGGATGCCGACACTTTCACCGCGCTCACCAGACGCTCTTCCAACTTGAGTAACAGCTCAACTCTGGACGAAGAAGACACGGAGGAGCTACGGGTGGACAAGACTAGACCGACTGTCCCCACCAGGCTCGAATGGCTCCGTGGCGGCGAGAAGGTTTACGTGACAGGCACTATTTTCCAGTGGAACAGGAAGACACGATTACACCCGGTGTAAGTACTTTCTACATCCCGGCCACTTTCGCTCCCATTATGGATGGGGCCTTGCTGACACCGCTACTCGCCAAACAGTGAGGGCCGACCGGGTGTATTCGCTGCTATCATCAATATCCTGCCGGGCACACATCACGTTCGCTTTCTGGTTGACGGGCAGATGCAGACCTCGCCAGACTTGCCGACCACGGTAGACTTTGGCAACAACCTGGTCAACTACATCGAGGTCAGCCCTGATGATGTGGGGCGCACCGCTGCCCAGGCAGCTGCTGCAAGCGCCGCCAAGGATTCCCAGCAACCTACGGAGCCCAAGACCTCCGCGTCCGAGACGGAGGAAAGCAAGGCACCTAGGGACCGACCTGTCCCTCCGGCGGAGCTGTTCGAGAACAAGATCCCGCAATATCTACTCGACTTCGATGCACCCGAGGAAAGTCCACCTTACCTGAGTGCTGTCAACGCCATCGAGAAACTCCCAACGCCGCCTGCGCTTCCTGGCTTCCTCGGCAAGCCCATCCTCAACGCGGCCACCTTGATTAAAGATGACAACAGCGTTCTGAACATGCCCAACCATACCGTTCTTAACCATCTAGCTACTAGCAGTATTAAGAATAATATTCTGGCTGTGTCGGCCACGACGAGATATAAGAACAAGGTTCGTCTCCCCATATTTCGTAGCCGCATCTTTTTGCACATAGTCGTTAATGCTAACGGACTGTACAGTATGTGACGACAATCATGTACAAGCCAACAACGACAGAGGGCATCTGAGTTTGGAATGCTAGTAGTCAGAGCTGGGTACCAGTTGGCTGGTGGCTACCACACTAGACGAACAGCGCAAGTCATGAGTAGAATAGCGGTGCATTATGAACCGCCCAGTGTGACCTATTCTAGATATGTCTACAAGTAATGTCTATAAGACGCTGTAGCGATGACGAGGACACTTTATGGAAGCGGGCGCAAACTGTTGTCAGCGAGCTGTCCACGGGCATCCTGCTCTATTAAAGGAGGCACTGAGGAACAACGAGAGGCGCATATAGAGTGGCTGCCGTGGATAGAGTAAAGGTTATGGGATTTGGGGGTATCGTCGTAATGGTCATCTTCATCTTCGTCTCTTTCCTTGTCATTAGTCCCTCCACTTGACGAAGACTTCATCGGTTCTGAAGCGTTGTGTACATGTGCTTTCATCAAGCGGCGTCCGGAAGCCCGTCTCGTAGGCCAATAGACCAGCATGAGCAATCATGATGCCGTTGTCGATGCAGAACCGTTCGTCGGTGGCGTAGACACTTCCGCCTCGCTCCGCTGCCATCGCGCCCATCATCTCCTGTAGCCGCTCGTTGCAACCGACACCGCCAACAATAAGAACCTGGTTGCTACCGACGTGCGCCATAGCCCGCTCGGTGATCTCGACAAGCATGGCAAATACCGTCTCCTGCAAGCTGAAGCACAGATCTGCGGGTGTAAACGGTTCGCCGTCGGGGCCCGGCTCGCCCGCCTTCATCTGCGCCGCCAAGTCATCTGCCCGCCCCAGGATTCCGCTGAACGAACAATCCATTCCCTTGACCGCATACGGCAAGTCCAACAAGACTCGCCCTCCTTGCTTGGCCAGCTGCTCAATATTGTACCCGGGCGCCGGGTCGTTGCTGATCTCCAGCGTGCGCGCGAACCGGTCCAGGCAGTTGCCCACTGCAATATCCAGCGTCTCGCCGAAGATACGGTACCGCTGCTCCGCGTACGCAATCACCTGCGTATTACCCCCGCTCACGTACAGCACCACCGGGTTCGACGCCCCCGTTATCGCCCGCCCCATCTCGATATGCCCGACACAGTGGTTCACGCCCACCAATTCTTTACCCCACAGCAGCGCGAGGGTGCGGGCGCCCACGGCCACCGACGTTAGGGGCCCGCCCATCCCGGGTCCCTTGGTGTAGCAGATGCAGTCGATTTCGGAGATGGAGACCCCCGATAAGGCGAGCGCCTTCTTGGCTACGCGCACAAAGTAGGCACGGTGGTGTCGGGCTGTGTCCTTGGGAAGGAAACCGGTGCCGGGAGGAGAGACGAAGGTGTCGCGCACGTTGGACAGGACAAGCGCTTCACCGGTAATGGGGTCGTGCGCGATGATGCCGATGCCGAGCTTGTTGGCGGAGCCTTCGCATCCGAGAGCGATGCGGCGGCCTTTGGCGTCGGGCATTGTTGGCTGTTGGGGCTTTGTTGGATAGAGCGAGGGAGGGGGAGGGTTTCGGTTACTTGGTGAATCGGGAGCCGTTTGCTTCGTATCAGATAACTCGCATGGATATTTCGTTGGGGATGTTTATCGAGGACCTTGATATCCTTTGGTTGTTGATAGGCGTCGCGTCGCGTACTGAATAGGTAGGATGGATGGATGTTGTCAGTGCCAAATCCAATGCCAGATGTCAGATGGAGAAAGTGATAATGGAGGGGCACCTTTTTAGAGTGGGGAAAATTTGATCGCGTCTGTGAATAGGCTAGGCGCGCCGTAGTGATCAAGGTGACGAAACTCGAGATCGAGATGAAAGAGGATGTACATACTTATTCCCCCAGCGGGCCGGTATCCCGTCTCCTGAAACCGGTCGACATCTTCATTACTTGCAACGATGCTTTAAAGCCATTCTCGCCCGTTCTTCCTCTCAAAACAAGGGAACGGCCTCGCCATGGGAATCAGCAATGGGATTTCGTCAGAGCCTTCCATGGAGTCGATGAGGGGTTCAAGGAAATGTGGGTCCCCGCAGCCGCTTGTGCACAGTCGAGTGGGACTTTATGTTGCTTTGGATGCGCAATGCAATGTTATGTAAGGCAGGCACGTAGCGTGGCTCGTGCGCTAGTAGTAGCAACGATTTCTATCCACATATAGCCGCAACGGCGCAAACTGTGACCATAGGCGCATGAGTTGTGTAAAAGACACTAGACGTTTGATTATTTCTAGCTTTACCATGAGCTGATCCAACAGTTCCATTGCAACAAGAATGTGCAGATGAGCTTACGTGTTTTGACTTGCTCTGTGGATGCGCAAAAAGGCTCCGAGAAGTTCGGGGTCTGCCGAGCCTGGGCTTGGGGCTCTCTGCACGGGACCCCACTGCACCGAGAATCAATTCTCCCAGCCAAGCGAGAGTCCGCAGCCGTCCAACCATCTTCCATCCTCCGAGCCTGTATCACCCAACACCTCACCTCGTTGCCGCCAAACCCAAACCTCCCAACCGCACGGCCTGACCTGCCTCTTTCAACAGCCCAGTCGACTTCTTCCTCGTCTTCACCATCCTTTGCCCGCCATTTCTTCGGCAGAACATGGCCGGGCTTCTTCTTGTTCGGTTCTTGCAAGCTTCCGAGCTCACGGGACCATCTGGACCGGATTGGAGGCCGTGAATTCAGCACCGCCCCAAGTCTATGGGGATGGAGATACCCATATTCCCTCTTGAGGTGTGTTTCCCTCGTTCGTCTGACTTCAGAGTGCTGCTTTGGCCATCTTTTTGTCTCGCACAACCCGTCTGATGTGGGCTTGATATGTCCGGTACCGTTGTGGGTGAACCTAGGCTGACCAGAACTCTGCACCACAGGACCACCAACCACCCATGGAAAGCTGTTCACTTGACACCTCCATTCTGTCTTCCACCTTCTTTGGACATCGCTTCTTCTTCTTCCGCCTTTCCAAGTCTTTGGGAAATGCTGTTGTGGGCTGCTGGCTTCATGGTTCAAAATCACGAACCTCGCCACCAAGTCAGCAAAGCTGGCCTCCAGTCAGCCAGCCAGCCAGCCATTGCGGCTTGGTGATCCCACCCTAGAGCGCCCTCGAATTCTCCAGCTTGAGTTGACACCCATATCAACATTAAAATCACGGATTACCGGATCAGAATGTCTCTTTTTGCAAGGCATCTTCTGTTCCGGGAAACCGGCGATCAGCAGTTCTGCGAGAAGCCAGGGTCCTGCACCAAAAGGAGCAGCGGTCTCGACTCCGAAGCCTGGCAACGGAAGACTCGACCTCCAAGCCAGCATCGATATCGAAACCGCCGGTCAATTTTTCTTTCCTCGAGTTTTCTCTTTCTCAGCTTTTTTTTTCCACTTACGTACCTCGCGAGACCTCTTCCTTTGAGGCGTCCCCACTCTTTTATCACCAAGCACGCTGCACGGTCGCTCCGAAAGCCAAAGGGGCGACCCCCGTCTCTACGCTAAGCAGCGACCCGGTCTACCAGGGGCGCGAGGGAACACTTTTTTCTCTCTCTCGACACTTTTGTCGTCCTCCCAACTTCCTGTCTTCTTGTGAAGCGTCTTGTGTCGGACCGCAGCTCGATTGCTGGTTTCCTATTGGCCCACCCGGTTCGCAAATTCTCGCACACCTCCGACCAATTCGCACATCGGCCCAGGGCAGCACCGCGTGTTACCTAAGCCCAAATGTGGCACATGCATACGCTCGCAGCACTTGTTTCGGGGCTGCCGATGACCAAACGCTCGGAACATCTCTGAGATCATTTCTGCTTTCCCCTGGCAACAACCTCCCGGACGCACCCGGTCTATAAGGCTTCGGTCGCCCTCCAGGCTTTCCAGAAGCAAAGATGCCTTGACAGATATCGAGACCAGCCTCCACGCTTGATGGCCATAGCCACTTTCGTGGTTCAGTCACACTGCACAATACAACACCGCGTGAAGCAACTGATGGGAGCCAGAAGTGGTATTTTACTGCTTTGGTATCTCATTACTGTTGTCGCTGCACAGCATCTCGCGTGTCTCAGCTATCCGCCGCCATCTACACGATATCGGTACGACTACTTGTTTACATATATACATGAGTCGTTCCCCACTTCGCCAAACCTACACAAAAGCCGCAACCCAAACGCCTCGCCCCGGCCAGATCCTTCTCTTTAGCCCTGGCCCCATATCGCTAAATGCATCAATCGAGAGTTGAGGGGTATACACAGCAGTGGTCTTCCGAAGTTTATTCGGCTGCTCGACCACCAGCCCGCGAAAAAAGCCAAACGATATCTAAAAAAGATGACAACACAACACTCCTACAAACGCCAATTTTATGACACCGGTTGAGCCTGGGGCTGCGGTTGCGGCTGTGGCTGTGCTACTGGTTGTTGTGGTTGAGGTAGAGGGAGAGATTGTGATTGATTTGGTTGAGGTTGTGATTGCGGTTGTGGTTGTCCCGGAGCAAAAGAAGATTGGGCAAGCTGTTGTGGGACGGCGCCCGGAGGGATGAACTGCCGGTTGATAACCGGTGGGGGTGGTCTTGTGACCGTCTGGAGTGGTATTGAAGCACGGTACCTCAATGCCTTTGTATCAAAGGGGTCCAGCATATACACCGGCGCGTCGTCCTCGTCATCAGAGGACTGATCATACTTCCAGCGATCGGACTGTTCTTCACTGAGGTCTCGGGCTGGACTAGGTAAACCACGACGGTCGATCCACAACCTGTTCAACCGGCCGATACGACGACGATATGAGGGTGGATGCGCCAATGACTGTTCGTCCTGGGCAACGCCCCTGAATTTTACTGGTGGTGGTGGGTTGGGTTTGGGCTTATCAAGATCCATCGGGGTGGGCTCATCCATGGATCCTGAGGATGCAGACGCTGGTGGCGTCATGAGATACTGCGTCTTGGCAGGTCTGAAGCCCAAATCTTGTCTTGGGCCCTGAACGGGAGACAGCGGCTTGCCAGTGAGATCGACATAGTTCTTGTTCCAGTCGATGTGGTTCTGAATCTTCTTCTCGATCTCGATGATGAGCTCCGCATTCTTCTCGGCAAGGCGATCTGAGAGTTGGACAAGATCTGACTCTGCGGGACGGCCATCGGGGCGCACAGGCATACGGATCTGGGGAGGTGGAGGGGGTCTTTGAGCTGAGGGTGCCTCCGGAGCCTTCCTCTTTTGCGGCTGTTGTGAAGCGTTAGCGTTGGCTGATGTAAGTCTTGCACGTCTTGCCGTTTGACTAACCTTTTGGTTTACTAGATCCTCGTCGCCCGTCCTGATGCCTAGTCGGAGTTTTTGCTCCTTGATGATGGCTCGTTGATCGAAGATGGCTCGCTCTACCTTGAGCATATCTGCCTTGAGTAATTCCCGGTTGTGGGCTGCCAGGATGAGTTGACGACCTTCCTCCAGCTCCTTCCGCAGCCGCTTGAGTTTGTCCGCACTCTGCACATCTCTTGCCCTCGTTTTGCGAGTTTGACGAATCTCTCTTCGGCGAAAGCAGACGTAGGGATCAAGCTCGTCGCTTTCCGCATGTGTCTCGAATTTCAGTGTAGGGTTGAGCGGTCGGTTTTTGCTGATTTCGCGGCGCGACTTCCAGTACTCGTATATCTGCTTGGCATGAACCATGACTTTTGTGCTGTCTAATGGCTCCAGTCCTCGCAACATCTCCTGATAAGACGGCACTGTCTGGTCTATGGCCGAGAACGGCGTTATGTTTGCCGCCATGTCCTCATACACGTCCATGATCCTCTCAAAATCATCTTCGGAGAGACGAGCGGACGGGGTCAGTTTCAGGTTGTAGGACTTGAGGAACGTCTCATCATCCTCGGTCATGTCATACATGCAACTGATGCATTCTTCTACCGTTTGGGAAAAACGGATATACGTGGATGTCTTGGCCACCTTTTGAGGGTAGAACTGGTCGTAATCCAGTTCACTCTGCTGTGGAGGGGGGACAGGAATTTCCTGGTCGGCGGCGACTCCTGCCCCCTTGAGCACAGCTTGAAGATGGTATTCCTAGTTACAGAAAGGGTAAGGTCAGCACCGGTGACATGCATGGCTGTGTGCATGGAAGGTAAGGTAAGTTGGTGATGGAGGCGTGATGGAGGCGCGGCAGACGGGTGGCACGTGCACGTGCACGTGACCCCGGTCGCGATCAATCGGACATAGGTGTTTAACTCACATTTTCCTCGGCCTGTTCGACACCGGTGGCTATTTGGTTTTCGGAAGTGAGTGATTCATATTCGGAGGCTTCAATTTGATCCTCCCTGAGCACCGCAAGTTGTGTTTTGACACTCAGTTTCTTGTACCGAACCTTGCGGGTCGCCATGGTGAAGGTGTGGGCAATTGCGGCAGAAAGGCCTGGGGAAACCCCGACGAAATTTTTTTTATCTCATGCGGGATTGCATGCGAAATCGAACCGTCGAGTTTTTTGATGGAAAACTCGCGTCGCGGGTGATATTTTGATGGGCAAAATCTGGTCCCTTGATGGAGTGTCGTTGAGGTTTCGGCGCAGATTTTGCTGTTTTGGCGGCGGATTCGACGGCCAATGCACGGTCTTGGCGATTGGCTGGGCTTCTGCTCTTGCGAAGCCTGAATGGCGGGGGGAGGGGTTGAATGGGGTGGTTTTGGGCGAAGTTTTGCTGGTCGCGCTGGCTTTGCTGGCTTTTCAGGGAGGGAACGTAAGCGTGGTGCCCACTGCCCGGGCCGTCCATGGTCTGCGCGTCCACTCGCAACGAACCAGTCAACCACCACTGCCAGTGGCCACTGCACTGTTTGAAAGTTGGAAGCGCGGGCGCGCCTCCAAGGAACCCGATCCGAAGACTCCAACCTCGACTGCCCGCCTGAGAAGCCAAGCTGCCAACTGGAGCCCAAGGCAGTGCCAGCCCGCTCCGATAAGAGCAATATCGTCATGTAAGGTAAGGATTGGCGTGCAATCTTACAGAGATACACCGCGGCCACAGCGATTCTACTATTTTGTTACCTGTTTTTGCTTGTTTTCAATCTTACTATCAGAACCCTTTGGCTCTTGGTGGAATGACGATGCAAGCAAGCATTTGCTGGTCGTCATGGACTCCTTGAACTTAGGGCATTCAGTGCTCAACCTGACAACACCCAAGTTGGATACTACAAATAAAGACTGATATCCTGCACCACTTCCTCTCCATGTCGTTGATATCGCATTTAATATTCAACGACAACTTGTGACTATCTGGAGATTTGGGCATTTGACTGTTACCGGTGCACCGCAGCCAAATAAAGATGGATTCCGAGGTGCAAATCATTTGCGCAGCAGCACATGCGATGCATTCCTTTTAGAATTCCTAAAACGGTCAATGGTTGGTTTGGTTTCAACGAGGAGGCACGCGAACAGTTCCAACAGACATCAACCCTGACCGTCGAAAGGGGCAGCGTGTTGAAATGAATCAATCAATGGGCTGATACGAGATGAGGAGGAGAAGTGGCCCGTGCATCCCACTTTTTACCCCACCATCCACGGCATAGATCCTCGTGCCTGCCCCCGCTGTCCGCCTGCCCAGCCGAGCCAAAGGCCGCGGCCCGCCTCTCCCTCTTTTGCCTCCGTTCCAGTCTGTGACCGCCAAACCGAAGAGGGGACCTGCCGACTGCGGGACGACAGTGGCCGCGGCGGGCTGCTGCTCTGCTGGTGTCAGCCCAGGAGTGCTCGTGAATGGGAGGCCCCCGCTGTTCGGTGAGGCAATCGAGCGCCGCACTGCAGCTATGGACTAGTGATAGCCCGAGCTACCTGGACCTTGACCACTTGTCAACCACCACTGGTGGCATCCCATCTCAGCCTTATTCCTGCCTTGTCCAGACCCTTATCGACCCGGAGTCGACCCCTAATTCCTCCAACCAGTGAATACCTCCTGCCTCACACTTTTTTCCTTTGCTGCTCAAGTGTTAACCCAACACCCAGCGCCCGAACTTCTTGCCAAAGTACCTAACGACGACTACCGACACGACCCATTCGTATTCTATCGCTTCAGCGTCGCATCACGTCGCATCTTTTGGCACGGGCACATTACTATCATCACGAGCACGACAACCAGCGGTGGAAAGGAAACAGAACAAAACGAGAACTTGTCAACGATTCAGCACGGCGATTTGTACACCACCGTGCACTTTGATACCCAATAATACAGATATCCATCGGTCGAAAGAGTCCAGCAATACACAACACAAGCAGCAACCATGGGCAACACCACCAGCTCCGTCCTGGACAACATTGTCCAGGGATCCAACTGTACGTTTCGCTCGGCGACATGTTGAAGCCTGAAACCCTCTACACTCTTCGTTATGTCCTGAACTTTGTCGCATCGACAGCGGTGCAAAATTGTTACTCTCTTCTACGACGAAGTCACAGAGATATGGAGATGCACATTGCATGCTGCTTTACATCATCAAGCGCTATGCGCCTTTCTCGCAAGCTCTTGTTCAGATCACTTTACTAACACACCTTTTTTTTACAGTCGACAGGGAAGAGGTTGACCGCTTGCGCAAGAGGTTTATGAAGTTGGACAAGGCATGTTTCTGCACATTCATTCTCGTCCTGCGATCTTGTCCAGCTTAACTGTTGTCGCAAGCCAGCGAAGGCAGAAGTCGAACGGCCAAGACGATGGTCTTGTTGTTGGAATAACTGGCTAACCGGGCGGGATCTGGTTTAACAGGATAATTCCGGTACCATCGAGCGCGAAGAGTTCTTGAGCCTACCGCAAATATCGACAAATCCTCTGGCTACAAGGTTCGTTATATTCTACCTCTATACCTACCCTTGCTCATGTCAGTATATCGCATACCTCTGGCTTTCTCCGCGTGGAAATGCTGTCTGGGCACAATATGCGACATCATCTAGAGTGAAGACTGGCGACTAACGGTTTCCGACTTGGGTGTTTTGCAGAATGATTGCCATCTTCGACGAAGACGGTGGTGGCGACGTCGACTTTCAAGAGTTCGTATCCGGTTTAAGCGCCTTCTCGAGCAAGGGCAACAAGGAGCAGAAGCTGCGGTTCGCTTTCAAGGTGTACGACATTGACCGTGACGGCTACATCAGCAACGGCGAGCTGTTTATCGTGCTGAAGATGATGGTGGGCAGCAACCTTAAGGACCAACAGCTGCAACAGATTGTCGACAAGACGATCATGGAGGCGGATTTGGACAAGGACGGCAAGATCAGCTTTGAGGAGTTCACCAAGATGGTGGAGAACACGGATGTCAGCATGAGCATGACTTTGGGTGAGTTCGCTCCTTTTTTCCTTCCTCCCGCCGGCTGAACACTTGTCTTCCGTCAGGCACTTGCCTCTATTGGGCAGGCTATTGATATTTGGACGACCAAAAAGCTGACAGTCGACGCTTTAACAGATCAATTCTAGTGTACTTCTCACACCACGTTTGGCTTCTGATACCCTTGAAAGTGGGAAGCTGCTTTGTCACCTTCAGTAGACCGTTGAGGCTTTTTGTGCTCGGTTTCTTTTGCAACTGGCAGGTGTATAGCCCACCTTCTTCCCGGTGGGATGAGTTGGGACAAGGAACGATGTGAAGGAAAAGGAGATATACAAGCCTCGGCGCCCTTTTATCTCAATTGAGGCGCTGGGTGCTTGACGAAGACATGAAGAAAACGGACATAACACAGGAAGATCTAATAAAAGGCGCAACTTGACCCAAGCGAGTATTATATCTCGCATCCGGACTTTTCGGTCGTGTCTGTAAGTGTGAACAATATATCAGTGAACTTTGCTTACGTGCGGGGAGACAGTGCGATCAAAATTGTTCCTGGCGGTCACCACATTTAACGATCATGCGAATCAGAGTCTCAAATCCTACTTTTCTCTGCTACCATTACCAAAGCCTTGGTACGCCGAATCCTGGACCGTTACTTGGCCCCCTGGCCTAACACCCGTCTACGCACTTCGATTGGTCAGCTAGGGTTGGAGTGGCAAAACCAAGACTTACCTGATGGAAAATGAACATGGGGGGGGATTTTGCCCGGTATTGTATATCGCGCAAGGGAGAAAGGACGGAGATGTCTCCGTTTAGCAGGTATTCAGCATATACGGAATATGCCGTGCCGTTGAAGTCGACGGTGCGATGCGGTGGGACGTCTACTGTGGTTGCGAGCCAAATAGAACCCCCTTGTAAATGTACCGAGCACGAATCATCACAAGCAAAACTTCACTGTTTCTGTACAGGGCACTGTGTGGTTAGCGATCGTCAGTCAGCTACCTGGCCCATGGGTTTTCCTTACCTACCCATCAAAGTGGTTCCAAGAAAAGACTACACACGGGCTTACCGAAAAAAAAGTGGTCGTATGTGTACTGTTTTTTTCTCTCCTCTCCCTTGGAACCACCTGCCATCTCATCATAGTATCTCATCTATAGGATTCCGAGAGTCTTACCATTGGGCGGGGGGCGATGTTATAGTCCGGCATCGATTCGGTTTGGAGGCTTTCTCCTTAACTGATTGATATCCAAGTTGGACATCATGATGCTTCCTTCCTCTCACGCAGTCATTGCGTTTCTCTGCTACCGCTCCGCCACACATCGCTGATGCGCATGCTCAACAGGACGACGGGCAAGACAGACATGGATGTCCGGTAATCCACATCCACCCTCGAATCCGGTCCGATTTCGATCAAAGTTTTTGCAACCGCGTGCTCAAAAACGGTAGTGAGGTAGTGTAGTGTGGGAGTGCGACATAATACAGTGTGCCGGTAGGTCTGTTGGAAACTCACTTCCTTGTTCTACACACTGCTCAAGGATGTCCAGGGCTTGTTCAGAAACGGAAGCGCAAGATCAACTAGGAAGGAGGAGGGAAGCAGGGGAACTTGGGGGGGGACTGTGTACAGGGTCAGGATGAGTGTGAATGGGATGGTAGACACATGGTAGGGTAGCCATCAAGAAGGTACCGGTACCTACGGGCTGGAGTTCAACAGAGGAAGTACCGATACGAGCAAAGGAACACCCAGGGGTGAGACGGCATCGACGGGGGAAGGGGGGGGGTGTCCATGACGTGACAGCAGCGAAACACGGGAAGTGCCGGTACAGAGATCGAAAACGGAGAGTGTACTCAAAGTAGCGATACGTACGCGGTACGACTCCTCGACAGCATGTCGGCTTGGATGTCAAGGATACTCGCGGTTTGACACATGGCACGAAGGCACGAAGAAGCGAGGGGCAGTGACTGGGAAGACGGGAGAGACGGGATGGGCGTGAGGACCGGGAAAAGGGAGTAAGGTCTTCTGTCTAGGGGGATGAACACCTTCACCTCTGGTGCAACGGTATGCTTGTAGTGGCTTTGATGGCATACCATCAGTTGTCGCTCCCTTATCACTGCCATGGCATGGAAGTCGCATGATCTGATGAGTACCAAGTAAGTCACTCACTATTCCTGGTCCTGGTAACGCTCTGAGCGACTCTGGCCGGAATCACGGCCTATTTACCGGTGCCGGACACTAAAGTTTTACTACCGACTGTGGAGGAGAAGAAGGGCATGGAACCGATATTTGTAATGATCGAGTTTGTCAGCTTGGCCTTAGACTGGTGGTGATGGAATCCCGGATTGAACTCTGATGTTGCCAGTATGAGCAGGGAGGGATCAGAAGCTGCTGGGCATTGGTTTTTCGTGAGTGTGTCTCGGCGTGGAACAATGAGGCAGTGTCCTGAAGGTCTTGGTATACTCACGTAAGCCCCTATTGAGATCTTGACGAGAGGTATCCGGGTATGGGATGCGAGTGTCCAATGTGGCTTACAGCTAGAAGTGTATGGGAAAATTGAGCTGTGAATCCATCTAGACTTCCCCTTTGCTGGCGTATATTGTACGGGCTATAACAGCTGGGAGAGGTTGAGTAGGTATTGCTACGCCATGGTCATCAGGTATCGCAGAAACTCGAATAGTCGAGTTCCAGGCCTGCAGGAAATGTCCTAGCCCAGCCAAAGTTCTGTCGATTCTATTCATTGAGACCAGCATGCTTGGCTCATTATAGGGTGTTTACTGGAGAATTGTACAGTCTGTTGCGTTAACTCTACCTCAATCATCATGTAGCAGAGTCGGAAAAGTTTCTGCAGGTCTGGAATACGAGTTGCCGAATTCCTATGGGTCTCAGGCTCAAAGAAGACACTACACGGTTGCAACCGAAGCCTATATGACACTTTGGTCCGCTTTCATCCATCACCTAGCAAGACGGCGGGCCTCCCGTTATCGAACATTGAAGGCCATGCACTAAATTGCAAGTGGCGAGTGTTACCGACCTTCAGTGATAATATAAGTCGAACGAACTGTCACAGGCAACGCCCAAGTGGAGATACTGCTGGAGGTGTAGCACTGTTTCCTGAGAGCTGTGCACTCAATGCTGAGTTGACCAAGGACGAACAGGGGCGCGGATTACATTTGGAAAGATGATCAGTTTGCACCTTCTACCTTTCCCAAGTTCATTCTGCAGCTCTGCATGGTGAAAAGTTTTCACGAGTCTGGATGTTCTTTCCACTTACGGCCATCCGGGGGGTAGCCACTGTCAGGGAAAGCGTTTCCTCTTTGACTACCTTATCATGGAAGGAGCCGTCAGCTTCCAGTACGGTGAGATAGTACCTTCCATGATGGGTAAAGCAATAATACACTTGTTGGACACTGACAAGAATGAGTGGAGATTTGAGCAGGGAAGGTGGGCATAGACAAGACGGATGATTGTTGAAAGGTCGCTCCTGATACCGTTTTGAGGCTGCGTTTGTTCTTGTACGGTTTCCGTACAACACTTAGAATTCATTCAACCTACTTGACTAACTTAACTCCACTCAACTACCCGACTAAAACTCAATTCGAGGCCCCAAGGCGAGTTGCAACTCAGCCCTGGATAGTTAGTGGATTGGTGACATTTCTGGGTATAAAAAAAGATCGTATGAGGCCTTGTATACGAAAACCGTACCAGAGCAAACGCAGCCAGTCATATATGTTACAAGACTTTGCTGGTCTCATAACTGTTGACTCTGGGAGTTACAACCGAGTTACAGCTGACGTTTGGTCACTGTCTTGTCTTATGACTCTGAAAATTGTTGGTAACTGTTGAGTTAACATAAATTGTAGAGTCGTGACCGAACATAAGCACCTAGGAATCACGCTTCACAGAGTATTTATGGACATAGACAGTTGGAAATACAGTGACTTAAGACCCGGTCTGCACTCCCTTGGACGTGAAGCTGATGTATGTTTGATGTTGATGTCCCAGGGCCCTGTAACACGACCACTACCTACTTCCTTTGTGCCGTATATTCCCGGTAATAGCTCTCTGTCTCAGTAAGTTGCTTTTCCCAAAGTTACGGGGTCATGTATAAATAGGTCTTATCCTCGTCAATGCGCAACTAGAGCCTTAACTACACTTAGGCCTGAATATCACACCAAGACAAACGCCATCAGTTCATCCTACTAAAGAGTTTGAGTACACATACCTACATGTCAATCTACAGATGTTCAGACAAACCACTCAACGATAACTAGGTACATGACAACGCATGTGATGGATTCGAGGCTAAGGCAGGGAAAAGGTTTAGCGAGTGTCCCAACGTAAATAGACTTCCATTTACACCTATTTTCTGTCAGACGCCCGTATGACATGAAAGACTATACTGCCTCAAATGTCAGCGAGGCTTCGGTAGACCTTGTTCTGACATTTATACTCTATAATTGTCCAAGTGCCGCTTGACATGATTGATATTAGAGCATTTTGGCCGACTGTGCACCATATCAAGCAAGTCGTTAATACTGACCGATGTTAGGATGTCACTCCTCAACCAGCAAGTCACCACGGACTCCGCCACTGCCTTGATTACATTGACAGCATGGTAAATATTGGTGATAGGAAACTACTCATTAAAATTTTCCACTATACTTGATGGAATATCCATGCTTTATTGTCCAGTATCAAATTGTAAATAAATCCTTAAGCCGACAATATGCGGAAACCACCGTGAAATCCGGCCGAGGAGCAGGTAGACTCCAAGTACGTCAGAAGTGTACAGTGATGCCGTACCTACCGCCGGCCGTTTGACCAACACTCGATGTTCAGCAGGGGTGTTCTTTCCATCGCACTTACCTTGGCTCAAAACTGTGTGTAGTGTAGTCCAAACACCTCAACGTCGAGTATAGAACAATACTTACGACTGAACCTGGTAGTAGATACGTACCTCTGTACTCAAACATACGGTACCCTCACTAGTGTATACTATGTCGTCCAAGACTTTAAGGTAACTCAGCTGGTACTCAACGCGACCTGTGGTATCACCGATCACGGATGGCCAGTCGGTCATGGCCACGGCCCTATTTCCATCACCTGGTCAAAGTCAACCTTTAGCCAGTTACAACTAGTGTACAATTTCATTTGCAGGCAGGTTAGAGCTAAGTACCCAGTCGGCTAGTCCTCCCAATTCTTACCGACTGACCGGTCTCTCAAGGTCTCGTTAGGTCTTCTCCCACAGTTTCTCCCACCATCCCGTCCCTTTCCTTCATTTGCCATGTGACAATTTCTTCACCACCCCGGACCACACACCTTGTAGTTCCTCGATCACATGTCTTGGCAGCAGCAGCCCGGGACCGTGTCGGTGGGCTCGAGGTTGGCAAATTGAGCAGACAGGCGGCATGGGCGTGGGTAGGTAAGCGGGAATGTTTCCGCTTTCCATGCATATGCCTTTTAGGAGACTAAGGGGACAAAAATGTCTCAGTCGTCTTTTGAGTGGATGTGACGGCGGCGGCGGCACGCGAGTGGAATGGGAATGAATAGGAATGACCAGTCACTTTGGTCAGGAACACTAGTCTTCTTGCTAGTGTAGTTTGATCCGTGGCCTTGGATTTGGATTTGCTACACAGTAGGCAAGCCACCATAAGGTAAGGATGACGGTAGGTAACAGCGTATGTAGTGTATGTACTGTGTAATAGTAAGACAAACGGAGATCATGAAATTATCAAACGGTACATTTCCACGTACGTATATGATCTCCGTGTCGATAAGGTGTGCGGCGTCGCCGAGGCGACCGGGATCTGCTCTGTTCTTTTTTTTTTTTTTTTTTTTTTTTTCTTCTCTCCAAGTCACCTCCCCCACCCGTGCCCGACCAACGACGATGAGCATGGATGAGTTAGATGACGGGATGTCACGGTAGCCTCATTCAAACAGAAGGTGTGTGGTTGAACAGAAGACGGGATGTAACCGAGGTTTACCAGGCTGTTGGGCCCGTATTGCGTGACTGAACGAAAAGATTGATCACTTACACGATTTTAGTAAGCATGTCAGTTCGCTCAGCCAGCCTTTGCATCTTTCAAGGCTTTCGGTCTTTTATTTCGGTCATCGGGACTGCGGAAAGATCTTCTTGATGCTGTCGATGAGTTTTGATAGGTTGATCTGCTTGTCTCAGCGCAGCGGTTGCGGCTCTTCGACTGATGATCATTTCGAAACAAACATCCACTGAGATGCTACGGACTGAATGTTGACGTTGGTTGAGGGTGTTCCGTCACTTGCATGATGTACTATTGGTGCTAGGTTCCTTGGGAAATTCATTCAGCTCTGGAATAGTGTACGTGTGTCTGCATATCTTCGGCGACACATCCATGATTAGGGTGACACGCGTTACGCTCGTAGATGGTACCGTACACTACTACCAGGTTAACAGTGTCACTCTTTCGCGAGCCAATTCCTTCCCACGCAAACAGGATCTTGATGATCTAGGCAAGGGTAGGGATACGATACAAGCTGAGATGGAAATACGGCATGAGATTGAGTAACCGGTCTCACTCATCAGTGAATTGGATGCCTCTCAGCCGAATCATTGCACATTTGAACGGAATAGTTGGTGCAATAATCCCGCTTGCCAAGAATGACTGTCAACCACTCACCACCTCAGCGGGAGTACACTAAAGTAGTGTACTGTCAGCAACATGAACCATCTGCAATCGGCATGTGGCAGTAGCCGAGGGACAGATGTGCAGGGAGTTATGCAGTTGGGTGGACATGATAGTAGAGCCTCAGGTTCCATTGCTTTTTCTGTCTCAGCCAGAGCAGAAGCAGATCCATTTTCAGCTCCAATGGCATGATTTAAGACTTGTAGTTCCGATACGTACCTGTACAAGCAACTTTGCCGTCGTATACACTGTGGGGCCAAGAAGAGCACATGGCCTCCGCCGAGCACTCATCTCATTTTGTGCAAGTGCTGACTGCAGGTACATAAGGTCCAGGCCGGGCCGGTTATACATGTAGTGTACACTATAGTGTACAGTCCTGCTGAACCGGTTGGCGGAAGCTGGATCTTGGGACACGGGCGGACTGCGGATCCGGGGATTGAATCGCAGATCTACGCAGTTCATCCGTCAGCCACCCGCGCTTGTTTTGTCCAGAAGGGTAAGGTGTTTGATCAGCATGGCTGTGAATGCAGTTCATTGTGAGTGTCAGTGGATGATGAAATTGCCAAATGAGAATCGCAAGGCTCGTCGTGGTCTGGCGCTTGTCTTGAATCCGATCCTACCTATAGTCCAAGCTTGCTCGGCGTTCAGTAGATGCAGTCGGCACTACAAGGGACAGCAGGGCGTAGGAGACTGGAAGTCAAGAAGCCAGCTGCCTGCCAGCCTCGCGACAGTCGGCAATGGAGCGGAAAACCAGCCGGCCGGTGGGAGGCAGTTGTTTGAGGTACTGTACTGAGGCACGCGGTTGCAGCGGTTTTTGCAACTTCGGATTGTTGGTTGGCTGCCCAAGATCTGACCTGGAATGGAGTCAACCGAGCTCGATTACGGTGTGTTGAGGGAGTCGTGAGGATACGTGAAGGGTTGGCGGTTGGGAGACGAGATTTTGCATGTTCCATAGCAAATCATTTGGTTTTCCGAGATTGACATTGTAAGCTGACTCGACCTTACATCAATGATGCAGTGTCGAAAAGAGTAACCGGCGATCGAGGAGCGGCAGGCAGCAAGAGTAGAGGTCAGGTCGGTGATGGCATTGTTGCTTGTGCCTTCCTATTCAAGAAGCCATCGCCGGTGCTCGTCCAAACCAAGGCACTACCCTACTCATGGTGAGTCTGCCGGGAGGGCCCGCGATCGTACCTGCCTATTTTTTGTGGCGGCGTTGTCGTATTGGATCGTGTCGATGCAGGAATTGAGGAAATCGCTAGCCGCGCTCTTTCTGGCTGATGACATCGGTTGATAGGCTCTTCACTCACTTACGTGTCGGCCATTGATATTCGGCGACATTTTGATCAAGGGCGTTCAAAAAGTCGTCGGGCATGGCAAAGCCGAACAATGTCGGCGTAAATCACGAGGCGTTTCTTACAGCGGAAGCGGCCCTCCGATGCGTACGCGTTGGAGCAGAAAGAGGAGGGGGCCCTGGGGATCACGAAATTCCGCGTGTGATCAAGTGAGAACGCGAGTGTGGTGTGCCACGCAGTGAATGATGCGAGGGCTCGCCCGGCGTTCTACGGTGCTGTTGCGGCGCAGGGGAACGACTTCCGCCCCAGGTCCCCGGATATACGCGCATCCATTGTCATAGGATCTCTCTGCTTTGTGAGCTGACGTTACAACGTGCCATCGCATCGTCTTCTCTTTTTTCTCGGGCTCCTTCGCTCTGCAACCTCTCCATGTTCGTAAGCTCGATGCTTGATTGGCTGATTGCCAACATCCTTGGCCTCAACGCCGACTGGTACAGGGCTCATCCAATGCCAGGGCATCAGATTGGCAGGGGGTCCATTTTGAGGTTGCTGCCGTCCTAGGGTCAAAGTATGGTTGCCAGAAATAGGTCAAAATGCGTATGCCCTCGTTCATTGAAATTTCTCAAGGTGGCTGTTGCGAGTGTTATTCGGTGACTGCCTAGATCCGAGGCGGCCGTAAAAAGGGTCCTTGGGGCGAGGTGGCTGCGATATGTCGCCGATATAGCCGTAGAAGTCGCCGATTTGAGGACGCCCCAGGGTGTCAACATGACTGTCACGGTGTCCCGGTGCCGTGGTCCAGGAAGTGAGTAGTCTATACAGGTGCCGAAAGTGGACAAAGAGGCAGTACAGCCATGTATCTCTCCGGCTCGCTTTTTTGTCCTGTTGTTGCGAACGATCAATCTACTGACTCCTCTCCGCCCTGGGAGAATGGAAACTGAACATTCTCCACGAGACCCTTTGACCTGGGTCGCTCCGTTTTCTCTGCTGCGCGCCGTCAGCCATCTCCACCTGATCGAAGTACACCTCTGCCGGCTTGTAATTTGTTCGCGCGGTACCACCAACATGCAATATTCAGGGTATTGAATGTGAGAGAAGCAGCCATCTTTTGTATGGAAATAAAGTTATTGCCACTACAAAAGTTCACCGCGCTAACCTTTCAAATGCCGGCAGAGGTGCACATCGGAGGGAGAGGTAGCATGTGTACCTCTACCGTGACCCGACATTTGGTGGCTTGCAAGGTGTGTACTGCGTAGAGGTAGGCACCGTAACGTATACTTACATGCGACCGAGTCCCGCTTCAGCCTGCGACGGCGTGCCAAACGCCGCTTTATCTGCCAGAGGCCTGGTCGAGATCTCGGCCGGCCCTTTTTTCCCCCTTGTGTTTTCCTTCTGTGGGTACGCAAAGCAGCCTTGCGGAATCACGATGGGGCCCATCGACTGGTGAAATATATGTACTGGGCATCGTGTATCTTTCCCCCCCGGTCTGGTCCGGTCCGCCTCAGGATCCAGTGGTCAAGGGTCCAAAAGCCAAGTTCCCGTTCCGACTAAACGAAACGAACTCCTCTGGGCTCCGTTCGTGTAAAATACGTGTACCGCGACCCCGTAGCTGCACGCCTCATACGTACTGCTGCCCACCGTACACTAATAATCTAGACCGCATTGTTGGAAGTGGATGGTTGGGCTGAACTACCTACCTACTTTCTGCAGCCATCCGCTCGAGGTAGTACACAGCTTCGTCGTTGTTGTTATTGATGATGATGTTGTTGCTGTAGCCGCCGCCCTGGTCCTCCCCATCGCCCCCCGTTTCCAGTCATCTTGCTAGCTCTTCTGATCTTTTGATGCTGGCACGAAGATACGGTGAATCGAGGATCGCGATTGTTGGTATGCGTGCGCTTTCCATCCGGGGGTGTGGTAAAGTGCGTAGCGGCGCTCTTGTAACTTTGGCGATCTTTGTCTATGTGATGCAGTTGCGTGGGAAACTGAGAAGTTGGCCGAGGGGTTTGGGGGATCGTGTTACGTCGGCTATCTGGTGCACATCGACATGCCCAATGCGACCGCCCGCCTGTCAGGAAGAGGATGGGCGGAGATTGGGGGGGGGGTTCTAGCGTGGTGCGTTATGTGAATGTGCGATGTCTTGCAGTAGTGGACGGATACCTAGTCTGGACCTGACCAGGGGCGCGTGTCAAATGGAAGCCGGGCAACTGTCGTCCATGTAGCTGTACATGGACGTTTTGCGTTCTGCAAACCAGCTGTCTTTTTAGCGTCTCTTTATAGGGGAGTGCCGGGGCTGCTAATGTCGAAATGCCGACACTGTTTTTGGCAGCGCAGTACTTCGCTTTTCACACTGCCATCCAACGGGCATGACACGCACACCGATTCGGATGAAATGTCAACAAAGCAAACCTACTTATCTCGCACCGCGCGGTCAAGGGTTTACCGCCATTAAGCTGGCACGAAAAAAATGGTGAAAACCCCAAGTGCCAAGTTTGAAGGTGTATGTACACCTATATTATTTCCTGGTACACTACACACCATTCTTCAGCTAGGAGTGTATTTGTCGGAATAATCAACACCGACCCAACAGACTGGGTCAGCTAAGGCCCTTGTCCGACCACCCATAATAGTGTAAGCCCCTGAGCCCATGCTGCCCCATCATTGGATCGTGGCATCAGGGGGTGTAGTGTAGGGAACTAAATTCTCTCGTGCTGATCGATGGTGAATAATGTTTTTTCCGTCCCACCGAGTTCCCACCGCGCTCACGAGGTAATCGGGGGAGATCCCCTTCGTTCGCTAGCTGAAAGACCAGGTACGAGCCCTGTATCGCCGGCTTTGATGATAAAAAGAGATGGTGAAAAAAAATGGGTAGTGTGGGAAGGAAGTGCTGCCAATCAGCCGTGAGGGGCTGTTAGTCCCAACTCTTTTCTTATTTCTATTGAACTTGCAACAACGTACTTTCCATAACAAATATGTATAAAAATAAATCATCGACGGGGGGTATTGCCTAATAGCGCCATACCCGCTAATTCGAGCTATGTACACCTGCTCGGAGGAATGTCATGTCAAAGTAAACTGGCGTTGATGCTGGTCTGGTAACTTGGGGTTGAACCCAGGCGAGCTAGCTGTACGGGTTGGTGTTTTGGCTGTCCTGATCCACAGAACTCGGCGTCCAGCTAAGCTTCCACTCTCCCATGTTTGGCCTTAACCCAGTGGTACGTTTCCCCAATAGCTCCATCCACCCAACCGCCGTGTCTCCTGTCTCCCGCCCTACCGAATATGGGAGAAATGTGTCAAGGACCACCATACTCTCGGGTCTCTGGATGAGACATGCCTTCGATCATGTAAAGCCTGCGCCCCCCGCATCCGTCATAGGTCATCACACAAAGTTCCTCATCCCTTCTCGCCCAAACTATCCCAACCATACATCAAGCTCGACACGGAGCCAGAGATTCATGGGTCATTCCATCACGACCTCGAAAAGAGAAGTCAAGACAAGATTTCCCCAAGCATTCTCCGCAGTCCGCCTCGCGAGAACCGTAGTATGCGCCCACATCATCCGAACCGTAAAATCTCCAATGACCTAGTGCAAAAGCAAGAAACCGCCCTATCCCTTGTTTTTTTTTTCTTTTGAACGCCGGACCGAGTTGGGGAGAAACATGCCTTGATACGTAAGCCACACCAATTATACACACAACGTCCAACCAACTCCGGGTCTTGCGACCAAAAGCAACTTCCCAACTCCTTGCGCTGGAGCACGAGACACTTGAAAAAGAAAAACCCAACACAGCATGACAATTGGTAACGCCTGGTATCCAGAAGAGATAGCAATGCTTTCCAAGAAGAAAAAGCCATGTCGAGCCAAAATGTTCGCCTTCCAATGACCGGATTGGACAGAACGTGAATCACAAGTCATGGCCTTCAGCGGCGCTGTGAATCAGGGGCGACACTGTCGTCCCCGGATGACTCCGTTGGTTCGTAGACGTTCAAGCATTCCGTCAGGACTATTCCCAAGGTTAGCAAGGGTATTCCACTTTTGAAGTGTCTCGGCAGCAGGTGTAACTTACTTTCAATGATTTGTTCCTCCCAGACGCCATATTGGTAGTCGACGAGACCATGGCGCTCAATTGAGTCGCACAATCTGATAAGCTCCTTCCCCATCTTTTTCAATCCTTCTGCCGAGATTACGCTCTGTGAGCGCTGTGGTTGTTGGCCAGATTCCGTCATTTCTTTCTGGCGCTGGAGCATACCCAACCAAGCATGATTGAAGTCGTTCCACAGCTTGATTCTGTCACCATGTAAACTTTGGTCGTCTGAGGTCAGTCCTACCAAGAATTTTACCGTTAGCATGCCTACCATTGCCTAAAACCGGATACGCTGGAAGCGTCTCAGCTTACCTAGGTCTGCCACATGCGACAAGAGCCAGTCCGAGACACGGATGAGCGAGTCACTAGCCGTGGCCAGGACACCGTTCTGTATGTTTTGGAATATCTCCTTCAATGCTGTTTGATAAGACGCGTAAGCGTGATCCAGGGTTCCTCCCGCCGGATAATCGTCCTCCATCCTGACGTCGGAGGTTGAGGTAGCCTGCGCATTCATACCTCCCATACCAGTCATCCCACCAGACGAATAACCTGGCATGCTAGATTGCCCATATACCTGTGCGCTGGAAGGTCCTGTTTGCGCCTGCAAAGCAGTTGCTGCCGCCGTGTTTGTTGGCTCGCTGGAGAAATACGGGGCAGTGACATCAGTTGCCATCATTTGCAGTGTGGCCGGTTGCCGTTGAGGGAACTGCTGGCTTGTGTCGTATACCGCGGTGCTCTGTGGCCCGGCGCCTTGGGGTACGTTATACATCAGAGCATTTGGATTGTAGGTGCTAGCGAAGCCTTGAGTTTGTCGTGTATCAGGCTGGCCATAGTCAGACGGTCCGTGGTGATAACTCATCGCGCCCTGAGGCATGGCGGTCGTGGGAAATCCCGCCGCCGATGGCTCTTGATAATAACCGCTGTAGCCAGCCGAACCGCTCATTCCTCTGGCCGCTCCTGATGGCGAAGATGTAAGAGGTGCAGCCCGGTACCTATCCCCCTGCGCGCCAGCAAAAGACCTCCGCTGCTGCGTCGAGTCATGCAGCGACTGGTGGTAGCGCGGGTTGGGCGCGCCATGAATAGGCGGCTCGTTCTGCCTCCTCTGGCCCCTGTTGTCCTCCATCATGCCGAAAGCTCGTGTGGTTCAATCGAGCGCTTTGGACGGCGTGTTTACCAGGTATCCAGCTCACAGTGAAGCCGGGTCGTTTTAGGGGAGAGGTGAGGTGGTCGGCGCTTCGGCCACACAATAGTCGGCTTCGATAGAGCTTCGACGCCAAAGGTCCAGGCTTGGTTTTCGAGTTGGCTTGTCGAAGCGGACCGAAAATTACCAGGCGCAACAATTTTCGCAATCGCTCGGGGGCTGATAGATAGTGATCCCGGAGGTGTCGGAGGGATGTAACAGGATCTAAAACCCTCTGACACGAGTTTCTTGTGCTACCGGAGGATCAGCCCGAGGTTGGCCGTGAGGGCAGTCTCGATAGCAGCGTCTTTTAATCGCGCTACTTTCTTTAAAGGGCCGAGTGAACTTTGCCCAAAGACAACGGCGGATGCGAAAAAGGCTTGAAAAGAGGATTTCGCTGTTGAATATGTTCTTCAGCGAGTGGCACCTCCCCGCAGGAAAGACTCGAGATTAGCGCTAAGGAGCGCGTGTGAACTCTGCGTACCGAAAGTGGGGATGGCGAATTCGGTCACGGTGAAGAGTTCTTGACGAATAGGCTTGTGAACTGTGCTGGTGAGAAGAGTGGGCAAAGTGGGTGGCTTGTCAGTTGAGCCAGAGATCAACTGGGAAGATCCCAGATGCCTTGGTGTCGAGGCGTTGGCCACGCCTCTGTCTGCGTTCAAACTGCCGCACCACAATCCTCAAAAAGACCGCGTCGAAGGAGCAGGCGGGCTGCAGGGTGATCCCGTACACCTGCCTCTCTGAGAGCTGAGACCTTTTCTTCGATGTTAGCCCGGTTACGGTTACAAGTGGTAAAGCAAAACGGACGTTGTGAGGCGGTCGGGCCTGGACCGTGACAGAACGTGCTTCTCGGCCGTCCAAGAAGGATAGGAGCAGGCGGAAGCAGGGCTCTCGTTGACTGTGACAGCGCGCCGAGCGTGGGTTAGGTCTTGCTCGTACGAGACGCTAAGGAGCTTAACCACTGGTGACGGGCGAGACAGCTCGAGCGAGTTTGGGAAGTGGGACTCGATACGAAAAGACCGAGCACCACTTTGTTTTGACAGCTTTGACGGTTGAAGCACGGCACGGCCGGAGCTGATTTGCGGCCTGGTCGGGTTGAAATTTTCGAACGCAAACTCTTGAGAGACAAAGATGTCTCATGGGACTGCCGGGGTGGTGACAGAAAACTGTGCCAAAGTCAGGAACAGTTGATGTTGGTTGACTGAGGACAGATTGACGCTGTCCTGAAGGTGATGGCCGAGATTGATATACTGCCTGGCTACAGTTCAAGGCAGAGAAATTTCTTATTAGTCGTGGTGAGTGAGTGAAGAGGAGAAGAAGCAGGAAAGTGATAAAAGCTCCACCTCAATCGAGGGCTTTGATGGTAGGTGGCCGGGCTACGTACCTGGGGGTGTCTGCGCCAGAGGTGGATGTTCGGCTCTTGGCTAAGACATACGGGAAAGAGAGAAACGGAAGTAAGGTAAAATACTGGTAGTGTGATGTCGGGAGACGGCTGCAACCCCAGGTAGGGCCTGGGTAGGGCCCAGCTTTCTCAGGTAGGGCGGGGAGATCTGCAACAACCCCAAAGAGGCTTTAAAGAGGACCCCTTCGCGCCCAGTGCCGGATGAGTCTCCGACAGGGGAATCGTGATTGTGGATCTATGAAGACGGGAGGCTGAACCCCAGGCTGATGGTACGTGGCGTTCGACGAGCTCCGACCGTCTACGAGGAAAAGGGTACGTAGCCCTGAGGCCTAGTCTGCTGGTTTGGAAACGTGACGTCGCGATGGGTGTGCTAGGGGTCTTCCACTTGCTGGGGTGCGTTGAGGCCTTGGTGGATGCCCAGCGGTGCCGCTGAACGTAGTCACGTATCATTAGTCGTGAGAGTATTAGCCGTCGAGCTGATTTCTCCAGTTCCCACCCATGCTCTACCACACGGCCACTTGGATACCTGATATCAACGCTGGCGACAGCCTTGACGATGACGGCGAAGCCGCGGAGAGGGAGAGTAAAACTCCAGCAGAGCCGATTTACACTCCCGCCTGACAATCCTTCAACCGAGGATATTGCCAAAGGATGATGTTGCTGATCTTAAGGGGACGCCGATAGAAATGTTGCTTGGAGAAAAACCCGGTGTTGGACTGTGAGTCGACCGCCGTATTTTCTTCTCAGCTCCTATCTCATTTTCGTTTCATCTCACACACAAGTGTCAAGGTGGTGGCTAAGAAAGTCAATCAGAGCCACTCTATGTTCTGCTTAACACCACCAGCGCTGACAGATTCTACCCAAAATTAATGATGATGATGGTGGTGGTGGTGTTGTATCTCGGCCTAGGGCAGGTGGGTTGCGGAAGCCCGCTTCCGTTGCTCTCGGTTCCGTTCTTTTATTTTTATTTTTCTTTTTCTTTTTTTTCTTTTCCTTTACACCTCTTCGGCTGCCGTTTCCTTTTCTACGACACTTGACGGCTCGGACCTTTCCTTGACTGTCGGGCATCAAAAAGGGGGCTACCACACCGTTGACGTCGTCCGAAAATCTCACCCTGGCGGGATCGTGTTCACCAGTCACCTTGAGGCGGTGTCCTATCTTCGGCGGGCAGTGGAAGCTGGGCTTGGTAAGGATTTGAAGAATAAAATGACAGATAAAGGTTGAACGTGCAAGGGCCCGGTGGAACCGGTGGGATGAAATGCTGGCCTTGGTGTACTATGGTGAGATGGGCAAGTTAAACCCGTGGATCAGGTCGTTGAACACACAGTGCCCACGAAGCTTTGGCTTTGGTGGTCTGTGCAAGATACCTGACAGGGAGGTAAAACTTTGGCTCGCAACCGCAGTACCGCCAGAGGTAAGGATGTTGTACGTGGTTGGGCAGGCCGATGAGCCTAGGGGAAGACATTGGAGCTGAGAGAGAGCCGTATCGGGTATGGTACCTCATAGCGCGAGATGAAGAAAACGGTATTGGAGAGGACACCCAAGAAGGCCTAGCACGTAGCCAAGAGACGACTGTACGTCTTTGGTTGTTCCGGTGAAGGAAACAATGTACAACAGTGCAAGTAGAGTCTGGGAGAAGCAAAGGTCGAAGCTTCATGTCTGAGGTTGGAAAACAAAATCATCACGTCCAGTTGACCGAGACATTAGGCAGGTTCGTTTGAGGTACATGGCAGGTACGCAGTGTCTGTTAAGGTCTGCAATGCGCCTGCCCAACGGGAAAACCCAAGCTCTGGACGCCAGTGCCAGATCCGGAAGAAGACAGCGTGGAATACTGTTCAAACGGCAGGATCAGGTCCGGTAAGCAGCCAGGCCGATCGCTGATCTCGCTGAACATGGATGCCCTGTGTCGTGTCCTCCTGTCTGACCCAGTTGTGCCTAGCATAAACGGAGCCAAGTACTTAATCGGCATGCTGGACAACCACTGCATTGCTGTGGTTGCAGTACCAGAAAATCTGATCTGTCCATACATGACCCTGCCTAGTGTGCTAGTTAAGGCGTTATGTAAGGTAGGGTTGTGGTGCGGAATTGGTGCGTGGCAGCTGTCACTTTGATCGGAATTAACCAGACGAACCATTTTGTCGGCGAGCTGGGTGTTCCAGGCCACCGACAAGCTTCACGACACGAAGAGGGATCCAGGAAAGACAGGGAACCTACGCGTTCACCTGTACCTGTAAGGTACTCTGTGATTTGCATGCTGTTCCCTGAAACTTTGGCTACCCGGCCATCCCGTCACAGCTTCCCAGCACTGCGTATTGCCATGTAATGATCAAACGAACTGATCACCCTTGAGCGGTTCGAGCCGTTTGGCTCGACCTGATTCGTTCGTAGATGACCCTCATCCTGCCAATTGGTTTCTGGTTCGGCGACCTGACTCCGTGTGGTACCCGTTGTCCGTTATCCGCCGCCATCGTCGTTGCTTCCGGGTTGTGCCCGAACAGAAAAAGGTACATCCAGGTATTGAGGACCTATCCCCAGGTACACTAGTCATGCGTAGCGTGAACTAACGAACGGACGCCTCTAGCACCATGCATCTCCTGCGTCACGCCTTGCAGGAGATGACTGCCATTGCCTGCCTATTACTCTGCGGCCAGTAAGGTCGGGCTGGTGGCGCGAGCTCGTGTGCAGGTACGCGGGGGGCCTTGTGCTTCGTTAATGTTCGCTCCCGCAACACTCCGCCTTCTGTTTGATTCTTGAGACAACCTCATCATGTCCCTTGGTACCTTGTTGGCCATGCTTGGTTGGGCGTCATGCTACAGGTTCCCGGGCCCCAGGTTGGAACCAGAAAGAATGGCTATGTTTCAGTCTCAGCCGCCACTGATCTGAAAAAGCAATTTGTTTTGGGCTGACAAGGATCGCGAATCAGAAACAGCACAATGGCTCCGGGTGAAAGGTCGATGCCGTTCGGGCCTCATTATTGGCCATCAACGCTACTCCAAAGTGAAGAGGGAGGACAAGGCCCAAGGACTTCCGATTCGGCTCCAGCTGGTCGGCAACCGCCCGGCACTCACCGAGGCAGCAGGAGCACAGAAGAAACCAAGGGGCGGCGGCGGCGGCGGTGGTGGTGGTGGTGGTGGTGGTGGTGATGGCGATGGTGGTAACTGGAAATATGGACCAATATCGATTTCATGGAGTTAACAGTGATGGCCATTCTGCCATTCAATACTCCAGCCCACGGTACTTCCGAGCCTGACTTCTCCCACTAACAGCCAATCCTGTGGTAAACGACCTTCGATCCAGACGGGACTCGCCCAGATCCCGCTCGCTCTGTAGCCACCGACCCCACTGACTGACCGAACGTTTGGGTAGGAAAATTTGTTCCATGACGAGCTTTGATGCCAGGCATGCTTACCTGCAGCAGCAGCAGCAACGGCATCGACGGCGGCGTCAACGAAACGGCAGTACAGATGATGGACTACCTCTATGATTTTTGGTATGGGATGATCCTCCGGCGGCCTGGAAGCTCCACTTTGGCGGTGGACAGCGGTGGACAGCGGTGGACAGCTTTGGGTGTATCTGGGGCACCAGAGAGGGCAGGCAGAGAGGCAGGTAGGAAGAGGTACCGGTACCGCGCTTGCTGCAGGCTGGTAGCATGTACTGCTGGCGTATCTGTTTTCACAAAAGGATTCCTGCGCGTCAAGATGGGGGATCCATGTCGTCGAGTTAAGAGTATCGTGAGCCAGGGGGGGAGGGCGTCCGCTCGGCGTCCACTCGCGTCGAAGAATGTCGTCAAACGGAGGCCCAGCTCTGCCGGACTACTGCGAGGTTAATCCCTGTCAAAAACCTGTGGTGGGTTGCGTTCTCGTTGCGTTGCTCTGGAGAAGGCTCCTTCGCTCGACCGCTCCAGAATTTGACGCAAGGGCAAATCAGACGCGGTGCCTGTCGTTTTTCCTTGGGACCGTCCCCTGGGGCCTGTCTGGGACCGCTAGCCGGAAAGCTCGTACCGGTACCTCGATGCTAGCTGAGGTTTGCGTGCTCCATCGAGCTTGCGCACATGGCGGCGGGGTTACGGCGCTGCGCCCATGAATTAGCCGGACAACTGCACTGTACTGTTACCTGTTTTCTCGTTAGTTTTTGTACGGACCGTGCACTGTATACGCCAAACTCGAAGTCCGTCTACGTGGTGTCGCGATCAGGTCGATCTTCTTTGCAAAATGATTGGCTGAAAGCTCAAAAGCCGAGCGATTTACTCCTATTTTCATTCGATCCTTTCACTTTCTTCCCTGCCTCATCAAGCTCTGTAAGAGATTTCCGTTGCTGCCCTGGCGTCGATGACCTCGAATCCGCAATCAATGACACGGACATTCGAGATTTTTTGAATCTTGGTCTTCAGAGGTCCATCTCCTTGTTTTTCGATTGCTGGTCGCCGACGCGTACATTCTGCAACAGGCCTGCAATTCAACTTTCGTCTGCTGCGCAATCAATTGGCTTCGTCGTGTCTTGGGTGCATGCGAAGAGATTTAAGGGGTCGGTCAGGTTCGGCCGTTGAGAAACGAAGCTCCGGCGCACAGCTTTGACTTCATGTGAAATCGGATCCATTGGCTGCCTGGGCTTGTTCATCTACACGCCTCTACTATAATTTACCTACCAATAGGTCGGCCTATATCGCCGCCCGAAATCATGTCGACTCCATCGCCGCCGCCGAGTCCTGCCAGAAGCCATCCGATCTGGCAACCCCGGATATCCTCTGTTGGTCGCGATGTTGTGTTTCGCTCCGGCTTCGCTTGATTTGTTATGTTTCCGTTGTTCCCGATGTCTTCTTCGCCGTTGCTGTCGGTGGACTCGAAATGCCTAGCTTTTTGCCTCTGTGGATGACGGTGGGCTTAGTTATCTTGCGCTACGGTCACGCGCTCAATGCGGTCGAATTTCCATCACAACGCCAGCTGACTGCTCTCTGTCTCGGTCCTAGATCCTAATTGCCTATACGGCTTGCAGCGTGCGTTGCTGGCATGCCAACAAGCCTGCGTGAATGACAACCTACACTAATCCTCAAAACACACCCAGGTGCGCAGATCCTGGATCGCAACTCTTCGGAGAAAGTAAGCGAATCTCAGAATCTCTCTTTTGTGTTGCCAAATTACACGGGGGGAAGCTCCGGTTGGCAACTACTCGACAGCTCAACCGGGCTCTAGAGAACTGAGTTTTGCTGAACACGGATTCGAATTTGGATTCACAGCGGGCATGGCAAACGAAATACCGTTCCGATTGTGCTTATGGTACAGGTTACGGTACGACGCCATTGCCAATCGAACCGAGCGGCCAAATTCAAACCATGAACCGATCAACTTCTCCAAATTCCATGACTGTTTAGAAATTCGGACAGTTACGCGTATCTGCTACGCCGATGACCTCTATGAGAAGGCATCACCAAATTCCCTCCGTTCCTCTTCACTGAGTCAATTTCTTTGGCAATCATGATGTTTCCGCTCACATCAACTAGTTGTGACCTGTCGCAATCGAGCCACTACGTTTCCACTCACAAGACGAATTGTTGGCTAGTACCTAGTTATCAGCTCGAACGATAAATAATCCGTCTATGCAGTAGTGTAGGTCCATCGTCGTGACAGCATCCACTTACGTTTCCTTGGGTCTTTACAATGGTCATGCATTCCATTTAGCAGCAGTTCAAGCGCTTACACTCGCATAATCTAAAGATATACCGAGTAACACCAGCCCATCGATGCATCGTTTTGTTTTCCCCCTCCCGGGACCGAGGCTAATAAGCCCACTATCTGACTGACATGAATCCACGATGCCCACAAAGTCGCAGCAAAATACTTGGCCGCACGGGCCATCCTGGCCTCGAGGCCAAGATCGGACATAAGTTGAAGGAACGAAGTAGAAATCTCGATTCCCAAGTCTCATATCAAGGTGCTAGTCACTCTCGAGCATCAAAAGCATCGAACGTCAACTCCAAATCCAAATTCCAGCTGCATCCCGAATACGGGAGATAGGTAGCGAACGCGCTCACAGGACCGGACTTTATCCTACAGGACAGCGGCCATTCGCATGACGGATCACGAAGCAGCCCTCATTTCCTCCGTTGCCCAAGCCTTGGGTTACGCGTCTAAACTCCCAAAAGCATTTTGGCCTTCTAAACAGTATCACGAATGACTCCAGCAATTCGTGATTTCTTCGCACTTTTTATCCTTTACCTTGCGGCGTAGCGGGGTCACCAAAGACTTGGTGTATGTAAGTTACGTCTTTGGTGTGGGTAGCGTAGAGGTAGATTTATCAGCCCAACACAATGGGTTGATCAGGATTGCCGTTGAGCATGTCATCAAAACACACTGAAGCGATCCTGACTATTGCATGTATAAGGAGAAACAACAACTCCTGGGTTGTCTGCTCAATGACAGTTAGACCAGAAACAAACTGTCCACTTAAAATGTCGTTGGATAAGATCGAACCCCTAAAATGTCACATCCGACTTCGAAACAGCTTCTAGAAGCATGTTCGTCCTTGACAACAATTCAATAGATCACCACAGCCAAGTGTGTGTGTGTGTCTGTGGACCGGTTGTTTACGACTTCATCCTCAACTTCTCCCGTCATATTGCAGAAATATTGTGCAGCTTCCATAAAACCATCGTTATGTATCGACACCATCAAGTAGCGATTTCAGACGAAACGGGACCGCATAAGACTCATCAGCTGCCAGAAGTCTCCCAATGCGTTCATCTGGCATCAGTCACATCCACAAATTGGGCGATTTTGCCATGATAATCCAGGTCAAAGGGATCGTGCTCTCGACCACCTCATACTAGGCCACTTATATACGAACGCGAACGTGAGCACTGCAGTGTATGGACCTCTGACTACCTATTCCGACCTCATTACGGGCCAAGCATAATGAGAATGGTGGGACTTGGGACAATAATAAAGCATGACATGGTTACCAAACACCATCTTATAGGATCCTTACAGTCCCCAGGGCCCTCGGGCGAGGATGCTTCACACGGATTGCACTCTGCCGCCACGGGAACGGAATCTGAAGTTCAGAAAACGTGGTTCTGACAGCGCGGCTAACCCACATGTGCCTTGCAGTGCGTATCGTTCCCACCTAATCTGTGAGATGGGAGTTGTTCGGCATGCCTCTTACACATTGGATGTAACCCCCGGATGGTTCATGACTTGTAGTCGCACGAATCAGTCAACCCATCACAAGCAAAACCCATGTCAAAGTTGCAGTGATGCCGGTTGAAGAGGCCGGGCGTCGAATCGGTTTGCATACCTTTTCTTCCATAGCAAAAGATCCATTGTAACCCCCCAGCACACACATAAATTGTATTATACACACACAACAAGGTCGTGCCGGCCCCCCCTGACACGGTTTGTTGAACCCTTCCTGTACAAGTACACGCGTGCTTGCCTGAGATCGACCTGTGCTGAACTTGGTAGGCCCAGGCGAGGCCCCAAGCGAGACGGACACTCACATGCATATCCACATATAGAGTACGCACATGAGAGAAAATGCTTCCCAGAAAGAAAGGAGCTGTGATGCTGCGCTGGTGGGGAAAAAAAGCATCGCTCCATTTGACTGGTCGTTCGTGCATAAACCGAAACTGAGGCAGCATATTCACAATGCCCCCCCAAAAACGAAACCCATCCAATAATACCACAAACTGTAGCAGGAGGACGATTATCTCTTGACCCAGGTAGGCATCTTTCTGGCCTTGACATGGCCGTGCTTCTTTCTTTCGACCTTCCTCGGGTCGCGTGTGACACATCCGGCTACAGTAAGAGAAAGAGGGACTTGTTAGCAAAGGTGCATCATCCCTACCTACCATACCGCAAAAGCCCGTATGGCGAGGCACAATCATAGAAAGCCAAGACGTGTGTGATGTAGTGCGAAGCTTACCCCTTCTTAACGCCGGCTTCAGAGCAGGCTCATGAGCCAGCAAGGCCTTTGCGATAGCCAGCGTAATGGCCTCCGCCTGACCCGTGGTACCACCACCCTCCACCTTGACCCAGACGTTGTACTTGTCAATGCGATTTGTTGCGCGCAAAGCCCAAACAGCGCTCTCGCGATCGTGAACCCGCCCAAAGTACTCGGCCAAGGTCTTGCCGTTGACCAGAACCTCGCCGGTACCCTCCACCACGAAGGCCCGAGCACTCGAGGCCTTTCTCTTGCCGACTCCACAAGCGCGGCCACACTGGTCGATTGGGATCGGTTTGGCGACATTTGTAAAGGGTTGTACGTTGCGCCTGAAGCTGTCGAGCACATCCTTGATCTCTTGTGGCTTGAGGTCGGGGTGGATCGAGTTGAGCCGTTTGACGAGAGCCAGACACCTTGCGAACTCGGATGCCTTGACCTGCTCGCCGAGCTCTTTCCTGATATCCTCGAGCGTCTTCCAGGCCACGCGCTCGACGGCGGTCGCGGGGATGACAGGAAGGTCTTCGTACTCCTCCATGAGCTTTTCTAGGGAAAGATAGTTGTCGTAGAACCGGGGCGTCCGGGTGAAGTACGAGGGCGACACGGGGACGGCACGGGCATAGGGATGGAGTTTGAAGTTGTCTATGCTGAGCGCAGGGGCGGCGATGAATTGGCCATCTACGTTCGGGTTGTGGTCGTGGGCGTGGGTGGACAGGGACCTCGAGCTGGAAGACGCAAGGGAGCTGATGCGCAAAGCGCCGAATTGCTGGTCAAGCGACTGCCATTGCGCCGACTTGGAACAGCCCTGGCGGGAGCTCCGAAGAGCATTGGTAATGCTGTGTCTAAGAGATGCCATCATTCACAAGCGGCTGTTCACCTCTCGTACATTATCGGGCCCCGAGGGCTACTGGATCGGGAGAGGAGTGGGATCGGGGGGTCGAGGTGCGGTCGGCTCGCCGATGGGTATCTTTGGGGCTGTCGGGGGCGAGGGCAGGTCCAGCGCGGGCAGTAGTCAATCAGGTCCGGACTCCGGGTCCCGTCTGCGCGTCGTGGGCCGTCCCGCGGCGGAACAATTCGCAAGAGGATTTTTCCACCCGGCAAGCGGAAAATGGGAGCTCGGACCACCCACACATGCTTCCCACTCAAGCACCCGCCGCACTCACCTCGCCTGGGCTCCCGTCACCTTCCCCTCCACGCACGCGGCCCCGACAGGGGGACCATTCCGCCCGGCAGGCAGATAAGACAAAACGCCCGGCAATCAAGCGGCACCTTGTTTCCTGGGCTGGAAGCCTGGCAGCCAACAAGGCATGGCACGAGGGAACGAACTGAAAGCACAGACAGCGGAACTGTGAATCACTGGCCGAAAGCAGACCATCTCAATGGAATCCCTATCTGGGCAGCCTTCCACAGCCGCCAACGGGCCGGCGGGCGGTTAAGGTACTGAGCTCTCTCTCATGCATTCTGTCGAGTTCCAGCGCTGCGAGGTTCTGATGTGAGGGGAAGCAACCCAGCTGCCAGAACGGGATGCAGGCTCAGCAGCACAGGCAATTTCCCCGCCACTGCCGTGGCCGCACGCATGCCCCACCACAGATAAAATTTCCTCTGTGTCTTCCCATCCACATCATCCATCGCACAGATCCCTTTTTATTTGCTTCCCCGTCACCCCTCTTCTTCCCAAACCCATCTTTCCTCATCATTGATCAATTATCAAAGATGGCCTTCGGAAAGCTTTACACCTACGAGGTAAGATGAGCAGAATTCACAGATTGCGGCGCTCGTCTTGACACGGCGGGCGCCTGCGGACGAGCGCCGACATTCTAACAGATTCTGCTCACTAGGCGAACCCCCGCTCCACGGCCATCTTGGCTGTCGCGAAGGCCAACAACCTCGACCTCGAGGTTGTCAAGGTCGACCTCGAGGCTGCCATCGAGGAGTACAAGAAGGTCAACCCTCTCGGCAAGGTCCCCACCTTCGTCGGTGCCGACGGCTACACTCTCTTCGAGTGCATCGCCATCGCCATCTATGGTACGTTGACAGAATATATTGGGCGTCAAGCAAGACTGCCCTGCCCCGCACTTTGAAACACGCAACAACTTTGCGCCAGATACCCTCTGATGTGCTAGCGCACAACCCCTTGCCCCTTCGACCTGATGACCGAGACATTTTTCAAACAGTTATCCCTATCTGAAATACGGTGTTGACTTGGTTCTAACTTCTGATTGTCGAACTCACTCTTTGTCCTCTTGCAATTGCCACGTATCTTGATTGGACAGTCATGGCTAACGGACAACAGTCGCTTCCCAGAACGAGAAGACCACTCTCCTCGGCAAGACCAAGCAGGAGTAAGTTTATGGTCGAGCATTCAAACCTGTGCAATCACCTGCTAACGCGTGGTTCAGCTATGCCTCCATCCTGAAGTGGCTCTCTTTCTTCAACACCGAGGTCCTTCCCCCCCTTGCTGGCTGGTACCGCCCTCTCCTTGGCAAGGCCCCCTACAACAAGAAGGCTGTTGAGGACGCTCAGGCTACTGCCCTCAAGGCCATCTCTGTCGCTGAGGCCCACCTCAAGAACAACACCTTCCTTGTTGGCGAGCGCATCACCCTTGCCGATCTCTTCGCCACTGGCATCATTGCCCGCGGCTTCGAGTTCTTCTTCGACAAGGCCTGGCGCGAGCAGTACCCCAACGTCACCCGTTGGTACACCACTGTCTACAACCAGCCCATCTACTCGGCCGTTGCTCCTCCCTTCGCTCTCCTTGATACCCCCAAGTTGACCAACGTCGCCCCCAAGAAGGCTGAGGCCCCCAAGCCCGCCGCCGCCCCCAAGCCCGCTGCTGCTCCCGCCGCTGCCGCTGAGGAGCCCGCTGAGGCCCCCAAGCCCAAGCACCCCCTTGAGGCCCTTCCCCGTGCCTCTTTCCCCCTCGACGAGTGGAAGCGCCAGTACTCCAATGTTGACACCCCCGAGGCCCTCAAGTGGTTCTGGGAGAACGTCCCCTTCACTGAGTACTCCATCTGGAAGGTCAACTACAAGTACAACGATGAGCTCACCCTCACCTTCATGTCCAACAACTTGATTGGTGGCTTCAACAACCGTCTTGAGGCTTCTCGCAAGTACCTCTTCGGCTGCGCCTCCGTCTATGGCACCAACAACGACTCCGTCATCCAGGGTGCCTTCGTCATCCGTGGCGATGACTGGAAGCCCGTCTTCGACGTCGCTCCCGATTATGAGAGCTACGAGTTCACCAAGCTCGACCCCCAGAACCCTGAGGATCGCGCTTTCGTCGAGGCTGAGTGGTCCTGGGACAAGCCCGCCCTTGTCAACGGCAAGGAGTACCCCCACGCCTCCGGCAAGGTCTTCAAATAAACGATACCACGAACAAATTAATTCAAGGAAGGAGGTTATACCAACAGGAGTTTACTAGACTACGGGATTTTATGATGACTTGATGAACAAATATTGATGGGTTTCAAAGGACAAGCCGTTTTTGCCCCTTTTTCTCATGAGCTCATGTGTATCGCTCGCTGATGGATAGTCGTCGCCGATGAATGAGTCTTCAGTAGATGCTAGTAACCTGTCGAAATCTCCGATAAAAGTTGTTTTCATGGCCAATTGCTATTCCCTTCCTGTAAATGCATAATCAAGTGTGGTGAACCATGCATGTTCCGTGAACGTTATCCTCATTTTAAAGTCGTATTCGCTGTAACCAGTCTAGTCTACCGGGTATGATCATGTCCAACCGAGAACTTCCATCTCATTATTCCCTATGCTCTATCCTGAACATTCCTATTGAGCCGCAGCTGGAGTAGAAGCGAGAGCAACGCCCTCGTCTCCAGTTACAGCCCCGCTGCTATCCTCGCTGATGTTGAATGGCTTCACCCTGATATAAGTGCTGATGTCCGCCTGGTGGGCTAGAATGTTAAGATATTCACGCACCATCGGCAACACCTCCGGCTTCTCGTTCAAGTCCCCCACAAATTCCGGCAGCGTAATGCAGTTATACGGCTCGCTCCTCGCCTTCTCCGCACTGTCATCAATCAGCACCGTATTGCCCTGATTCCACGGCTCTCCCTCCGGGTTTGACGCCGCCACCGTCGGATCCTCCCACAGCATCGTCAACCGCTTGTAGCACTGCACCCGCGTGTTAAAGTCCGCCTGCGTCAGCCCGAACTTGTCCCGTGCCCAGATCGCCACCACTTTGCCCAACTGCTCCTCCGTCAACAGCTGTTGGCACATCATCTCCACGTTCTGCGGCCGGGCGCTGGACCAAATCACCACCTTGAACGTGTCGATGCAGTATTTCAAAAAGTCCCTGGCAAAGGGCCGCTCGACGAATTTGGAGGGCCGCTTGCGGCTGGGCCGGTGCAAGAGCGTGCCGTTCAGGTCGATCACCACCAGAATCGGACGCGGCTGGGGGACCTCTCGAGCGAGGAAGGAGGCCCGTATCTTGTAGGCATGGCTGGGCTCGGGGACGCCGCCGGAGGCGCGCGAGGGAGGCACGATGGGGTCCCTGGCTTCTCGCGGGGTGCCTCCTTGCGGCGGGATGAAAGAGGATGAGGATGGTGAGGATGATGCGGGCATGGTGGTGGTGCGTTGGGCTTGGGCTAAGGCTTCGCGGGCTGCTGCTTCGCGGGCTTTGGCCTTCTTGTTGAGCTTGGGGGGATGAGAGGGTCTGGAGGTGGGCGGTATTTGCTGTTGCTGGCTATGGTGGTTGTTGATGTTATTGTTGTTGTTGTACTGTCCTCGTCTTCCTCGTGAGTAAGGTCCAGGACTCCTGGGTCGATAAAAGTCTGGGTGTGTGTTGTTGGTGTAGGTGTTGTTGTTGCTATTGCTGTATTGTCTTGCTCGTGAGTAGGGTCCGGGACTCCTGGAGCGATAGTAATCAGCGGGCTGAGGAACTTGGGGCCTGTTGTTGGTGTTGGTGTGGTAACTTCGTGTTCCTGCTCCCGAGTAGAACGGCGGCAGAGGTTGTTGCCAATGCGGTATGGTCATTCCTGGGGCGAAGGCGGTGAGATGAGTAGGAGGGATGAAGCCATAGCCGATATTTGGGGGCGGCGCATATCCCATGCCATATTGCTCTTGCTGAGGAAAGTGCTGTTGGTTTTGGTATTGGTATTGTTGTTGTTGTTGCTGCTGCTGCTGCTGAACAAACTCCCCCTGCCATATTGGCGGGTAACCCGGCTGGTAGCCGAAGTGATTGGGATCCATTTGGTCCACTGTTTGCCGTGTTTGTGCCTTAAGATTGTCTTGAGGCTGTTGCTGTTGTTGTGGTTTGTTTTGGTGTTGTTGACCCAACCTTTGACACCTCCTTTGCTCCTGCTTTTCGTTCTCGTTTTTGCTGTCCCTTTGAACCTTTCCAGTGGAAGCCACTCTGTCCTGTTCTCCCACCGTCTGGTGAGACGGTTCTGAGGGGCCTGGTAATGTCTCGTTGACTTGAGCGGTTCCCTTCTTAGCCAGGTGTTGTACGCCAAACGCAGAGCACAGTTTATCCGCCTCAAAACTGTCTTCAGCCGTATGAATGCACCTCGTCGAAGGTTGGCTGGCCAAGAACGGTTTAAATGTGTTGAAATATTTATTGCGAGGCAAGTAAGGCAATAATGGTGTAGTTGGCAATAGCTGCCAGTCCTTTGTGAGACGGAAGCGACCTGGTGTGTTGAATATTCGTAATTTGTTCATCATCCTTGAGATGAAAAGACGAGGCCGGTGCAAAAGGTGCCGCTACGGACCACTTGGCTCCAATGTGCTTGGAGTCGATCCGGCTCGCATTCAGCTGTAGGCCACAGTTGTTGAGGAAGATGTGCGGTAATAAATATCCAATAAGCCGTGTTCCTGGACCTCCAAACGACTCAGTGAGATGTTGCACTTTTCTAAGCAGTGATGTTGTACGCCCGTTTGCGGCCTCTGTGCTTTTCAGGGAACGGGCAAAATATCGGTTAGGATTTGAGCCAATCATACGCCGAGAAAACCCGTTAAAGCGGGGCAATGTAGCTTTACTCGCAGGCGGCAGAACTTTCAACGCCAATTCGACAACCAACTACACATATCCATGTGACTTCACTCATACCTTTTCTTCACCCGCTGCTGTTTGTTCCCTCGTAAAAGGGCCACCGTCTCATATCAAACGCACAACGAAGTTGTCACCGCAACCAGAGACAGGAAAGAACTTATAAAGGACGAAATTTTGGTCCCGAAAAGAGCAAGAAATGCCGGCGGTTAAGCGAAAAGCTCCCCCTACGCTGGGTGCTAAGCTCCAGAGACGTGTTCGCCCGAGATTTGAAGCCGAGCCCGACTCGGATGTGGAGGGGAGCTCAGATGAGGCCCCTAGTGAGGAAGAAGGCGGTGGCTTTCACACAGGCAGCGACACCGAGGAGGAGGAGGATGGAGAGATTGAGGAGGGCAGTGAACCAGGCAGTGACGATGTAAGGGAATTGTTTATTTTCCTAAAGAACGGCAAAAAGACAATACTATCATTTCAAAAACTACGACTAATGCCTAATAACAGGATTCCGACGCACCCTCAGAGCACGGCGGCGCCGGCATCGACGCCTCGCAGCTCTCATTCGGTGCTCTCGCCCGAGCCCAAGCCTCTCTCGGCGCACTGAAGAAAAAGAAGAAGAAGAAGGGCGGCGATGAGGACGCCTCCGATGACGAAGAGAAAGAAGAGCCCAACTGGAAGACCGAGATCGAAAAGGGCATGAAAGCCAAGGTCGAGAAGCACCACCGCACCAACAAGCACGCGCCCATCGAGATGACCTCTAGAAAACCCGTCTCTCGGCGTCGCGACTTTCTCGCCAACGAGCCCGTCAAGCCCAAATCCCGGGACCCACGCTTCGCGCCCCCCGGCATCGGCGGCAGCTCCGGTAAAGGCGTAGTAGACGAGATCAAGGCGCGCAAAGCCTACTCGTTCCTGGACGATTACCAGGAGGACGAGATGAAGCAGCTGCGGATGGCGATCAAGAAGACGAAAGATCCCAACGAAAAGGAGGAGCTGCAGCGGGCGCTCCTGTCGATGGAGAGCAAGAAGAAGGCACGCGCCCGCAAGGATAAGGAGCGCGAGCTGTTGTCGGAGCACAAGAAGAAGGAGAAGGAGCTCATCAAGCAGGGTAAGACGCCCTTCTACTTGAAGAAGTCAGAGCAGAAGAAGCAGCTGCTTGTGGAGCAGTTCGCGAGCATGAAGAAGAGCCAGGTCGATAAGGCGATTGAGCGCAAGAGGAAGAAGATTGCAGGCAAGGAGAAGAAGGCGTTGCCGTTGGCGAGACGGACGGCTGAGGATAGGTAAAGGAAAGGGTGGATTATTGCTTGCATGAAACACTGGGAGTATGCTATAAATGGCTGCATTGGAGACATACCTAGGTATCATGGACTGATACATGAAGAAGGCGCGCAAAAGGTTGGGATGGTAATATTCACATCTATTGTACAAATCACCCCACAGGTGCGGGCTATGCGTTTTGAAGTGATCTTACTCGGTAGATTCCTTATAACAGAAAACTTTCGGCCGAGATGTACAGGAAAGAAGAAAGAATCACTTGCAGAAACTCTGGTCTAACCCTCCAAATCTATCCCACCAGACTCACAGCCAGTGTAATATCATACATACACTTCACTCATTTCTTCCCGAAATACTCCGTCTTCTCCAATGCCTTCTCAAACATCTCCCTACACCTGACCCTACTCCCCAGCCTCGCGCACAACAAAAACGCCCCACTGAGCTTCCTGTGCAAGCTATACGTCTCTTCCGGCGGCGGTGCCAGCCTTTCATGAATCATGACGGGGATCTGCGCCTTGACCCTCTCCGTAATCGTCTGATTTCTGAAATCATACACCTCCGGCGCACTCTGCAGGAACGGCTCAGCCAGTGTAACAACACTAGTAATATGCGCCTCCAGCATCGCTCTACTCTCATGACCCGTCAGATACCCCAGCTCTTCAGAAAGGGACTTGACCGCGGGGCGATCACCCCGCGACGCCGCTTCGAGCAGGCGGATATAGAGCGAGATGAACTCCTCTGGGTATTCTCGGCTAGCGCCAAAGTCGAGCAGCTCCAGCCGTTGTTTTTCGGGGTTGTACAAGAAGTTGGTCCAGTTGGGATCCGTCTGCATAAACTTGAATTCGGTGATCTCGCGCAGACAGAGGCGCAAGATCTGGGTGCCGATCCAGTCCTTTTGTTCCTGCGTGAAGTCCTTGACGCGCGTGACGCCCACGCCGTCCATCCACTCCATGGTAAGGACTTGCTTGCCTGAGGCTTCCGAGTAGATGTGCGGGACGGCGAAGACGGCGTCTTCTTGCCCATCCGCGGCAAGGAGTTCCCTGTAACGGGCGCCGCACTCGGCTTCCCTTAAGTAATCGCATTCCCACGCCAGCTCGGTGCGCGCATTGTCGATGGTCTTGTTCAGATACAGGCCTTTGGGGAGAAGCTTGGTGGCGGCCAGCAGGATGGCGAGGTTGTCGAGGTCCGAGTTGATGGAGTCACCCACGCCGGGGAACTGAATCTTGACGGCGACGCGGGCGCCGTTGGACTTGAGCGTGGCGCGGTGGACTTGGCCAATGGAGGCGGCTGCGATGGGTTTCTCTTCGAACTCGTCGAACAGGGAGCGCCAGTCGGCGCCCAGGTTGGAGACCAAAACCCGGTCGCGCTGCCAAGCCGGCATGTAGTCGGCTCGATCTTGAACACGCTGGAAGACCTCCTGGATCGTGGGTGGGAGCATCTTGGAGTCTTGAATCGACATCATCTGCCCCAGCTTGAGGGCGGCGCCACGCATCCGGGAAAGACGGGAGACCAGCCGCTCGACGTTGCCCGGGCTGAGCATGACGGACCCGGAGCTGCCGCCGCCGATGGCTCGGCTGAAACCTTCGCCGATAGCGCCAGCCATCATTCCGGCGGCGAGACCGCCGTAGTTCCATAGTCTGCTGATGCGGGAGGCTGGGACCTTGGACTCGCGGAGTTCGTGGCGGGTAGAGGCTGGGAGAGGCGAGCCTGTGAGCTCGGCAACCAAGTCTGCGTCCTCTTGCGAAAGCTTAGTGGCCTTTGTCTCTTGTGGTGTGGGCTTTACGGCAGCCGGGGGAGGAGCTGGCGTGCTCGCCGGGGCTTCCGCGACCGGAGTCGGCTTCTCTTCCGGCTTGGGCTGTCTGGCCTCTTTAACGACCGTCTGGACCGATTCCTGTTCGACTGGTGGCTGAGTGACCTTGACTTCCTCCTCCACCTTAACCTCAACCTCGGTCGTCTTAAGTTCCGGGACAACGGCAGGAACCGGCTCAGAGGTGATCTCAACTGCGGGAACGGTAGGCTCCTTGCTCAACTCCTCCAAAATCTTGGAACCCTTGTTCGTCATGAAGATGTTGCTGAGATCGACGCCAGCCTCTTCACTATTGGCCCCGTCCTTCAGGGCTGCCAGGTCGGCTGGTATCCCCGGTATTGTGCTCTTGACGCCGATTCTTGGTGGTCTGGGGAAGGGACTGGGCTGAGGAAGGGGTTTCCGGTCTGCCCATGGTGCAGGAGTGAACGGTTTGGATGTCGACTTTTGAGGCTCTGGCGTAGCGGCAGACACCCTGGCCTCGGATACCAGTGGTGATGGGGGAATCTTGGGCTGGGTAGCAACCGACGCTGAAGGCTGCTCAACCGGCACCTCTTCCTTCACCTGAATAGCCTCTTCAACCCGCGCCCCCTGTTCTGGTTGCTGACTCTGACTCTGAGCCACATCCTGCTGCCTCTGCTCCTGCTGTTGCGACTCCGGTGTCTGTTGTTGGTAATGTTGCTGCTGCTGCTGCTGCTGCTGCTGTTGCTTGCTTCTCCCAAGATCCTTGGCTAGGTTGGCAATACTACTCGTCTTAGTGTATCTGTCGATCTGGCTGGCCCGGAGCGCAACGTGTTTGCCGGCAACGGAGCGGGAGGCATTAGCCACGGCAGCCAGGTCTACTAGCAAGTCGGCAAATCTCATTTTGTGAATAGAATGTGACAGGACCAATGACGTAGTTGAAAAGAATTACGAAAGGAAGGATGAGTGAGTTATTAGGCGGCGTATTATGGGACGAAAGGTTTCACTCTCAATCGCATCCTCTCATCCAATCCAGTGGAGCTACTTAGTGTAGATCGAGGCAATGACGGAGTGAGGGCTGAGTATGGAGAAATAAAGAGATTGGTAGTGGATGAAGTGCCGGAGATAGCGGACGATGGGCGCTAAAGTGACTTGTAGTGACGAGCGAGGAAGACCGAAGGGACGCCGTTGCCGAAGTCGAGCCGCAAATTTTTGGAATCGGCTCGGCATCGTGAGAACGGTCCAGGGGCCCCTGCTAGCGTGGTAGCTTCCCGGAAACTTGGTAATGTAACCCTTACCCATTCTCATGTTCCTCTCATCTTTCATCGTCCACTCATCGCTTACAACTTGGGGCGTATACATTATGTACAATGTAAACTTGCACCTTGGAATACGGCCTACCTGGTTTCATTCCCAAGCATTCTGCTAGCCAATCCAATTCGTCCTAGAACGACACACCGTCTAACCGGCTCAGTAGCCGTCATGTTTCTTCCAAGTACCTCTACCTAATTTCAAACTTCTATGTGTGACGCTCATGTCGTCTGGGTATCATATTGCTTAAGAGAACTCGCTCCTCCGTTCATCCTTTCATCAGTCTATCCTTCCCCGCTCCCCCCTCATTTGTTTACTTCATCGGATTTCGCAAACCAGATGTCTTGACTTTTGGCGTTGCAGCAGCCCTTGGTGTCCTTGTAATCTCACCACTAAACGGCGAGCTGGGAGTCCGACCTCCGGAGCTACCAATCTTGCTCCATAACCTTTGGGCAGCCGGCGTCAACCCACCCGAAACCCGAGGACTGCTCGGGAATTTCGGTACAGGCGTACGCTCCACCTTTCCAGTCAGTCCTAGCTTCGCTGACGTTCTCTTTGATTGTGATATCCGCTCCACCATACGATGATGTAGCGCCTCCTTCTTTCTTTGCTCCTGAAGGTGAAACGGGTTTGGCGTTGCATCACCTGGACCAAGATCGATCACCGGAAGTGGTGTTTTGGACGTTTTCCGCGGAGGTTCTGGTTCTTCGTCATCGACAAATGCGTAGCCGTTAATCCGTGGTGTCTCGCCACCTCCTCCGACGCTGGTCTCTGTATCGCAAGCACGTCGATTGCCCGCAATCGCATTCCTAACATCCGAGAGCGACGGTGATGAAGCCCTTGTTCGGTTATCTTCGGGAGGTACATAGGGTTGTGGGACTCTGGTGTTTTCGTAAATGATCCTCTTCGGCTCGGCTCGTGATTCTCTCTGCGCTCGCTCGGCCGGCGTCTCCAACACCCCGTCCACACCTTCGGGTGCGAACATCAGTTCGTTGTTTGGTTTTGCTTTCCAATGTGCCGGGGCAGCTGGTCGGTCGTCATCCTTGCTCTTGATCGCTAGACGGTCCTTCTTGAAACCATCATCCACCAGACTCTTCCCGCTCTCGAGCAGCTTCTGTTCCACCTCCCGTTGCTTGAGTTGTTGCTTGGAAGGTAGCTTGTTTCCGTTCCACAGCCAAGCGTACTTTTCTGCCCTCTTCTGGTTTTGCTTATCCAGCAACTTGTAAAAACTCTCGTTGTCCTCGCTAGTGTATTTCGCCTGGAATGCGCCTAAGCTCATTTTCGTGTCCAGTTTGCTGTTTTCCTGCACTGTCCTCGAGGATACCGTACTCATGGGGGTATCGCCGGCGTAGCCCATGGGCGTTTCTGAACCGGAGCCTGAGGGAGCTGAATGGAACGAGCGGCTGGGTGCTTGATGTCGTCCGGGAGTCATTGCTTGCTGCAGACGCTGGGTGGCGCTTGAAATCCATTCTGGGTCCTTTGATTCCAGCGCATCCAAATACTCTCGCTGTGATTCTGCTTGTTGTAGGCCCGGAAAGAAGTCGCGGGCAATAATGTGAGATAGAGCGTCGGTATAGCTGTCTTCATCGATGACTCTCTTTGGCCGTTTGATCTTTTTCGCAGGGGGTGGCGGTGGCATCAACTCGGTGTCGGTCCTCTTGCGGACAAGCGCCGTCGACGTCGGCGGTTCAGAAGCCATGGTGAAGCGGCTGAAATCGATAGACTGAAGGGAGGAATTCACCGACAAAGCGTCGGCCAGTTCGTGTCCCAGGCAGAGAGGGTGGTTGTACCTATGAAAGTAATGTCGTTCGTTGTCGTTAAATAGAGCGAGGTGTCGGTCGCGTGGTGTAATTATTTGGAGGCGACCATCATTCTTGGCTTGTGCTTTGAACAACTGTTAGCAGGTTGCCAAGACACACGCACCCGTCCTGATACAGTGTAGTACTGTCAGAATCACACAGTGTAAAAAGGGCTCCACTATGGACTAGAGGCCCCACTCACTGAGTTTACTACTGTGTACTATAATAAGTTCACCTTCCCATGTCATCGCGGACTCCAAAGGAACTCTCCCTTCTTTTTTTCCACTTTAAAGTTCTTTCGAGCTACTGTTTCCGGTTAAGGATTTCGTCCCTTGCCTTGAGACAAAAGCTATGGCAGATATGTCCCGTGAGATCCCTGTTGTTCTCGGGCAAGGATACTTCATTGTTGGGACCAGTGCCTCATCGTTGGTAGGTAGTTGACATGTCTGGAACATGTGCAATATTCGACTTTCTTTCTGGGAGTATGGAAAGATGTTGATAACACAATGCCATGGCACTGTCGCGACCCCTGTTTACCTCGTCTTTTCGTCATGAAGGATGGTTGAGTTCTTACCTGCATCTCACGGCATCATTTGATGCAACGTCGTAATAGGGATGAGGTCGAACAGACGGGCATGTGAGACTCGTCGCATATCATCGTCTAGGATGACATGATGAAAGATTTCAGAAGGCTATCAAGATATCAAACCTTGAAGAATTATGCTTATCTATGTATAACAGCACGTGGGATGGTCTTCTTGACTTTTCGGATGCCTAGCAGTTCGGGCTGGCTTGATCATGCTGATGGTCTTGGTTTGTTTGATTGGCTGAGTCCGGGGTTTGTTGTGGTGGTTGCCGACCCAATTATGGACGACTGACCCAACCGTCCGTCCGTGAGCCTGCCTTGTGGTCTTGATCATGACAAAAGAAAGGAGGATTTCAGAGTCTTCCTCCTGTTTGTTGCCCGGTTTATGCACCTTCAAGCACACTATCTCATTGGTAGGGTGTGATGTAAACTGCAGTCAACCACAGATACACTCTCGACATACATTAGTACTCCTACTGTCATCTCCTCGGCTCTGAGCACTCTTCTTGTTGTCTTTTTTCCCATAACGAGGCAGTCGGCACGCCGAGGATCGCAGACCTTGACGTAAATTCGGTGTCACAAACCCGACACTTGAACTCATTCTGATACTTCCCATACTAACAGAGACAAGCCGGCTGCAAGAGAGAACATTGAAGGGAAACTAGGACATTGCCCGAGGTAAGAAAGACTACTTTTCTACTGAAAAGTGCTTTTCGTCCCCAAACACCTTCACGATTCGTCTTGTTAGCCACAACAATCATCTTTGCGACATCGCGGTCCTGCCATTTTGCTTTATTTTCTTGTCGTCTTGTTGAGGTGATCTTGTTTCCCACCCTCTTCAGCCTCTTATGCGCGTGCCAACGCCCACCTCAGCGAGACATTCCAATATAGCCTTAACATCTGACCCCTGCCCCCAACCGGCCAACCTCATTTTGTTGGTGACAAACCGTTACACCAAATGCTTGCATTCATCTTCTTTCGCTTGGCTGAGCCTCTGTGCAGAGTTTTTATAGCTATATCTCTCTGGATCTTTTCCCAACTCTACGGCTTATCCGAAGCAATCCGCGACGCCATCATGAGCCGAGTACTATTCGATCACAGGGCCATGGCTGTCTCCCCCAAATCGCTCGCCTCAAAAGGCAAGAACTTTGGCTGGACCGAGAAGGTCAAAGAAAAGCAGGTCGAGCAATCCGAAGAGGAAGATCCCGCAGACAAGATGTGCCCCATCTGCCACGAAGAGATCGGCTCTCCCAGCTCAGAAGGCATCGTCGAGACGTGGAGTGTTCTGCCGTGCGGGCACATGTTTGGGAGCCACTGCATCAAGCACTACATCCAGATGGTGGCCTACGACCGACCGCAATGCCCCATCTGCCGATACTCGCTCGTCCACGGCTGTGGACACCCCGTCCTGCCCGCCTTGTTCGTCACTGAGGGCCACAACGCCGCCAAGGTCAACAAAGCGACGATCCGAGCCCTCGCCATGACATCCATGCAATACAACTGCGCATATTGTACGGAAATGATCGCTAGGGGGCATAGGGTGGTGGCTGCGAGACACGGCAGAAAACGACAAGGCACATCGAAATGGAAGCTTTTGTTGAAGAAGATTTTCAGTTCACCACTAGCGATAGACAGGTGGAGCGATCTAGAGTCGGAGTACGTGATTGCTCGATTTCCTGAGACTCGATATGACAGTTGGAATGGCGCGAGGGATTATGAGTGGGAGTGGTGGTGGAATAAGCAGGCGTTGACAACCTTGGCTTCCTCCACAAGGAAAACGGCCTGAACCTGTCTTGTGTGGAAGATGGTCTGCTACAGAGGGGAAGAAGTGAAAGTTCGGATGTTCATTCAGGGACCTCATACCTTGTCCTGGGATGGAGTACTAATTACTATCCTTTCATCTTTCTTTATACACAGGCGTCGGTATCGGGGAGATTGCGGGTGAACTTGTCTTGTCTTCCGTTGAGATGGAAGTGGTCAGTTAGACGATTCAGATGAGAGCGGCTGGGGGATTGTACATTTAGAGTCAACTTGAAGATAGTGGTGACGTTGTCGCGGGCAGGTACAAATGGAGCCTTGGTTGGATTTTACAGGGGTACTATAGGCGGTAACCCCGCGCTAGCAGGGCTCTTGGTGATCAACCTAGTGTAGTGGAAATCCCCACCTTCCGTCAATGGCGGCATCTTAACATACACAGTACTTCAACCTTTTCTTCATCAATTTACGCGACGCGCCCGAAATTTGCTGCTTAGTTTACTTTGTCAAATGTTATCATTTGAACATATTTCCAAGCATTGAGTTAAATTGACTTGGTTATCGAGTGTCGGAAAGATGCGCTTCAAAACAGAACTCAGAAACATCCGTACCTTTTCGAGTGAGTCCCTGTCCCAAGTCCCCTGCCTCCACATCTTTTCACTTCACCACATATTCGCCTGGTTCTAACGTAGGTTTCCCAATATCAGAACTTGTAGCCGCCCTCAACACTTTAGAAAAGATCGCCTGGGTTCGGCTCGATGATGATACAGTCAGGTTTACCGTCATCCCCGACACCGGGTCGCAGGTGTGGGCCTCCCTCTCCGTCGACACCATCTTCGACAGCTACCACATCCAATCCAACGAAGCCAACAACACCATCAACCTGGAGCTTCCCCTCGGCCCGCTCCAACGAGCTCTCAAATCCGCCCTCAACAGCAACCACGCTAGCTTGCGTCTCACCAAGCGCGACGGCATCCCCATGCTTTCCATGACCATCCACACCATGACCAAGGACGCTCCATCCGCCGCCCGTCGAAACAAGAATAACAGCAGCAACAACAACAACAACAACAACAACAACAACGACGACCAAATGGGCAGCTACAATGACGACAATGACCCTTTCGCCGAAAACTCCCTCTACCCACAAGAATCGCTCGAACTAACCATGAAACGCGAGCGCGAAAAGGTCATCACGCAAGACATCCCCGTGCGGGTCCTGCACCCGGACACAGTCGAGACCATCATGCAGCCGAAAGTGCGGGAGCCAGACGTGCACATCATGTTTCCTCCCTTGTTACAACTCAAGGCGATTTCGGACCGGTTCACCAAGCTAGCCATCACTACAGCTGCCTCCTCTTCGTCCTCTAGTAGACGCGAAGCACAGAACCCCAAACTAGAACTCTCAGCCAACATGCACGGCTCTTTGCGTCTCCGGTTAATAGCCGATACCCTGGACATTACGAGTGTCTGGGACAGCTGTCTTGAGAATCCCGAACTGGACCCGGCGGTGCTGACGATACCGATTGAGGAGCATCCGAGCACGAAATACAGGGAGGCCGGGCCGGATAAGTGGGCGACGGTCAGGGTGGATGGGAAGGATTGGTCAAGGGTGTTGAGTGTGGGCAGGCTGGAGGCGAGCAGGGTGATTGCGTGCTTTACGCACGAGCATGCGCTCATATTGTATGTCTATGTAAGGAGGGCGGATGATGATTATCCGGGGGTGGGGGCCGGAAGGGGAGGGGATGATGGAGATGATGTTGTTACTGTGGGTTTTTTTTTTCTTTTCTTTTCTTTTTTTTCCTTCTCCTTTTTGTCTCCATCTCTCCGGAATCTGGACTGTTACTAACGTGTTCACCGTGATGACAGTACTACGTTTCATCTATCAACACGTAATCCTTTCAGAAAAAGGTCTACTTGTTATTATTATACCTGACTGAAGATTTGGTTTTCACATGGCGTTATGGAAGGGATACGGGAAGGGACACAGGCAGGCTATACGAGGCTTGCCATCTTGAGGTTACAAGCCTGGAGTTGCAATAGAGGACAGTCGCACGATTCACTGCGTCATGCACGATGCTATGCATATAAATGGAGAACAAACGTAGGCATTCAAGAAGAAGAAAAACCAATGATCCTCAAATAGGTAAATAGAGAGTCAGGAGTCACAATCATGACCAGCTATTTACTTATTACATATCTTCTTGGGCTGCAGTCAATTGAGCATGCTACTACTTGCCCCTTCACATCTCATCCCCATCTCCTCGGACCTTGTCCACCACCACCAAGCTGCCCCTCCACGCCAGCCAGCAGCTTTTCAATTGCTATCGATATAACCCACCTCACCACCCCTCATCTCCCGTGGTCCGTTGGTGTAATGGGTAACACACTCGGGAGTAATGCGAGAAAGCTCTTCGTGAGCTATTACCAAGTAAACTGCAAGTTACCGGTTCGACTCCGGTGCGGGCCACTTTTTTTTTCTTCTTCCTTTTTTTCTTTCTAAAGTTTTCTGTGTTAAATTTTATGTTGGCATGTGTGTGTACGTGTCATGTTAACGAATACTCCTTTCGTTTGGAACGTATCTAAATGCGAATGACGGAGTGTCTGCGACTTGGCTCGCTTGCGTTCTGATGTAAACAAAACCCCTTTCTGACTGACCACTTAGTCCAACTACCCCTTGTATGCCAAGACCCGCCCACCATCTCGACCTCGAATCGTGATCTCGACCGAACATCATCAAACTTGTACGGGAATTAGTCAATTGCATAGCTGGAGCTGAGAGACCGAAATTGACAATACAGGTGTGGGATGTACGCAAAGAAGTAGACAATTGGCTTCAGGAATACAGATTGCATTTCTCCATCCTCGACTTCAAAAAACCGTAGAAAACTACCAACTTGCACTTTATCATCCCCCTTTCGCCGTTCATTACGTACATACATACATACACTCTGTATTAGAAACAGTCCAATCCAATCTCACAAGACCCAACCTTTATACACACCGACTCATTCCCTCATCCCTTAACTCATTCACCCCGGGCCCCTTTACTTCTGCATAACATCCACATACCTAGCCGCCTTCCTCGGCTTCTTGGCCTCTCCCCTCTTCCTCGGTACCGCGGCCCCCAACAAATCATCAATACTACTCGTCGCGCTCAACGGCTTACTAGTACCAGCAGGGGGCGCGCTCGTGCTCGTCGAGGCCGGGCGCTGCATCGCTGCCGGACCCATGCCAGGGGACAGCAAGCCCGCACTAGGGGGCCCGTTACTTCCACTGGGACTCAGCGGTCCAACAGCGCTAGGTGGGCCAGAGCCAACGTTATTCTCCGACGCCGAAGGCATGAGCGCCGCCGGTCTAGGCGGACCAGTAGGTGGGGCGCTGGCGCGGCCGGGGGTGTTGGGCGCGCTGCCGCCGCCCACGCCCATGCCCATGGGAGGAGCAGGGCTGGAGGCGGATGAGCGGGGGATGCCGCCCTTGGGCGGTGGCGGCGTGGATTTCTTGGCGGCTTGGTCTTCGGGACTGGCGTTCTTGTTGATCCAGCGCTTTTGCTCGGGGTCGTAGTAGAACGAGTTCGCCTCGCCGAGCTTGGCACGGATGGGCTTGCCGGGGCTGCTTCCGGCGGCGGCGTTGGCATCGGCGGCGGCAGCCTCCTTCTTTGCGAACCAGCTGGTGAAGCCCCAACCCTTCTTGGCGGCTTTGGCTTCTGCGGCGCGTTTGGCTGGGAGTGATGTTAGTGATACGTGGGGGTTGAAAATGCTATGTAGGTGGGACTAATGGTACTAACCTTCTTCTTCGGCGATCCGACGGACCATTTCCTCGTTCTCCCGGTCAATTTCAGCCTTGGACTTGCCGGCAGGCTTCGGCGCCGCGGGGAAATCATCGTCATCGTCATCGTATATAGGGCCCTTCTTCTTCGGCTTGGGCTTTTCTTCCTCAGATTCATCGTCATCTTTCGAAGGTGGGGTGTCGGGTTCGTAAGAAGGCGGCTCATAGCTATATGGCTGGAATGAAGGGGGCTCAAAGGTGTTGACACCTTCGCCACCCTGGTTAGAGTCACCATTCTCCTTGGAGGCGCCCTCCTCCTCGTCATTGATCGCCGGCGCCTCGTAAGGGGTGAATGACGGAGGCTCATATCCGTACGACGGCGGCTGGTAGCCAGTTGACGGGGCCGAAGGGGGTTCGTTAGAGGGCTTATCATTTGCCGAGACGTTGTTTTGTGGAGTGAAGGGTTGATAACCAGAAGTAGTAGCCGCTGGGGATGTCAAACTTTGCTGAGGCTGCATGTTATGCAGAGAGTAGGATGATTCCTGTGGCGTCGTGCCGTAAGGTGTATATGGCTGAGCAGGCGAAGATGTACGGTTGGGAGCATAGCTGCTGTGCGAATAACCCCGCTGAGAGTCCAAAGACTGACGCGGAAGCTCAACTGAACTTCTGCTGTACTCGCCTGAGGCCCGTTCCATTGATGAGCGAGGCGCATATGGAGAGTTTGTCTCATAGGGGTTATAGTTCGGAGTCGATGGTTGAGGAGCGCCTGGTGCGTAGCGTGAAGCCGTCCGTGTAGGAGGAGGAGGAGAGAACATATTAGGACCGTTCGTCACGGGAGCACTAGGCATGCCATAGCTGGGGATGGTCGCGCCAAAGGTCTCAAGATTGTTGACAGAGGGCGAGCGACTGATAGTCGGGGTTCCTCCGGCGATTCGTGCAAAGGGACCAGATTCTCCCGCAGCGTCAGGTGAGCCCTTACTGCCATCCTCGTTGTCATCTCCAGCGACAAACTTGTTGAACCGATTCCACATGGAATCAGATACCTTATTCATGCTAGGCTTCGGGATCCACGAGTTTGATTCCTCCTTGGGTGCCTGCTTCAATCGCTTCATCAAGTCATCGACATAGGCCTCAAGGATGGGATGGTAATAAGGAGAGCGCTTCGTCTGCGCGGTGATCGCAGCCGTGATAGCCTCGCAGTATTGAAGGGCCTTGTCTCTAAAGCCATACTCGGCCAGGGCGTATGCGTGCTGAAGCTTGTACGCTGCCAAGTGAGGATTGCTGACGGGCACGGTACCACCAGCAAGGCTCTGGCCGTACTCATAAACCTCGCTCAACAAAAGTGGCTCAATCTCCTTTGCGAAATGGTCCGCCTGCCGCCTATGGTCAGACCCAACAAGAACGAAGTTAGAGTTCGGGTTGTCCAAGCCACCGAAGATGGTTTGACTTCTGGCAAACAAGAAGCAAATATGAGCCGCCTCGGCTCTTCCATAGCCTGATAGCAAATTGCCCAAAACGTTGATGGCTCGGGCATCATCAGCAGTCCTGTTGCTGAGGATCAGGGAGAGGGTTTCGCGCCACTTATCAAGACCACCCATGGCGTCCTTGGAGGGACCAGAAGAGGAATTTTTGGCCACTAGCTGAAGACCAGCACGGGCATGGGCGGGCACCAGCTCGTCCACGCTTTCTTCGTGGTTGCCAGAGAGGACATCATAAAAAGCAGCAAGCGACTCATTGTTATGACCGGTGGAATTTACCTCGTTCTTCACAAATTCTTGAGCGACCCGCTTATAGAGGTCAGGGTTAAGGGCGTTGGCCAGCAGGAAGGCATGGCCCCAAAGCCGCTTATCGACCGCAGCCCACACGGCCTTCTCATTGTCGCCACTGATGAGGTGGTTGCGGATCTGCTCAACAGCGGAAGAATCAACCGAGTCGGCTTGTAGTGAAGTCATGGCAGAATTGCCCAATCCTGATGGGTTCAGAGCATTTGCGAACTCAGGCTGACCACCAATGGTTGAAGCCTCCGGGTACAGGATTTCGCGCACAGCTTGGTTAACGGTCGGGTTTCCTTCCAACACGCCATCATGCTCGACGAAGACCCTCAGAATCTTCCAAAGCAAGAGTCTCTCTGTTGTCCGCTTGTCATCGTGAGACGGGTTGAGTTGATGAGACAGGTTATGTGGCACAGTCCTCTCCAGCATCTCAATTCCGTTTATTAACCAGGCAATGGTCTCCTTCTTCTTCGACTTCCCCTTTAGAGGCCCAGGAAATTTGGCCAAGCGCTCCTCCATTGGCTCTATGTCCTTCATGCTCTTGACCTTGACTTCTCCTGGGCTACGAATAACCATGGGGGCCGTTTGGCCCATGCCATATCGTGGCACGTTCTTGGGGAACATGGTTACCAGAGCCCCACCTACGCCCCAGGAAATGAGAGGAACACCACGCCATCTCTGTAGGGGATCATGTTCTCTACCATCTGTCGGGGGAACTAGGTTGAAATTCTGAGTGTTACCACGCGGCCGCGAGGTAGTCGTAGAAATGGGAGGGAAAGTGGAGCTGGGTTGCATAGTGATGGGAGAATACAACGCAGCCCGCGGCGAAGTCGCGTCAGTGACCGACGAAGGACGAGGGATCGGTTCAATAGGCTTTGCATTTCTGTTTCCGTAGAGGGCACCAGGGGATTGAGTCTGCGATCGAGGCGGTGGCGCGAATTCGTGAGATGGAGCACTAGCCGCAGGTTGATAGCTGTATGCCGCCCTCTGAGGGGACGTCACCGGCTGCACAGTTAGAGACTGCGGAGGCGGTGTCCTTCTAGAGCGGTGAGGCACAGCGCCATGTCTTGACGCCGTAGGAGAGGTCTGGTGGGATGCCGGGACTTGGTTGGGGGATACCATACCCTGCATGGGGCCTTCTTCTTCCACCTCCTGAGTCGGAGGTAGAGAAGGCACTCTCTGCAGTCGCAAGTCGTACAACGAGTTGCTGCTCCGCTTTTCCGCCAGGCCACTTTCTGCATGGCTAGAAATAAGAGGTCTGGATTCGAAATGTGCTAGCGGACTTGAGGTACGGGGTTGATGCGGCAAAACCGGTGGTAGAACCGGTGGCACCGAAGTAGTCGGAGTATAACCCGAACTCGTTGGCCGAGAAGCTGGCGGGGCGGGAGAGTAACGGCTTGCCGCAGCAGGTGGGACGGGAGTGCTGAGCTGTGACCCACTGGAAGGCGCTGGAGAATAACGACTTGAAGCCGGGGCAGGAACAGCGGGAGCAAGGCTCGTAGTGCTGGACTGTATCGAAGCGTAAGGGTTGACACGTGGCAGCGCAACCAAGTTGGGAATCTCCGCATGCTGGGTAAAGGAAGAGTTGGGAACAGATCCCATGGCAGACGGCATTCCAGGTACTGGTGGCTGCGAGGCGATAGAAGGTGGGCCAGCCGAGGGCGGTGGGCCGTATGGGCTAGACTGTGCCGGCGATGCGGTACCCATTGTATTTCGAGAAGCTGGGCGCGCCTTTGTGACTACAGGAAGCTCCTCAAAGAACTTCTCCTTCGGCTTGGCTTCACCACGAGGCGGTGGTGGCTTGACACCAGGCTGAGATGAGTGTGGAACAGAGGTGGGAGGTGGAGGAGGCAGGTGAGTAGCGCTTTTGGAAGGCGGTGGAGCGGCCGGTGCTGTCACAGGTGTGTTAAGAGTTGCCGTACTTGGGCGCTTCTTGACCTTGACTACCTCCATAGGAAGGTCGTACGGTGACTGGTAGCCGCCCTTCTTGTCGACGAAGCTTTGGGCTTTCCTCTCAATCTGTGGCGGAGGGACTGCGCCGTATCCAAATCTCCCGCTTGGAGGGGGAGCCGAGACAGGGGCGCCAAAGGGCGTAACAGACGGCGTCTGCGCAACCGTGCTGGGTGCGGCAGGGAAGTAAGGATTTGACGGCGCCGAAGTTAGGGGTGGTGCAGTCGGGGCATAGGGATTTGAGGCTCCGGTCAGGCTTGGAGTTTGGGTCTGAGGCATGTACCGGGTGGTAGGGGTTGTCGTGGTGTTGGAGCCAGCTACGCTAGGCGCTCTGGGCTGGGTTGTTTCCTCCATTGTTGGGAACTCTTCCGAATCGTCGAGAAAGCCCTCGTCATCACTCCCAAAGAACGCAGCCGGATCAATCTCCTTCTCCTTGATCTCATTCGACGCCTCCGTGGAATCGTCAAGAAGCGATAGGGTGTCCTCTTCATCGTCAGCAAACAACTCCTTCCACTTGGCCTCAACATCTTCGCCTGCTGGCTTCTGTTCCTCGTGACCTTCACCTGTGTTCAGATCTGTACTCGTTGTCTCAGGATGGTCGTGGGTTTGCGTCTCTACCGTGGCATCGGCCTCTTCCTCGGGCTGCTCTTCCACTGGTGCGAAGCTTGGCTGGACGGAGCCCATGTCCATAGCGCCCAGTACTTGCATAGTCGACTTGCGTTCAAGCGGCTGCGCCTCAAATTCAGTTTGATTAACGCTCCCTTGCTGAACCTGGCTGAAAAAGTCGTCCTCATCATGGACATCCTCTCCCCCGAATAGGTCCTTTGTATCTTCCCGCTCGGCTGTCGTGTTTCCATCATGTGCGATCAGAGGAACACCTTCTTCGAAACGGGCGTCAAGCGCCTCAGTGGCCTTAGCACCTAGGTCACCACCCATGTACTGCTGAGAATTGTTCTCGTCTTGGGCGCCAAACTGATCAAATCCATCGTTCTGTGCCTCAGACAACTGGCTGAAGAACCCATCATCGCCCTGTACCTCGACCTCATCGTCATCACCGAGGAAATTCGCAACCTGGGGCTGGACAATTGGTGACTGCTCCAAATGAGGCTCGGTTTGAGGTTGCTGCTGCTGCTGTACCTGCTGTACCTGCTGATTTTCTTGCTGCTTTTCCTGCTGTTGCTCGTGCTGTTCTAGAGGAGGAACAGGAGGGAAGGAGTTGGTTCGGTCGCTCGATGGCAAGAACTTGAAGGGATCCGTATCCGCTCGCGCGAGGTTCCACTCAGGATCTCCGTCATCGCTCCAGCTCGGCTCATGGGGAATAGTTCGAGTGAAGGACATAGTACTCGTGTGCTTGGAAGCGACATCCGATGGTTCGTCTGTATCGGCCTTTTCTGTAGTAGTAGCATCGGTAGGCTCAGCATGTTCGGGGACGAGGTCGGCGGTGGCAGCGTCTTTTGGGACCGCCTCGGTAGCTTGCGCGTTCTCTACGATGGGCTCGGGAGCTTCGTCCGTCTGAGTGGGAGCTGGCTCGACAGCTTCAGCATCTTCTGTAGTTACATGTGCGGTCTCGGTCTGTTCGGTAGCGGTATCGGGGGTGTTGGTATCAGTTTCACTGGTTATTTGGCTCGTAGCTTGCGCATCAGTCGCGGGTAGTGTCGTATGATTGCCTGTTCCATAGTCGGGAAACCAGGAGTCAGAGGCGCCATTCTGGGCGGGCACGTCCTCTTCTCCTCCATCAATTCCCCAGAAGTCGGAGCCATCTTGGGCTACACGGTTCGCATGATCTGTTGTGTCGGCGACGGTGTTATCAGTCGGCAAGGGGGCCGGGAGGTCGGCGGCCGATTTTGGCATGAATGCCGGGTTCCATGAAGCCATGGCGGGCGATTAGATGGCGCGATACAGCTGGGGACGCTGTATGGGCGCGCAAAAACACGAAAAAGAAAGAATTACTGTATATAATAAGTAAGATTAGTACATGAAGAAGGGAAGAGAAGGTGGGAATATTTGAAGATGGAGAAAGGGTAGTATTTGTGGTTGGCCAGGAGCTAGCTACAAACAGTAGAAGTGGGAAGTCCAGGATGGGGCGAAACTCGACGGGATCGCTTGATCGCGTAACGAACCGAACGGCGATTGGCGACGGGATTGAATGGGGAGCGGACCCGGGCTGCCCTGTTGAGGAGCCTCAGAGGACTGCGGACAAGACGACCCCTGTTCAGCAGGCCCAGAGTGCGCAATTGTCGAATGGGAATAGGGGCAAGCAAAAGGGACGACTAACTTGTACAAGTAGGTTCAACAGCAGATCATGGCTGTCAACATGAGCAAGAAGGTCTAACGCCGGCTAAATTTCGTCAATGACAGGAAAGAGGGCAATGCTGTCGTCCTGTTTGTTACTACAGATCTGGGAAACGTTGGGATGGAATGGTCGATCACACGTGGGAAAGGATCATAGTATGAGACTGCGCAACTGCAGAACAATGGAAGGCCAAGTTCAGTTGTTGCAACTTGTCAAGATCCAAGACTGTGACGCTGGAGGCGCACCGGGAGCGGCCGTCGGAAGATTCCTAGGAAAATCCGCGGAAATCAAGACACAGAGGTTGCAGAAGGTTGACTGCTGCCCTGTCTACACAACAGTACCTACCTAGGTAGTACATTTAGGCGGTCTGATATGTGGATGGCGGGGAATGCGCGGGGATCTCTAACAAAAAACGTTACAACAGCTGTCCTTGTTACATGGATGGGGAAGCTTAGTATAGCTTATCGGCCTGTCCGAGTGTTGAGAATATACTCAGTTATTTAGGTGAATTCGCTTGATACCGGTAGGTACTGCTTTAACAGATAAGCGCGCTCAGTCCCCCCTCCAGCATCATCACAGCCACTGCACAAACCTAGACGCACCAGGAGGGGGCCTGTCATCGATGGGTACCTCTAGAGGTAGGTACGGTATGAAGTGGAGAGCAGGCCGCGCACACAGTCCGATCACTGCCACTTTACCACCAAGGGAATTTCAGTTGTTAGTTTCCGTTCCCCGTTTGTGACTTTCTTTCCGTCACATGCCATCGTCATCTCTCAGTTCCCTACCTAGTTGATGTGCCCGCGGACGACTTGATGAAAACATTGTACAAATCACTACCATGACTGGACTATCACTGTTTCCTACCCAGTAACTTGACACTATCTCGACTCCCCTTGCAGGCGCAGCACACCCCAGAAGCACGTAGCACCCAGCAGCAGACAGACGCACCTAGACTACCAACCACGGCCACTATGGGAAGGAGGAGTTGATCTCGACACCACGAGGACCCTCCCAAGTGACCCCTAACTCAACCCAAACAAACCAACCACAGATCCGAACGCAGTCGCGACCACAGCCCAAGCTACCCTTAGCTACAGTTAGGCCGCGACAGATCAGAAAAGAAAAAAAAAAAGAACAACACGACTCAAGAGCATACGCTATCTAGCTGTGGAGGAAAAGGGCTTCGCCCAATGCGGAATGCCTTCTTCAGACACATACCATCTCTCCAAGCCGCCCGATTCCCACGTCGTCGATGAATCCGACTCCGACTTGGAGATAGACCTCGAAGAACTCGACCCCCAGGCAACCGACCCCAATAACCACCAGCAGTCCTTGGGGCAACACCGCAGCCGCAACTCGTCCGAACAACGCCCTCCTCCTCCAACAACAAGTATAGCACTTCGCAATCTTCGCATGGGGAGTCTACGCCGTGGCGCCAAACGCAATGGATATGGCGAGCTAGGCCGTAGCCGAGACGGAAACGACGACGACGACGCTCTGCTCCGCCATGATCGCCACTCGGTCGGTAGTGCCACCCACGACGAGGATGCCGGCCTCCTCAGCGAACATGGCGGTGGCGGCCGAATGCGCACCAGCAGTGGAAGACGACGGAGGTCTTTCGCCAGTGACGGTCTTCGAAACATCTCGATGAAGCTACCAGGCTTCATGTCGGGCGACCAGAGCAACCATAACGACGAGCAGGAACAGGAGGAAGACGACCCCTCATCGTCACGATTAGTTGCAGTTGGCTCATCCCAGTCTACCCGCTTCCCACCCAACATCATATCCAACGCAAAGTACACAGCATGGAGCTTTCTGCCAGTCACTCTGTACAACGAGTTCTCCTTCTTCTTCAACATGTACTTCCTCCTGGTCGCCCTCTCCCAGGCCATCCCCGCACTACGAATCGGCTATCTCTCCACCTACGTTGCACCCTTGGCATTTGTCTTGTTCATCACCCTAGCAAAGGAGGCTTACGACGATATCGAACGGAGAAGAAGGGACAACGAGGCGAATTCCGAAGAGTACACCGTTCTACAGTTCGACGATCCAGGAGCTAGTCTAGGCATCAACCGGCCTAGGCGGAAGATGAAATCGTCTCATACACGAAAGGGCTCTAAACGTCTTGGCATTGAGCAGGAAAATGACCGGTTATCGGATATTCAGGAGGAGGAAGAACAGACTGAAGGTCGGGGTCTTCGCGAATTGCCGGCATCCTACCTATCGGAAGTCAGCAAAAAGTCGCGGGACCTCAAGGTCGGTGACGTCTTGAAGCTTACCAAGGGCCACCGCGTTCCGGCAGATGTTATCATTCTCAAGTGCTTGGCACACGAATCAGCTGCCAACAAGGAGACCGAAGAGGAAGAAGTACCCGCGAAGGAGGAGATGCTGCTCCTGGATCATGTCGATGATGACGATGTTGGAGAGGGCAGTTCCAAGAATGCGAAAACGTCCAAGGAGAGCAACAACAATGGCGCCGAGGGAAGCTCTAGCGGCGAGACTTTTATTCGGACCGACCAACTGGATGGTGAAACTGATTGGAAGCTGCGGTTGGCGTCCCCGTTATCTCAAAAACTTAGCACTGAGGAACTAGTTCGTCTTCGTGTCACGGCCGGAAAACCTGACAAAAGGGTCAATGAGTTCGTCGGAACATTGGAACTTCTTCCTTCGCGACAGGATGTCATGAGCGGTGTCGCCTACAACCCTAGGGAGGGCGACGATGTCAAGGCAGCGCCTCTCTCGATCGACAACACGGCCTGGGCGAATACGGTCATCGCATCGAATGCGACAACCCTCGCAGTGATTGTTTATACCGGACCTCAAACCCGGTCAGCCCTGTCTACATCACCTTCGCGATCAAAGACCGGCCTTCTGGAGTATGAGATCAACTCACTCACCAAAATCCTTTGCTTCCTGACGCTCTTCCTGTCTATCGTTCTTGTTGCGCTGGAAGGCTTCAGCACGGCCAAGGGAAACATCTGGTACGTGAAGATCATGAGATTCTTAGTGTTATTCTCCACCATCGTCCCCATTAGTCTCCGTGTCAACCTGGATCTCGGCAAGTCTGTCTACTCATGGTTTATCCAAAGAGATCCTGGGATTCCCGGGGCCGTCGTGCGAACCAGCACGATTCCGGAGGATCTGGGACGGATAGAGTATCTACTGAGTGACAAGACGGGCACTCTAACCCAAAACGAAATGGAAATGAAAAAGATCCACGTCGGCACTGTCTCGTATGCCAACGAAGCAATGGATGAGGTTGCAACCTACGTGAAGCAGGGGTTTAACCTCAGCTCATCGGCCTCTTCCGCAAGCTTGGCTTTGGCAACCCCGTCTTCAACATACTCGGCCGCCAATGTTGGTGCCACGAGGACACGCCGAGAGATTGGGTCGCGTGTCCGTGATGTCGTACTAGCTCTTGCCCTCTGCCACAATGTTACCCCGACTTCGGAAGAAGACGAGAACGGTCACACCGTCAACTCATACCAAGCCAGCTCGCCTGACGAGATTGCCATTGTAAAATGGACCGAGTCCGTAGGCCTGCGTCTGGCCCACCGAGATCGCAAGAACATCGTCCTCGAATCCGCCGAAACCGGCCGGCCAGTGGTCAAGGTTCGTATTCTCGACATTTTCCCCTTCACTTCGGAGGGCAAGCGCATGGGCATCATTGTCCAGTTCTACGAAAAGCTCCAGCCCGGGAACCCCAGCCTCGGCAGCAGCGAGATTTGGTTCTACCAAAAGGGTGCGGACACCGTCATGAGCTCCATCGTCGCTGCCAACGACTGGCTCGACGAAGAGACGGCCAACATGGCGCGCGAAGGCCTCCGCACGCTCGTGGTCGGCAGGAAGCGTCTGTCTCTGAAGGAATACCAAGAGTTCTCGGCCAAGCACCACGAAGCCTCGCTCGCCATCAGCGGCCGCGAAGCCAATATGCAGGCTGTCGTCTCGCAGTATCTCGAGCATAACCTGGAACTGCTTGGTGTGACGGGCGTCGAAGATAAGCTGCAAAAGGACGTCAAACCTTCTCTAGAACTTCTTCGAAACGCCGGCATTAAAATCTGGATGCTTACAGGCGACAAGGTCGAAACCGCTCGCTGCGTCGCCGTGAGCTCCAAGCTCGTAGCCAGGGGTCAGTACATCCACACGATTGCCAAGCTCAGGAGGAAGGACGGCGCGCAAGATAATCTGGACCTGCTCCGAAGCAAGACCGATTCCTGTCTGCTCATCGATGGAGAGTCCCTCGCCATGTACCTGACCCACTTCCGACGCGAGTTCATCTCCGTGGCCGTGCTCCTGCCGACCGTCGTGGCCTGCCGTTGCTCGCCTACCCAGAAAGCCGAGGTCGCCAAGCTAATCAAGGAGTACACCAAGAAGCGCGTCTGCTGTATCGGGGACGGTGGAAACGATGTTTCCATGATCCAGGCTGCCGACGTGGGCGTGGGCATTGTGGGTAAGGAAGGTCGTCAGGCTAGTTTGGCGGCCGACTTTTCCATTGAGCAGTTTCATCACTTGACCAAGCTTTTGGTGTGGCACGGTCGTAATAGCTATAAGCGCAGCGCAAAGCTGGCGCAGTTTGTCATTCATCGTGGCTTGATTATTGCTGTCTGTCAGACTATGTACAGTATTGCTCTCAAGTTTGAGCCGGAGGGTCTCTACAAGGTACGCTTGACTTGGCAAGTGATCCCTTTCGTTGCAGTCGTAGTTACTAACCGAAAAAAACACAGGACTGGCTGATGGTAGGCTACGCAACAGTCTATACCGCCTTCCCCGTCCTCTCTCTCGTCCTCGACAAGGATGTAGACGAGGACCTTGCCAACCTGTACCCCGAGCTCTACAAGGAATTAACCTCGGGTAGCTCTCTTTCCTACCGGACGTTTTTCGTTTGGGTCTTCGTCTCCATCTATCAGGGCTGTCTGATCCAGGGCCTGTCTCAAGTCCTCACCGGCATCGATGGCCCCCGCATGTTGGCCGTCAGCTACACGGTGCTGGTGCTCAACGAGCTGCTCATGGTTGCGATCGAGATCACAACGTGGCATTGGGTCATGGTGGTCTCGATTGTGGGGACGTTCTTGATGTATATTGTCTCGATACCATTTTTGGGGGATTATTTTGATTTGAAGTTTGTTTTGACTTTGTGAGTGTTATTACCTTTTCTCTCTCCCTGGGGGTACTACCGTATCCCTTTAGAAAGATTGTTCACTAACCTGACTCGCCAAAAAAAAAATAGGGGCTTCTTATGGCGCGTGGCTGCTATCGCTGCTATCTCGCTCATCCCGACGTATGCGGCCAAGGTGATTAGGAGGACGATGAAACCGCCTTCGTATAGGAAGGTTCAGGGGATATAAGAGTTAGATGTGGGCAAAAGAAAGAAGAAAAGGAAGATGAAGAGGCTTGAGCTGGGATGGGAGGCAGTAGATTGGAATTGAAAAAAACATAGTGTCGAGGCCGGCGTCTCTTGTTTTTCTCTTTGTTGACTTTTATAAACACTAGACGTCCTACATACATACCTCTACACAGTTGGTATAGCGCTGATACTACCATTAGTATCTCGACACCTCCAGTTCTTGTTTTGCCCAAGCGTTGGTGTACATGATGACATTGTTCGCCAAACCATCCAAAAACTGGACGGTGGGCTGCTTGCATTCGTTACTGGGGAGTGTTCACTCACTACTGTGGGTATGCTTAGCGATGTCACGGTGATCAAGAACATTCGGCTTTGATCGGAATTGAATTCAGCTATGAAGACTTTTCACGAAGATCTCACAAATTCTTACAGGCTAAGTAAGGTACGTAGATACCTAGACGTCTACAAGGGCAACCTCAGAATTTCACCACCCTGCGTAATCCCGCCCCTGAACAGCTCCTTAATCACGTTCCCCTTCTTGATCGTCTCCTTCACAATCCCCTCCACATGCTTCGGCTCAACCCTACCGTACCAAATACCATGTCCCGCCAGTGGATGCGGCACGTCCGAGTCATCATAAGACTTCAAGCCCGGCGGGATATAAACAATCACGTTGCCCGCAAACTTGTGGCCACCAATGTGGCTAATCAGTCCAACTCTTGCTCCCCAGACCCCCTTCTTTTTCTCCAGGTCCACGGCCTTCTCAGCAGCGCCCTTCAGCACCTCGATCCCCGGCCCTTGTTGTTGTTGTTGACCTTGCTCCGCCAGCCTCGTCTCGAACTCACTCCTCAGCAGAGGCCCGTACACCCCACACCGCTGGTCCCGCGCGCCATGGCCGCAGATGAGAACAATCACCTCGTTGCGGATGTCGCGGACCCCGCCGGGTAGCATATCGGCATAACTGGGATCGCGGAGGAGGGCCTCCCTCTTGGCGGGCGGCGAGTGGTTGTGCACGGGGTGCAGCTTCTCGGGGAGGAGGTGGGCTTTTACGAGGGCCTTGACGTGGTTGGGGTCGGAGGAGAGGGAGGGAACGTATTTAAAGTCGGGAAGGAGGTAGATGGATGTTGTTTTGGGAGTGGTGGTTGTGGCCTCTTGGTCGGCGGGCGAGGAAGCAGAAGAAGGAGACGAAGATGGGGGGAAGGAGACGTTGAGGACGGAGATGTTGTGGAAGGGCTGTTGATGGAGGAGGAACAAACCTCAAGGGGGAGGTGGGAACTTACCTGTTAGCCATTACTGCTTTCTTTTTTTCCCCCCCGGTTGGATCCTCCACCATCTCCTTTTTACTGTGACTGGCTGGACCTTTCCATGGGCTTTTTGGTCAACTCACATCGCTGTAGGGACCTCTGCGGCCGATTAGATCACGCAGCATGGCGGCATGGTTTTGGCCATTGTCATCGTCCTCGATCTTGGATGGCCAGTCGTCCTTGCCAGTGCAGATTAGGACTTGCTGAGCGTGGTTTGGCATGAGACCGTTGAGAGGCGTGGTATGATCGATCTCAAAACCTTCGGGGAACGAGGGAGTCGGGGCGCATGAGCAGGTGGGCGATGGGCAGGTATCAATGGTCGGGAAGGCCGCAGGGGCACCTCTTGCTGCGTATGTGCGCAGGAAGGAGGGGGCTACATTGCTGGAGCGTTGAGCGCAAGCCCGCCTCGTCGAAGCGCTCAGGGCTGCGGTTGCGACTCGTGATGTTTGGCGGAGGGGTCGGAGGAGCATGGTTGTTATCTGTGCGGATCAAATGCGCAGGGCAGACTGTCTGGTCGTGTAGGGCCCAATTTCGGGGTCGGAGATGTCGTATTTTATATCCCTTACCGTTGTCGCAAATGGAGTTGGTGATGGATGATGGTGCTTAGTTAATTTATGTCAGCGGAGAGTTCGGAGTTACGAGTGCTTACTGTTCCCACACTCAAACACCTGTGCAGTCTTGGCGGATGTGTGCGAATGCACACATCCGCCAAGACTGCACAGGTGTTTGAGTGTGGGAATGTATAACCACAGGGGTAAGTTCCATTTGGCGTCATCGAAGTGGAATAGCTTATCGTAGCTTTATCTGATTAGATAAGGATGCAATGCATGTGTAGGTACCTCCAGAGGTACCTCTTGAGTCCCTCGATTGCACCTTTCGGAAATGGTACCCGATCAGCGTCTACCGACTTCAACCGTCGATTTGACTTTGGTCATATAAACATAAGACTTCAGTGAGTGTAGCTCACCTGTTCGGGCTTCTGTTACGATCCTTTTCTCTTGGTAGGGGTTCATCTCACTAAATAGGTCGATAGTCAGTATCAGCCATTAAAATAAAAAGCGTATTAAATTCCTTACATTGACATCCATTCGCACCCTCACCCTGATGTACAGATGGAAATAGCACCAAGAAGTCTCACAACGAGTTTGTGACTTAGAACACAACCTTCGTAACATCTCCCGGATAACTATGCACCGAATCAAACCTCAACTCTTTTGGCAAGGCCGCAAAAAACTAGGTCTTAACGCCGCCAAACTTCTTCCTGTTTGTCGAACCCTCGAATCAACCGCCAACGAGCTCCGCTGGATCAAACAGCATGTCGCCGAAACCCCTTCCATCATTCCCTTTGGTGCCCGAGTATGGAAGCTATGCGACAGGCGAGGCAAAGGTCTCCCTTTGGCTTACGTGCTAGGCAACCAGCCATTCGGTGATCTCGAAATCAAGTGTCGACCAGGGGTGTTGATTCCCAGGTAGGTACATTTGCATGTATTCATTCAATTATTACTATCTCATCACTTTCTTCTCACCTGTCATAAGCTTCTCTTCACATACCGACTAACTCACACAATTTTCTTTAACTCCAAACAAAAGAACTGAAACAGAATCCTACACCATCCACCTCTCCAACATCCTTCGCCGCTCTCTTTCCAGTTCCAAATCAGAATCAGATCAACATCAACACCAACCCCTAAACATCATCGATCTCTGCACCGGCACAGGCTGCATTCCCCTCCTCCTCTACTCCCAACTCTCACGCTCTCACCCTCTCCAGTCCCTAAACATAGTGGGAGTCGATATCTCCTCAAAAGCCATCAACCTCTCCCGCCAAAACCTGCACCACAATCTCCATGCGCACCGCTTCCCTCGCCCTTCCAGTCCCGGAGATAAATCCCATCCACAAAGATTGCTCCACTTCCACAAAGCCGATATCTTCTCTCCTACCTCCTTAGACCCCTTCCTCTCCATCCCTTCATTATCATCCACTTCCTCCTCCTCTACAGGTACAGGTGGTGAATGGGACCTCCTGACCTCCAACCCCCCTTATATCTCCCCTTCAGGCTTCGCTCTGTCCACCTCCCGCTCCGTGCGCAACTGGGAACCAAAACTCGCTCTCGTCCCGCCCGTCGAGCGGGTGGATTTACATCAGAAGCATTTCTACGACCATTACTACGCAGACAACGAAATCTTGTTACAAACGGTGGAGTATCAGGAAGAAGACGTATTTTACGCAAGACTGCTCGAGATTGCGAGGACTTATAGGCCGAAAAGGGTGCTAATGGAGGTTGGGGACATGGAGCAGGCGAAGCGGGTGGTGAGGATGGTTTTGGGGGATGGGAAATTGAGGGGACTTTATTTCGGGAATGGCGAAGGGACTAGAGGAGGAAACGAAAGGGGGGCTGGGGCAGGTGCGGTGCAGATCTGGAGAGATGATTTGGTGGGGTTTGAAGGGTATGAAGAGATTATGGAGGTGGGAGTGGGAGTTGATGGACAAAATCAAACAATTGTGGTGAAGGGTCATCCGGAGGGACATGGGAGGAGTGTTTATTTGAGGAGGGTTGGGGTGGTTGATGATGTGTGAGGAACCCAAGAAAGGGAAAGGAGGTGTTAACAGCGAATATCTTTTCCAACTTGCACACTGTGAACAGATTGAAAATGAAAGAGGAAAACTCAATGAACGCATCTGTATGCTTTTTTAGTGATATTGTGCACGATATAAGTTGCAAAAAGCTCAATCGCCCAAGAGGCTTGGGGGAACGAACCACCATGCTCCGGGAGACTTACGAAAATTGTACCTGGGGTATCACGCACACTGGCAAGCAATGTTTTCATCAACAGGAACCAGTAAGTGTTTTCATCAACAGGAACCACTGCGCCATACGACCACAGCAGGTTCCATTGTGGTAGAGGGACTGGGCAACGGACCTTATATGGTTGCCTGGTGCTGGTGGATGGGATGAAAGGGCCCAGGCTCGGGCTCGAAGTGGAAGTTGCGTGTAGGTTGGGAAGGTACGAAGGTACAGTATGGATGATGACTAGCGGCTGATCAGGATTTAGTTCTCCGTCTATATTATCCCTTCTATCCAGTACTCATCAAAACTTTTGTCTAGTTCAAGGTCTTACCCTAATCTTACAATAACCCAGCGTACAGATACAGAGAATGTCTACAGAAAGCAGAGAACAAACAAGAAACTGCGATCTCGCTCCTCCCAGCCCTCTGCCCCTATGCTGCCATCCCCTCCTTTCCTCCCATCCACATACCCCATCCTCAGTCTCCAACTCCGAACAAGCCACCAAGCCAACCCAACTCACAACTTCAAAACCATCCACTCCTCCTTGTTCATCTTCCCTTTCTTCATCAACTCACCCGCCACCCCCGCCACATGTCCCTGTCTCTCCAACCCTTCGGACCAAGCCTTGAGACCAGCGAACCGGGCGATGAACCCGTCCGGCCCGGAGACCATGAGGAGGTTCTTGCCATTGGTAGGAGAAGCGCACTTGCACCGGGCTTCATGGTCCTGCCTGTCGCTGACGTTGATTAAGGCGGAGGAGGAATGGAGAGGACAGGAGGGGTTTGCCGTGCTTTTGGTGAAGGATGTGGTGGAAGAAGAAGACTTCGGGTTGGGACTGGTAGACACAACAGCGTCAAGAATAGTCTTTGCGTCAATAAACTTCTTCTCCGTGTCGACTGTGCAAGCGTAGTTGAACTGCTCGGGGTGATGGGCTCTGATATCCTGGAGATAAGGCATAATACCACCAGCAGCGGCATTCTTAGCGTTATCAAGGGAAGGTGGTAAATACCCCCTCTTCCTCAACGCCTCCAAGTCCTCGCAATCCGGACAATCCTCCCTGAACCTATTCGCCCACACAATCGTCATCTTCGGTGGTATGGCAGGCATACCCTCGATTTCCTTCCATTCCTCCTCCTTCTTCCCGTTCCCCTTTTCGTACACGGGGCCGTACAACCTCCTAGCCACCTGCAGCGCCGGTGCAATACCAGTACCTCCAGCTAGGAAAACCACCCGCCCCCCTTGCTCTTTTCCACCACCGTGACCAGAGCTGGAGCTTTCCAAAGAACCAACAAGCCTCCTCGCAACGTCAAATCCCAGATGCGGGCCCCTCAACTCCACCTTATCCCCCACCTGCAGCTTACTCAAATAGCTGCTCACCTCCCCGCCCTCCATCTTCCTAATCAAGAACCTCAATCGTCCCCTGAGCATCTCCTCTCTTTCCTGCCCCACCGGCGGTGGCAAGGGTGTATAGTCCCTCGCCACCTGCAACTGCGGCTGTTTAATCTCGACGCACCACAAGCCGTGATTCCAGGCCTCCTGCAGCTCATTTCTTAGCTTGTTCGCATTCTTCCTCGCGTTCTTCTCACTCCCACCCATGAGACGGTGGAGCGGATCAAAGGGTTCCACAGTGATGATGAACGCCGTACGCGATACCTGCTCGCGCTCAACGATGGTGTAAGGCACGAAAGAGGTCGGGTTTAGCGAGGGCGGGGAGACGATACCCAGAAGGACGGGGACGTCCCCTAGGGAGAGGTCGTTGGGGCGGAGAATAATGGAGTGGAAGAGGTAGCCGGAGAAGAGGGCGGCGATGAGGAGGAGTTTGGACTTTTTGGAGTTTGATGATGATGATGATGATGATGAACCGTCGGACTTTTGGTTATCTTGGTCTTGGTTGGATTGCTGTTCTTGTTTTTGGTTCTGGGGGGTGGCATGGCCCATGCCTTCGCCGGGGGAGAGTTTGGAGGAGTATGGCCTGGCGATACTTCGAATCTGGAGAGAGGTGGTGTTGCGGTGTATTACTGGGTTGAAATGAGAGACGTTATATGTCCCCGGTCTGACTAATCGGAGGCATGCTGGGCTTGTTGGTGGCAGACGCCGTGTTAACGGACGGAGGAGTCGGGCACTCATTCTTTGTTGTTCCTGATTGACTCGAAACGGTAGAAGATTGTGAGAGAAACCTCACTCCTTTTCAGGGAGAGGTCAAATGAGTATGAGAAAAGAAAGAAAAAAGGTAAAGAGAACGAAGGATAAACAGGCCGGGGAGGGTTGAATGAATGAACAGCTTGAGTCAGAAATATGTACTATAGACTGAATGAATGTTGTTGAGTGGAAAATGTGAAAGCGAAGTTGAAAGTCCAGATTTGGTGTTAGATTGAGGGTTAGGGTTGCAAGCGGCTCAATTCCCTTTTGAGGCAAACGCTCTTTGGAGGTCAGGTCTTGAGGGATTGATGCTCATGCCAAATCAAGACTTCATATCAAAATTCTAGAAATTCGTTACTAAGATTGACAAGACTCCTAGGGAACGAGTCAGAATTCGAAAAGTTCAAGCCAGGTTCGTTGTGCGGTACCAAGTACCGGGTATCTAGACATTCTATTCATCCTTTCGGTCATCAGGTTATTCAGCAAGAAAGTTCCCTTGCCAGGTGACAAAGCTTCTTGTTCATAAACAACCTTCATCACTATCCAAGAGGCAGTGTCGGCTAACCAACCCACCACCAGCAGATCTTCATTACCTTGTCTGCCAAAACTTCCACCAGGGTCTCTCTTCCCTCACCTCCCTCATCCCACCCACTTCTCTCTTAACAGCGCTGCGTCCGTTCACATACCTCCGCCAATAGTACACCGGTACGCCCACCACCACAAAAGCCACAACCAACAAGGTCTGCAGCGGCTGGGCAAAGACCGCCCTGCTCAGCAGGAACAGACTCACACAGCAGAAGATAATAGGTGTGGTGATCCACGTCTTGTACGGCCTCTCGAGATTAGGTTCCTTAACCCGGAGCACGATCAGACCCAGCACCGTCAAAAAGTAAAACGTATAGCCAGCCACTCCGTAGAAGGTGACGAGTGTACCAAACTCGCCCACGCATACGTAAGCGGTCGTAAGAGCGCAGTTAAGCATGAGCGCGGGGATAGGCGTGTAGAAAAGACCGGTATCTTCATCAGCAACAATACGGACAAGCTTCTTGGTGAACCACGAGCGAGTGCGCATGGTGGTTAGGGATTCATGTTGATCAACGGCGGTGCCGCTGCCGATGCGCCCAAAGAGCTCAGGAATGTAGCCTTCCTTGCCGGCAACGTAGACGAGGCGGCTGCTGGTGAAGGTGGAGGCGTTGAGAGCGCCGAAGCAAGAGGCACTGACAATGAGGGCGAGGATTACAGCGCCAACGGGGCCAAAGACTTTGGAGCCAAAAATGACGGCTACGGTATTGGTAGAGTTGATAGTGTCCAGGGGAAGGACGAAGAAGTAAGCAACATTGGCCAGGATGTAGCTCAAAATGACGAGGGGCATGGCTGTGTGAATGACCCGTGGAAGGTCTCGACCGGGGTTGCGAAATTCACCAACCACATAATTGGTCTGGTGTTTGGTTAGCGAGAGTCAACACAAGGGGCAAGAGGAAACTCTTACGTTATCCCACCCATCAAACGCCCAAAGACCGGCATACAGGGCCACCGCGAAAGCCGACGCATCCATCTTGGTGCCCTCAAACCAGTCATGCTTCTTCCAGTCGAGATTTGCCGCCCCAGAAAACGAGAATCCAGTCGCCGCAACGACAATGCCAACAATGGTAACGCCAAGCAATGCAACAAATTTGAGAAACATGAGCATATCGTTCATCCGTGTCCCGAGCTTGGTCGAGACCGAGTTCAGAAAGGTAACCAGAAAGAGTCCAACCAGCGCGACTGACTTGCTGATCCAGGGGTTGATGGTCTCGGCTTCGGCGCCAATGAAGGTTCTCACCAGGTACTCGCCCATGATGATGGAGATGATGGCGGCGCTACCAGGCTTCAGGACCAGCACCGCAACCCAAGTGAACAGGAATCCGGCCAGTTCTCCAAAGATCTTGGATAGATACACCTGCGGGCCTCCGTTCAATGGTATGGCACCTCCCAATTCTGCGTAACTTGCGGCGCCCGTCCATGCCAAAATTCCCGCCACAACCCATACGATAATCGCGGCTCCAGGCGACCCTGCATTGGCGTTGACCTGACTAGGCGAAGAAAAGATGCCCGAGCCAATAATCAAACCAACAATCAAGGACAAACCATTTAGGTAAGTCAAAGTTTTGTGCTTCTCTAACGAGCCTCCTCCCAAACCGCCATTGACATGACCCCTCGTTGCTGTGGGCGCACCCAACGGAGCATATCCGCCTCCGGTTGTCGACGATAGAGGAAAGAGGTTTGCGGCGAAGCTGAATGTAGAATTGACAGACGTCGATCGCTCTGGGCGCACACGGTGGCCCGAGGCAGCGTAGTTGCCGTTATCCAGGGGGTCCTCTCGCTCGAGGGAGAGCTTTCGCGACGAAGATATGCTCGGACGGGAACTGGTGTCGTCGCCTGTGTCGGGCCCGGGGTCTGAGCTGGCTAGAGATGCGAGTTCTAGCGAGTCACGCCCGGGTTCCAGGTTGTGAGAGTACAATGGTGGCATGTCTCGGGTGCTACCTCTTGGGGGGCGCTCGGTCGGTCGAACTTGTTGCTTTCTAAACTCGGGGTGTTTCTGCTGACAACGATATCATAGCCGTACAAGTCTCCTTTTATCTTCTCGGTATGCGTCTCGGTTGTTGAGTGAAGAAATGTTCGAATGGTATAGAAGACTGGCGCAAAGCCCGGTCAAGGTGGTTGGTATTAAGTGGTCTAATAGTGGTAAGGGTATCTATTATCGTGACAATCGTGGCTGGTGGTTAACACGGTTTTCACACGTAGCTCTTGAATAGACAATGATGAGGCTTGAATAGCAAGCAAATAGAACACAGAGAAGAAAGGAAGAAGCAGATTAGAAAAAAGAGTCTAGAATGTGGGATGGTGTGTCTGGCCGAATCTGGCGGAAATGAGGCTTGTCAGGGCCACTCTTTTTCCTTTGAACCGTGACAGCGACAATGTGACAGCAACAAGTCGCCCTGGAAGCTCCAGACAAGTCTGGATGGAAACAGGGCCCAAAATACGGGGCGTGTGGGTTGTACCCCAGTATTTTCCCCGGCAGGCAAGACAAGGCCAGGCACGGCCAAATGCGGGCCAATTGCGGGCCAAGAAGCAGGTTCAAGGGGCACGCTCCACATCAAGAACCTTGAGACCTCCAGTTTGCCTGGTCTGTGCACTCCTACCGTGACCCATCTGGCAGTTGGGCGGCTGTTGTTCTTCATTACGCAAAGTACCAGCAACTTGATGATGGAAATCATGCAAACTCTAAATCCTGGAATTGTATTGTTATGCTTAACTTTTGTTTCAGTTTCAAAGCCTAACAACATCTCTGTTCACTCTATTCGAGCAAACATCTGACATGTATCACCACCGGATCTAAAGTCCGCGAGTCTGAATAGATGTGCTGCAGCTTCGTCTCTTGTACCTTGGACTTGAGAAACCCTGCAGATCGACATAACCAAGAAAAGTAAAAAATTGACGTTCGATGTAGAATACATACAACAGCTTCGATACCGAGAATATCGCTCTATCGTAGCTTGGGAGTGCTTCTGATTCATTCACTGTTTGTTAGACTGGGCAGCAACTGACTACATATCATGTAAATGCAAAGACTGAGGACGCAGCTGCCCGTTGACTCTGGATACAATCAAATCGGATGAACATGCAGTTTTAACGAGAGTGCTTCGGCTTGTTTCCTCCTCCAATTTTCCCCGCCGGTTGACCAGGCAATGTGATCATCGGCCCAAACAAAAACAACGCGATGCCTCTCATTTGCACAAGGCCGCTCGGCCGATTAGTGCCTAAGCTGGGCTCATCACTACGACCAGTTCTCTCCTCTCTTGCTGCTTCTCCCCGGCGCCCTGTTGGCGTTGCCCTCCAGCAGCACTTGGGCACCGAGTCTTGGAAGAGATTCTATGCCGACCACAAGCTAGACCTCCTCGCCCTCGACCAAAAATGGCGCCAGAAATGGGCTGAATCAAGCCGTGAGAAGGGCAACAAGGAAGACGAAAAGAACAAATATGTCCTTCCCATGTTTCCCTATCCATCGGGCAATCTGCACCTCGGCCATCTCAGGGTTTACACCATTGCCGATGTGATTGCGAGGTTCCAGACTCTCCAGGGCCACAAGGTCCTGTTGCCCATGGGTTGGGATGCCTTTGGATTGCCAGCTGAAAACGCTGCCATTGAGAGAGGCATCAACCCGGCCACATGGACCAAGGCCAATATCGCTAAGATGAAGGAGCAGCTGGGTCACATGAACGGCTCATGGGATTGGAATTGCGTGCGTATCCCACACACTTCATGTGACCAGATATGAATCTCTATGCTAACCACCCAACCCAGGAACTTGCTACTTGCGATCCCGACTTCTATAAGCATACGCAAAAGATCTTCCTCGCTCTCCATGAGAAGGGTCTGGCCTACCAGGCGGAAGCCGAGGTCAACTATGACCCTGTCGACAAGACGGTGCTTGCGAACGAGCAAGTTGATGCCAACGGCTGCTCGTGGAGGTCCGGTGCCAAGGTCGAGAAGCGCAAGCTGAAGCAGTGGTTCCTCAAGATCTCCGAATTCCGCGAGTCCCTACTCAAAGACCTAGAGACGCTTGCTAAGAACGAGGCATGGCCCGAGAGAGTCCTGGCCATGCAGAAGAACTGGCTAGGCAAGTCCAAGGGCGCAACTGTCAAGTTCCCCGTCCTGGCTTTTGGCCAAGGTACCCCCTCTGCCATCGAGGTGTTCACCAGTCGACCTGATACCCTTTTTGGTGTCCAGTATATTGCCCTCGCTGCTACTCATCCTTCCGTTCAGCAACTGGCAAAGAGCGACCCCGAGCTTCAGGCCTTCCTCAGCACATTGCCTGGACTTTCTCCTGACTCCAAGGTTGGATACCTGCTCCCTCACATCCGCGCCGTCAACCCCTTGGCCTACCACGAAGAGACACCCGAGGACACCAAGGTCTCGCTTCCCATTTATGTGGCGCCATATGTCCTTGGTGACTATGGTGAGGGTGCCGTCATGGGTGTGCCCGGCCACGATCTCAGAGACCATGCATTCTGGAAAGAACACCACTACGACGCTCCCGTCCGCTTCGTCCTGGCGGCTTCCGAGGATGAGAGTACTACCGCCATGCCCAACGAGCCATTTACTGAACACGGCGTTATGAACGCCAACAGTGGTATCTTCAAGGGCAAGTCGTCCAAAGAGGCCGGTGAGATGCTCGTCAAGCTTCTGGAGCCCGCTGGCCTCGCAAAGGAGACTGAGAAGTGGCGTCTGCGCGACTGGCTGATCAGCCGCCAGAGATACTGGGGAACGCCCATTCCCATCGTGCACTGCGGCTCTTGCGGCACTGTTCCCGTTCCTGACGAGCAACTCCCTGTTGTACTCCCCGAAGTTGACGAGCACTGGGCTGGTAAGAAGACGGGCAATCCGCTCGAGTCCCAGACCGACTGGATCAACACATCTTGCCCCAAGTGCGGTGGCGAGGCCAAGCGCGACACCGATACCATGGACACCTTTGTCGACTCGAGTTGGTACTACATGCGCTTCATCGACGCCCACAACAAGGAGGCTCCCTTCTCACCCGAGAAGGCCAAGGCTCTCACTCCCGTTGACCTCTACATCGGCGGTGTCGAGCATGCCATTCTGCATCTGCTCTACTCCCGTTTCATTTACAAGTTCCTCATGACCTCTTCCTTTTCTGGCAAGGAGGCCGAAACTGCCGAAGCTGCCGAGTCCGAATCCTCCGAAGTCTACGAACCCTTCAAGCGTCTCATCACTCAAGGCATGGTGCACGGCAAGACCTACACCGACCCAGCCACAGGCCGCTTCCTGAAGCCGGACGAAGTCGACCTCAGCGACCCCCACCAACCCAAGGTAGTGGCCACGGGCGCGCTCGCCAACGTCAGCTACGAGAAGATGTCCAAATCCAAGCACAACGGCGTGGACCCGACCACGTTCATCGCGCAGTACGGCGCGGACGCCACGCGTGCGCACATACTCTTCCAGGCGCCTGTCAGCGAGATTTTGGACTGGGACGAAAGTAAGATTACAGGTGTGACGAGGTGGTTGAGTCGTGTGCATGACTTGGTTCAAAAGACTGCTTCTTCTTCTACTTCTTCTTCTTCCACTTCTGAAACCCCGTCTTCCGCCAGCACCGTCAAGGCCTTCTTTGAACAGCAATCCGAGTCTGTTGACGATCTCACCAAACTTGACGCCTCCATCACCATCTGGCGCGAAGTCCAGCGCACCATCTCCTCCGTCACCGCCTCCTACAACAAAGTGTACACGCTCAACACGGTCATCTCGGACCTAATGTCACTTACCAACGTGATCGCCTCTCCGTCTAATTACGACGCCGCCGACCCCCTAATCAGACGTGAGGCAGTCTCCGCTCTGATACGCATGATGGCGCCCGTCGCGCCCGCCTTTGCCGAGGAGTGCTGGCACGTTCTTTTCCCTGAATCTTCGTCTTCGTCCTCCTTGTTCAGTGGCAGTGGCAGTGGTGAGCAAGCGGCAAGGTTCCCTGTCCCCGATGGCACGGAGGGATTGTTGAAGAGCAGGAAGCAGACGTGCGCGGTGCAGTTGAATGGCAAGACCAAGTTCGCGGTGGAGATAGGGACGCCGCCGGCTGGGTTGTTGGAGAAGAGTGCCGAGGAGAAGCTGAGGGAGTTTATTGTCGGTGAGGTGTTGAAGACGGAGGAGGGGAGGGCGAAGCTGGAGGGACGCGGGGTGGATGTGAGTAAGGCGAAGAAGGTTATTGTTGTTAGGGGAGGAAAGTTGTTGAATGTTGTTATGTAGTAAGGAGACAAAAGAAGGTGGATGGTGTAAGTATGTACTTACTTTGTGTAACATTAGGTGTTTGTATCAATGGGAGACTCGGGTAGGTTAGAGAAATAGATCATTGCTACTCTCATGTATTTTCTTCTCTCTCTATGCTCTGAACACATCACCGGCGTGCTTTTTACCTAAGGTACAGTTTTCGTAGGTTGTACAGCTGGAGCACGATGGTTCGTTTCCACGCCTCCTGGACGAACAAGTTTTTTTTCTACTTTTGTTGTGTAAGTAAACTATGACAGGCAGGGCTGGTGTGCAAGATGGCTTAGACGAATCCCTCGAAGGAATTCACAAGATCAGTCAAGTTCATCACTCGCAGTTCATCATTCGTCACAATGGGAACGATTATTGTTAGGTTAGGTCATGATCATTGATATTCCACCATCTTTATTGCTTCATACCCAAAACCAGATATATCCCAAAAGAAAGCCCCCAAAAACCGCTATTTAATCATGCAAAAATGGAAAAAAAAAATGTGCTTGCTGGCTGCCCTCCTTAAGCAGACTTGGCAGCAGCAGCAGCCTTGGCGCGCTCGCGCTCACCATAAGACTTGGTGGCGTAGTCACCGCCGTAGACGATGAGATCCTCAGGCCTGTAGTCGTGCTTGCCGGAGAGGTAGCTCTCGATGATGGCCTTGGTGCCAGCAGCGTAGCGCTTCTGGGCGTCGAGCGAGGTGCCGGACATGTGGGGGACCATGGCGTTGCCGCCGCCGAAGGGGTTCTTGGCGTAGCGGAGGGGGTGGTCCTCGGGGGCGGGCTGGGGGAACCAGACGTCACCGCCGTAGCCGCGGAGGTGGCCGGACTTGAGGGCCTCGGCGACGTCCTCCTTGACGACGATGGCGCCACGGGCAGTGTTGACGAGCCACGAGCCCTTCTTCATCTTGGAGATGAGCTCCTTGTTGAAGAGACCCTGGGTCTTCTCGTGAAGGGGGCAGTTGATGGTGACGACGTCGCACTGGGCGAGCATCTCCTCGAGGTCGGCGACGCGGCGGCAGCCGATCTCAGCCTCCTTCTCGGCGGAAAGGGGCTGGTAGTCGTAGTAGAGGAGCTCCTTGCAGTCGAAGGGCTTGAGACGGCGGAGGACACGCTCACCGATACGGCCGACACCAACGGTACCGACAACCTTGCCCTCGAGATCGAACTCGTTCTTGGCGGCCTCGGCGACGTCCCAGCGGCCCTCCTGGATCTGCTCGTGGGCGGGAACGAAGTTGCGGACGAGGACGAGGATGGTCATGAGAACGTGCTCAGCAACGGAGACGACGTTGGAGCCGGTAACCTCGGCGACGGTGATACCGCCGTTGGTCTTGTTGGCGGCATTGAGGTCGACGTGGTCGGAACCGATACCAGCAGTAACAGCAAGCTTGAGCTTCTTGGCGCGGGCGAGACGCTCAGCAGTGAGGTAGCCGGGGTGGAAGGGAGTGGTGATGATGATCTCGGCATCCTCGAGCTCCTTGTCAAAGGTAGAGTTCTCGCCGTCCTTGTCGCAGGTGGTCACGAGGGTGTGGCCCTGGTCCTCGAGCCACTTGCGGATACCAAGCTCGTTCTGGATAGTTCCGAGAAGCTCAGGAACCTGATGAGTTGACAATCGTTAGCCATTGCTCCATGGTGTTTTCCCATGTTTCCCCGTATCATCCAATGTCTCCATTGCCATGTCCATGAAAGCCAAGCCAACAACCACGCTATGCCAAGCCGGAAGCCAACCGCCGGGTTCGACGCCAAAGCAGGTCGGGGTGGCGCCCCACATCCCCGAATGGATCCCGAAACCCGGTCCGTGACCTCAAGCATTCAACATGACGGGTAAACAGTTGCAGTGATGCCTTTGAGCCATGTCTACCCCGCGATTTGTGTCCGTTCCATCTCTTTCAGTCGCATGAGAGATGCAGCTCAGGCTATCTCATCTTTCTCAGCGCTCTTCTTTTCTTGGGCTGTTCAGCTCATAGGGCTGGGCCTTTGATCGATCATGGACAATGGTGATGGAGACATTTGGCGGATATGCCAAGGAAAGTGGATGGCCACTCCATGACAGAGTGGAGTAAGTGGGATGTGGGAAATGTCTATCTTACCTCCTCGCCGTGCTTGCCACCGTCATAGAGAACCGCAAGAACCTTGACCTGTTCGCGTGATATTGTTAGCAATCGTACACTTGCGGGGAGTTACTGTTGCCGAAACTGGTGAAGTCCCGTCGAAGAGCAGTCCTAGACACTAGGTCGAAGGCTGGACGTTCTCGGGGGTGATGATGTTTGAAAAACATTGTGGAAGGACCGCGGTGAAGGAAGAGGCAGAAGAAGCAACGGAGCGCGCTAAACGTACCATTTTGTCGGTTGTTTTGTTTATGTGATAGAAAAGTTTGGTGTTATAGTGGATGGATGAAAGACGAGAGGAACGTCTTTATATGTTTGTCTGTTGTTGAGTGAAGAGTGGTGATGTAGTAGATGAGGACAAGACGGGAAATGTCCATGATTTATATCTTCAAAAAAGACCAAGGAACTGAATCAGGCCGGGTCTCTCTCATTCACTTGAGCCCCTCTTTTCCTCGCGCTCCTACTTGCCTCCCATCACAACGAGAGCTGCATCCATCAAGGTACCTCTAGCTTTGCCTGCTAGTCTGGCGGCCCCGAGTGTCGATGAGGAGAGGAGGAGCCAAAGGGCGAAGGGCGAGACAACAGAGACAGCGGGGTACGGGGTGTTTCCTGCCAGGGTCAATCCGATCGTCTACATGAAGCATCAACCAATCGATTCCTGTTGTTGCTCGCTATGTCACACCGTGGGGAATGCCACATCGGGATACTAGTTCATGGGGTTGAGTGGGATACCGACTTTGAGATGGCGCGGGACATATTTCGGAATTGGTCGTCTGAGCGGGAACCTTGGCTTCACCTGCTACTTGCTTGTCCGCCACTCTCGGCATAGCTCGAAGCAACATTTGGACACAGTTAGACAGCCATAGTAGGTACCCACGCCCACACAAGAATGCCCGGTGTGTGTTTAGCCGGAGGAGTCTTTTAGACAGCGTGACAATTACCTGAAGTGATGATGTTGCTCCCGGATCGGATATGTGGAGGAGGTGAGCAAATACTGTTGAAGCAACAGTACATTGTACTGCTTTTGTTGTGTTGTACGTAAGATATTCCTCAATATCTACCCGTCTTCAGCTTCCCCTCCCGCTCACACCTTACAAGAAAAGCTTGCCAGGTCACCGGTCTCACTGATCACCTACACTACACCCGTCGCATTTCCTCCAGTGGTGGCATCATGGCATCTTGGACTTCCTGTCTGTTTGCTAACACGTATGCCTTTCTTCATCTGTCAACCACGCGGGGCTCCACAGGGGTGTAGATCCCGAGTTTTGAGAAGGGCAAAGATGGTGTGGTGTACATGCAGTAAAGCCGTTTGCTCCTCCTCGTAAGGAGGCTCCGGACACGGCGGCGTGCGGGGCCGCTGTACCGAATCCTGAATAGTTGCGTTGCTTGCGGCTTCTTTCGGGTTCGGTACATGTTGTTGTTGGGGTGTTGATGGTTTCGCAGGCAGGTTTGTTACTATCGATGTCGTGTTGGGTTGTTCGGTGATGGTTCGGCATCCCCCCCCCTTCTGACCCCCCGGGCCCCTGGTTTGATGTGTGCGGTACGGTCTGGAGCGGGGTAAAGGCCACCGCGTCAGCTGGCCTTGTTCCCGCCCGCCGCTTGCCTCCGCCCCTGACGTTCCTTGACTTGGCAACCTGTTGATTTGACAAGAGCTGGGCAATAACATGTTTGCTATCTTGTCTCTGCCGGTTTTGGTAGGGAAACTGTTAGCAAGACATGTGGGAACGGACTGAGGGTCGCCTCATGAGTTCCTCAAACACCATGTTTCCCGAAAATGAGGGAAATGGATGTCAATGCACGCGTTACGTCGGTGTGTCTATGGAAAATCAGATAGCCCGTCAAAACCGCCTCCTCATGCCTGACTTTCCATAATCGCCCCAAAGTCGTTGTTCAGAGCAATTTACCAAGAGCTTTCTCAATAAGTCTTGTCTACAACTAAGTCAATACCCTCTGCCTACCAACTCATCATCATGCTCTCACCAAGTATTCTAGTGTGAAAGATATCCCGAACTACAACGTCTGCCCAACCCTCCGCCAAAGTCCCGAAAAAGCCATCTTCGGTTGATGTCCCAACACCAAAAAAAAAAGGTTGGTTGTTTGTCCTTCTTTCTCAGTGTTCCCTGCAACACTGGAAAGGTCGGAAGCATGTGGAGTTTCCAATTGTTCCCCTGCGTAAGACTACTAGGTACTCCCACACGGGCCACATTCCGTGATCGCTCCGAGAAGACGACGACAACGACGACAACGACCAGGGAACGAACGTTCCGTATCCATCTCGCCTGCGCTAGCTGTTGGGCAAAAGCTTGAAACATACACACTACTGCGTACCGCTTTTTCTCACGCGATTTATCTCTATTCCTGGATCGTGCTCAAGCAAGAAACCCTGCGACCCGCATCAACTCACCAGGTACAATAGTAGTATGTATGTACGGGGAGGGACATCGTGCCATCCAGTTTGCTTTTCGGAGACCGTTAGGCGCCACCGAGCGTATTTCGGTGTTCGGGTTTGGTCGTCATCCTTGCCTTCCGTGTTTGCGATATGCATCACTGGTCTAGATTAAGAGAATAGTGTCACAGGAGGCGGTTTACCTGTGACGCCCCTTGATGATCGGGTCAGTTAGGTGTTAGAGGAGGACGAGTGACCTGACCATTCTGTGGTGTCTTCGTCGGTATTCGGGTTTGCTTGCTTACTTGGACAGGAAGGATAGCTCGGAGCCTCAGGCAAATCAAAGTCGTACCATCCGATCCGGATCAACGCTGGGCAGCAGCGCCAGGGACCCTGTTACCTTAGACAGGAGACTCGGCAGAAAGGGTCTGAGGTTTCCTTGATGATCAGGGCTGAAGGATTGACGTTGATAAGTACGGAGGAGTGACCCATCTGTCCGGAATGGTACCTCGTACCTTGCATGTTGACTATTTCGCCAAGCACAACGGCAGACATGGTTTCGTTGCTTCTGATTATGACTGATCAACTTGGAAAGGGTTTTGTGTTGAACTATGTGGCAGGAGAAGGGTATATCTCTTGGGAACAGCAATCATCCGTCTCACCCAGATAGCCACGTTCATTGCTACAGGTAGACCGTGGACTCTGGTTCCATTTATCAATGGCCAACACCATGCTATGTTTCAATCCCTTACACCAATTCCAACCCATCTTACACGCAAAACAGACAAGAAAAACTTTCACATGGAATAATAATCTACTCATCTATCCTCACTCATCTCCTCATATACCTGAATATTCCATCACAGTCAGCGAATTAACACCATCATGTCTATGAACAAACAGTTCCCTCCTCCCCTCTAATAAATCACAGCCAACCAACAAAAAAGCAAAGCGCTTAATCAAGAAGGCTACGATATCCTTGATTTCCATGAGCCTGACCACCAGTCAAGCTCCTCCCATCCTCATAAGGCGGCGGGGGCTCCTGTTGTCCCTGTTGTCCACGAACAGCCACAGACGAGAGACTGGAATGCGCTGTATGGAAGGGATTTCCAGCTATGCTTCCCAGGACACCGGTTCCCTGCTGTGGAGGAGGTGGTGGTGCCGGAAGGCTGTTGCGCACCGAGTCTTGAGGCTGAGACAGTGACTGAGTCGCCCACATGGCTGTCATCGCCATCATTTTACCGAAGTACTCCTGGATGAAGGACTCGCTGTATTTGAGATTGGTGGTCAGTCTTTGGTTTCTGTAGGAGAATGGATGTGTTGGAAAACTTACGTATAATAACTATGCGCCGAATTATGAGGACTAACAAGGTTATGCGCCAGCTCGTGCGCGATAGTCACCCACCACCAAACCGTCGCCTCGGCTCTGCCCATGCCACTAGCAGCATCGGGCCCGCCAGTCAACTTGGCCAGATGCAGCTGGGAGAAGAACCTGTAGTTGCAGAAGATACTGCCGCTCTTGTTGAACGCAATTGTCGGACCCTGCTCATCATAGGAAATATGGAGTGAGTGGGCGGGTAGGTTGTACACGTTAGCCACGTCCTTAAGGAGTGTCTCGAACTTGCTGATGCCAGCAGTGTTCGAGCCGAGGAACTGGCCAGGGTTGACGGAAACATCCTTGGCGAGGAAGACGCGCATGCCGCCGGGCGCTTCTGCGACAAAGTTCATATTGGTAGCAGGAGTCGAGTCACAGTAGGTGGATTGTTCGGTGATCTCCGTCTGAGTAGGGGGAGCGAAGACACCGGAAGCGTCGTGCGCGCGTGTGGACTTGATGGCGCTAAGCAGATTCTGCTGGACGACTGCAGGCGAGGTCACTCGTCCATCGTTGCTGCCGCCATCAGCACCACCACCACCACCACCACCACCACCACCACTGCTGCCGCTGCCGCTACCACTGCCGCTACCACTGCCGCCGCTTCCGGGTCCCAGTTGCTGAGGTGCGCGAGTACCGGGTTGCTGGGCAGGCGGCCTGTTTGAGTCGTCATCAGCCTCGAGGCCGAGTGACTTCTTGATGCCGCTAAAGAAGTCTCCGAACTTCTTGATGGGCTGAGGGGCCGTGTCATGATCGGGAGAATCATCAAAGCCTCCCGGCATCCGAGGCTGGTCGGGCAACCGAGGGGTTTGAGGGGCCCTGGCAACGGCGTTGTCGGCGGTAGCTACCTGTTGCTGTGCCCAATCCTTCTCACGCTCACGGATTCTCTGCTCTTCCGCTTCGAGTGCCTTGCGTCTCTCTTCCTCGGCGATCCGGGCCTCTGCAGCCTTCGCTCTGAGAATGCGGTCAACATTGTAGCCGCGGGCTCGAAGCTCTAGAAGATCCAGCTTGAGGAACGGCTCGATAAAGAAGTAAGCTTGCTGGCCATGGCGGCTCAGCAACATAGTGCAGATAGCCTGTCCAACCTGGTACAGATCCGGACGGCTGTGGGTCGATATGTAAAGAATCCAGTTGCCGTCCCTGTACACAGCGGCCGCAGAACGCTTTTCGGTGTGTTGCTGGTTATATCCCTTGAGTGATCGCCTAAGAGCTAAGGATGTGACAGCTTTGACTTGCAAGTTCTTCTCCAACCACCTGGCATCGTGCTTGATGGAAGACTTCTTGTACTTGGAGTACTCGAACAGGAAAATTTTGGAGCGCTCAATGACAAGCTTGCGCATGGTAATCGCAGCATCCTGCTTTTCGGCGGCAGGGCCGATTCTGTGCTCCATAGAGACTTTGCTGCTGATCGCCTCGGACCCCAGCGCAGCGTAAAAGGCCTCAAGAGCATCGTCCTCAGGTGCGAAGAGCAAGGAGTCCTTGAAAAGACGGTAGCAGATGATGTCGTCCAAGATTGTTATTTTCTGAGGCGAAGCGAGCTGGTACTGCTTGATGGGTGCATCATAATCGC